GGTTGTGAGCCATGCCCAACTACACTACTGTATTGTGGCTTCTCACATGCTGAGGGCTGCAAGACTCTGGCGCCATTCCTTGGCATATAATAACGGTAGTAATATCTCCGTAGCGAAGATGTCTATCTCTTGTTTCTGGATTTGAGTTGCCAGGCCAGGATGTTACGCTTCGTGGGCATTCAGAATGCCTTGGATGATGAGTGGGATCCCCGCACCGTGCCGTGGCTCGAACCAGGATCCAGCCAGATCCCGTTTCAACGGTGGTGTTTCCTCACGTTCTGTAGACGTGCATGGATACATCTGCAAGGAAGCTTGTAAGCGTCCAGAAACGTCATCCATCCATCTATGTAAGTGTTCATCTACCCATGCATCCGTCTGTTCGTCCATCCATATATTATCATGTTTATCTATTTATCCATCCATCCGCGCATGTATCTGCTATACACATATGCTATTCCTCGTGAACCTCACCGTTGTCTTAACTGAAGATCATATCGCCTTGCTGTGTACGTGTGGAAGCACAGCACCTGGAAATCGTCTGTCGCAGTCGGCAGACAACCGATTCTTCCGCTATTACAAGTGCATGAGCTGGCACATGAGCTGCGCTGCATTTGCAGGAGTTGCGTGTGTTTTCTTTGATGGTATTCAGCTGGTGCGCCAAAATTGGTGACTACACACATAATGTAAACAAGAATGGTATGCAGTACATCTTGAGCAGACAGTGAGATGCCTTTGAAAGCCAAGAGCGAAGAAACGAACGATTACTCCGAGTTTCTTGATAGTGTAGAAACATGTAGCCATCTTGTCTCATCCTTTTTCTATTTCAGACATTGGTTCGTGAACGGGTAAGGGAGCCCCTTCATCTGCTCTATATAGGAAAGTCTGTTCTTCCGGTATAGTACCTGTACCGACAACATGGACATGATGTGCTAGGACAGTGAGTGGCTCGTAATGTTTGATGAATGCGAGCTCGAACTCACAGATCGAGGAGCTTCCAAGCATGGAGTAAAGCTTTCTCTTGAGAGGGCCTTGATTCATTCTGATCAAGAGGCTTGGATGATACGTTCCATGACAGCGAAAAGTCGATCCGAAGCACGGAAACCTGAAGACTGCCAAGGTGTCGACAAAACGAAAACCCTGCCTCTCGACTAGCTACACCCACTACCGGCATTAAATCTATGATAAAGAGACTGAGTAGCTGAGCATCGCATTTCCAACGACAGGACCTTGATGGACTGGGGAGACTTTCAGAATGCTTTCTGAAGACTCTGTAGATCAACTGCTCTTCACCTTGGACCCTGCATCCAAAATCCAGCAAGGCAGGCTAGGAAAAGCTCACCGCGAGATATGTTCTCACGTGCTTACTGTAAATGCAGACTGGCTTGTGCCATTTTGTATTGGGACAACAGCTGCCGTCAGGAGTCAATGAATGTGTGCACAGTGCGGAGCTTCAGAACTGAGTTTCAGAGATAAAGTGCAACCAAGTGGTGAGTCATTTGCGATCTTCAGGCGACCAAATCTTCATGATGGGGTACCATATTATACTTACATGTGTGTATGTGCGTTTAGGTGTGCACTTGTGCGTGTGCCTCTGCACATATGTATGATGACACACACACACACACACATATGCAGGCACATGTACATACATGTTTTTCTTCATTTTATGCCTTTGGGGCACGAATGCATCCACCCACAAACGCACACATGCCTACACTTTGAATATCCTGTTGTATGCGCGATATGCACAGTATTGCAAAGGTGATTTGGTCAGGCTCTGCTTTCCCATGTCTGCCTGTCTCTTCGCAAAGGACACGCATCTGGCCCGATGCTACCAGGCGCAGTGCGAAAGGGAAGCCTAGCAAGCTTCGCAAGCTTCGGCTCTGGCAGCCCCTGCCTCTGCTCCTCGGCTCGATTTGACCCTTGGCAGGCGGACAGCATGGTGCCTGCGAGACGGGAGTGCAAGGCCTGGGGACCGAACGGGGCGTGTGAAGGCCCCACATGGAACAATGCGCAGGTTTTCCTGCAGAAGAAGCTCGGCCTCATCCCGGCACCCCGTGCAGTGCGCCTTGCAGACTCGGGCTGGGCGGGTCAGCTGCCAATACACCTTGCACGGAGCTAAAAGGTGCTGTTCGGCTTCGTGGGCCGCCTCACTTGGCAGAAGGGTGCTGGCCCCAGTCGCCCGAGCATCGGAGGGGCTCCGACTGTCAAAAGGATTGGTTGGTGCTTTTCTTTCTTTCTTTCAGGCGTTGATGTGCTGGGGCGTGTGGTGCCCTGGCTCCTTGGAGCTGGCCATGGGCATGGATCTGGTCGAGCCCAAGTTATCTTAATGGGCGAGGGGGAGTAACTTGGCAGAAGGCGGCATGAGAGGAGTCGACTCGGTAGACTCTTGTTTGCCTCTTGAAGTTGAGACGTTCTTCGCAAGGCACAATTATCAGACTTTGCTGAAAGAGCTGGAGCTCCGCAATCGCGGCCATGTCTGCGGCCACACAAGCGGCTTGCTCGAGAATGGGTTCCCACCGTTGAGTCAATTGCAAGATGAGCCCAGGTTTCAGCCCTATCTTGGAACACCAGATGATGGCAGGCCGACTCAAGGGAAGATGCGTGCCAAACTGTTTTGCACTGGCTCTGTGCGAGCTGAGATTGATCATGATGCTGTGAAATGGAGCTGCGGAAGGCTGCGACTTCATCCTCATGCCGTCAAGATACGAGCCGTGCGGTTTGCCTCAGCTGCATCCTTAGTGATTAAGTGCTTAGCAGCAGCCGGCTTATGGCATCATGCGACAGTTGAGCGAGACCAGGTCATGTTTTCTTTCTTAAGGAGAACCCCGTGTTTGCATGTGTTTTCACCAGACGGTAGGCTGGCGGCCTCCGTATACGGTGCGGTGCCCATCGTTACGGCCACCGGAGGTCTCAAGGATTCCATCCGAGGCTTGTGTCGCCGAAGTCTTGTTGCCGAGTACCGTGAACTCGTGAAGTCAGCTCTGCTGCCAGGTCCGCAAGAGGGAGACTCTGCGACCGGCTTCTTGATCCAGCCTCCGGTGAGCGAGACGAGTGTCCGGCAGGAGTCGGAGGGGACTGCTGCGGTGTAAATCTAGTGACGCGGCCCAGTGTCGGCCGTGTGGCTGCACGCTGTGCTGTGGGCAGAAGCTGTTCGCGTGTGATACATGGTGGCGGCTGGCGGCTAGCAGCCGAATTACGTAGACGTAGATACCACGCTGCAGCGGTCGATCTGACGGGAGTTTGCAGCACCCTGAAAATGCCAAGCCTCCTGCACAAGCCCTACAACCAGGCGCTCCGGGAAGCAATGACGGTTTTCTTCCAGCAGCCGAGCCGTTTCCAGCAGCTGGCCAGGAATCAGGGTTTGGGTTTTTCGGAGTTGGACGACTAGCTGGGAAGGATGTTGCTTGCATTCGGTGTTTGCAGCGCCCAGCACCCGGGCAGTGGCTCCTTGTCAAAGCCTCCCTGACCAAGGCAGATGCAGCGCAATGTGCCTTGACTCTGATTGCTGCACAACAGATTAGCGGCAGACTTCAGGTGTATCTGCCTCTGACCCTTCTGCAGCCTTCCAGCTGAGGCCATGTCGCAGGCTTTTCGCTGGAGCCCGGCGATCGACGAGTACCAGCAACAAATTTGCTTGGCCATGTCAGCTCCAGCGCAGAAGCTCTAACTGGGAGGACCCTCTGACTCTGATTGCTTTAGAAGTTTTGCAGATTGCCGCCTCCCTCTTCCTTCGGGTGTTGGAGTGACTTGAGCAGAGCCGCCAAGGACTTCGAGGAGCGGACGCCCGGGCTCAGGCTTAGACAGCTGTCCAAGCCGGGCTTATTTAAGAGTGTAAGCAATCATTGAAATTTCTGCCAAGCTGGCATCCAAAGATGGCTTTCCGTCAGTTTAACGAATGGAAACTAACTCTGTAACTTTGAGCCTGTCGCAACGCGGACCTGGGACCCACCTGCCGTTAGGGATCTTCGCCAGATCATTATGTACCTAAGGACCAGGGTTTGTACCTGTGGGGGTCCCTGACCGTTCCTGTAGGGCCCGCGAGACACGTGGACATTGCAAGTCTGCAAAGTGCCAGACTTCCGTTTCAATTTGCGGTGTCGAGCGTGGATGATCTGGACGACCGCCTATCAACCTTCGAACTTCAACCTCCTTCGATTTGCCGTTTTGTGTTGCTTGAGGAGGAGTTAAGCGACGGCGTCAGAGAACCACGATTGCCAAAATTTTCCAAGGCCCAGACAGTTCCAAAAGACTGCTGGCCCCAAATTTGTCGTGGATTGTTACCGGGCCGCCTTCACCCAGTGCTTGCTAATGTGTTTTGAATGGGAAATGTCCTAAACCCGCAATGATTCGGTCGATAGTGTAGGTGACCTAATAACCTTTCACAGATGCTGTTGTTGTGTCTACAGTCCGAACTCGCAAACCGTTCCAGCCTTGTGCCCAGAGGCAGCGCTGCCAGGGCGATGCGGGCGCGAGACAGGATTTGTCCTTCCAGTTGGAAGGGTCGAAGAGCCCTTGCGACTCCATCACTGTCCATATATGCGTACCCGGCGTACCCATCACATCCCATCACCAAGATTGGTTCATGACGGCAGGGGCAGCCTTCCGTGTCCGCATGCGGGATCATGCTTGGCCCAGTGAGCTGTGCGGAGCTCAGTGCAAGAGCTTGCCTGAAGCCCAGGCTCTGCCATGCGTGTTTCACTCCCGATGCCAGCTTCCTGCGTGGGGCTGATCTTTCATCTGTAGCCATGCTAAAGTGGCATGCGGCATGCTTGCTCCACTCTCCACGGTCGTCACGGCCAGCGGCATCTGAGACCGCTCTCGTTTCGAACATGCGACTCAGAAAAAGCCAGGTTGAACCATGGAAATCTCTAGGTGTAGGTCCAGACTTTTTCGCATTGTGCAGCCTCGGGACCTGCCCTGACACCAGTCGCACCGTCAAAAAGGTGACACTTGATCTGCAGACCTTGCTGCCGCTTGCACTTCGTCATGCTGGAGAGGTGCGAAAGAGCACTGAAGGAAGGAGCCGGGAAGCAGCGTGCTCCTTAGGTCGGTGCGGGGGCGAACTCAAGACTGCTAGAATGATGCAGCAGCGCTGACTGTCAGGTCCGCAGCTGGCCAGCCTATCTGTACAAACTGTCATGGACTTGGCCTTTTTGGATAAACGCTGCCAATTGCTCCGCCATGCTTCTGAAAGGGGGAGCCCATTTGGAGCGTGCAGGGTACTGGAAGTAGTGCACGGACGGCAAGGCTGAAAAAGGCGTTTGTGGAGGCAAAGTCGACAAGGCTCATGCTGCTTGCGGCTCTCGTCCGGGGGGACGATGCACAGACCTGGTTTGACAGGACGGACCCCGTAGCCGGACTCGGCACGGCTTCATCCACAGGTGCCCCCACGATCCTCGCTTTGAAATGCAGAGATTCGATTGTCTTATCACACGATACAGGCAACAGAGGGGTTTCTGCCGAGGGCTGGGGTGCCCTTCTTTTGCTTTTTCAGAGGCCACGTCCTAGCGGACTGGCGGCTGTTGGCTCTAAGCGGAAAATTCGTCACAAGCCTGCCGCCCCGCCCCTGCGACCGAGCAACGATGGTGGCGAAGGGATTGCCACTTGGCACAGCCATGATGGCACCTGCCGACTTTCGACCTGTTTCAAATCTTTTGGACATGCCAGGAAGAAGAAAGGCGCAGGGACGGCCAAGAAAGTAGCAGCAGCCTGAGGAGTGACGTCACTTGATCGTGGAAGCGCTTTGCCCTGTTTGCAGCTGCGGTTTTGGTTTGATCCGAGACTCTGAAGTTCACCATTGACTGCCAGCAGCCAGCTGAAGACAAAATCATTGAGCCAAAGGACCTCGCAATGCCTCGCAAACAGCCTGCTCAGCTGGCATGCGCCTGCTCTTTTATGTTGCTAAGCTGGAAAGGCCATAATGGCACACCGTGCATTCACATTATGCGTCCTTTTTAAACATCATGCACTGGCATCAGCTTCTTGAGAGAGGCATGGCTCGTTGCCGGCAGGACTTCGAGAAGTTCCTGACCAACAGGATCAAGGCCGCATTCTTGACCTGACATCATTCGGCCTTCTGGTGCCTCTGGTGCTCGGTGGCAGGTGGAAGGAAAGACTGGAAATCTGGGTGAGAAGGCACCGCACCTTCTGGCGAGAAAGGCCGAGAGTCTTTGCTGTCAACCGCTTTCAAGGTCAGTGTGCATCGGGAGAAGAACAAGGTCCACGTCACGGCAGAGGCCTTCTTGAGTACAGAGCAGAGTAGCTGGCACATTCACGCCCTATGAAACGGCACGTCTTCCGATAGAACATGATAGAACATGATGAAAAACGGATAGCATTTCGTGTGTCACTTGGCCCCTCCTGACTTTTCCCTGCTCCGTTTTGCGGAGCTGGGTGCTTCCTTGATTGCAGGGGCCAGTGCTTTGTATTGCATTATGCAGGCGCCCTTTTCCAAGCGATACCTGCGGCTTGGATGCTATGAAGCATGAGCGTGCTCTCTTCTGCTTGAGCAATCGCATATGGCCGCCTGCTCAGCAGGAAATACCTTGGAAAGAAGTACCTCAAGGCCTGCACAGGGTTAGCATGGATTAACTCTGCTACTACTTGGACGTCAGGCTTTGCAATTTAATTTGCTCCCTTGCCAGTCCCAGCAGTTGCGGGATTTCCTCCGAGTTGTGGCTCCGTCCAAGACATCCTATGAAATGCGTCCGGCGCTTGGTTCGGTCTTGACTGCGCGGGAGAGCGGTCCTGGAACCCGGGCGTCTTGCGTCGGTAGCGATGTCGTCCCAAGCTTTTGAAGGCCTGTGCAAACTGCGAGGTTACTTCAACATCAACGATGACAAGGGTGAGGAAGACTAGAGACTGCTGCTAGACGTTCACGGGAGTGGCAGCTTGTGACTCAAAAAGGCTTCGCCAGCTTTGCACAGCCAGAAATGCCACTCTGGTTTGCCTCGCAAGCTTCATCTGCGGCGAGGTGCTTGAGGTCCATTCACCAGGAGGCCGGGCCTTGGCTACGAGGGAGACCGAACCACTGATACACCCGCATGAACATAAACATGAAAAAGACAGATCCGGCTGTGTGTATCCCTACATGTGTGCACCTATATTGGTCGGCCGATATGTAACTAGGCATGTAATTACGCATGTACGTGAGCAATCATGTAAGCATGTAAGTATGTATGTCTTAGGTTTGTGTGTAATTAATTATGCACGCAAACAAGTACGTATGTGTGTACGTGTGACTTCAGGGGGCGGGTGGATAGGTAGGTATGTATGTATGTATTTGTCTAAGTGTGTATGTGTGTGTGCATGCACGTATTTATGTTTGCATGCAAGGGTTCATGCATGCATGTGCATATGTATATACGTATGCATGTATGTTATGCGTGAAACGTAGCACTGTCCCTATCTTCCAAAGCCAAACTTCAGGGATAGTAGTAAGTATTACAGCATTTTAGGGGTACTGGAGCTTCCACAGTGCTGTGCTGTCCTTAAATTTTCTGCTGCCAAGCCAAGAATTACCAAGACAGTGCAGCACTCTAGGACTCTGGGGCTTCTAAACCTGTTGTACTGTACAGTGGTTTATCATACATTTCTTCCCAGCAATACAGATAATATCGTTTCTGTTCGTTCAAACCTGCTTCTACTTCCATATTCTTTCGCAACCAGATCCTGGTGTGCAGCATGTTCTATGTAAACAGATCAAAAACATGCGATAGGCAAAGAAGTTGTTGTCCAAAAAAGCAAGTTTCGTTTCGTTTACACCACCTTCTGCACAAGGAGTGGTTAGCTTCGAGACGTCTCGTTATGTGTCAGAAAGTGGAACAGAGAGGCTGTGGATCTTGGGGCGAAGGTGACCATATGCATGTGTGTATACACATGCATACACATGTATGTTTATAGAAGCATGTACATATGTAGAAATAAAGACATAGTAACAATAACATTTACAAAAAAGTGTATATATATATATATATGTATATGTATATATGTATATGTATATATATATATGTATATGCATGCATGCGTAGGTAGGTAGGGGTGTGTGTGTGTGTGTGTGTGAAAAAATGTGTGTGTGTGTGTGTTTATGGATGATCCATTTGATAATTTGGATGTTGAGGTGCGCATTTGCAACATACAGAGGTGATGTCGAGATCAGCGGTGCTCGTACGCTGTCTGTCGCCGTGTTCAGGCAGTAGAATCCCTCAGTCTTCCCTTGATTGGTAGAGTCGGGGCGGAGATGGTGGCAACGGGGCTGTTGCTTGGCCGCAGCCAGCGCTTCAGAGATACTGCTTACCTTGAAGGGCCGAGAGCCCTGACACTCAGGAGGAGGAAGAAGGGGGGCCTTCCGGCGAAGAAAGCAGCAGAGCTCTCGGAACTTGCCCTTGGCCCTGTGCGTGGTCGAAGCTCGGTCGAAAGCTGTGCCCCACCAAGACCTTCAAGTTCACTGTGGACTGCCAACAGCCTGCAGAAGATACCATTATCGAGCCCAAGGATACACCAAGAACAGGTTGTGTTTCGCTCAGAGGATTGCATTCACGATGGCGGCTGTTTCTCGTTTGTTTCGTAGGACTTCGAGAAGTTTCTGACGAACAGAATCAAGGTCGGCGCAGTCTTTCGCTCGCCTTGGAATGCCGCTCCATAGCTGTCAGGTAGATGGGAAAACCGGCAATCTTGGCGAGAAGGACACTCGCATCAGGATTCCGGAGATGAATGCGAGCCTTCAATCGTCAGGTCAGCATCCGCAGGGAAAAGGCGAAGGTCCACGTCACAGCGGAGGTGCATGCAACAGACTCATCCAGGATGCAACACATGCTGGGCAGCACGTTGATCTGCTGATGCTCCCAAGCGCGAAACCCAAGCACCAGCCTGTCCATGAGCCCTTCCTCCGCGTGCAGCATTCTCAATCCCCCCCCCTCTGCAAACCCTGTGTTATCCCAGCCTTGGAACCACGTCGCTCCACGTTAGGGGTGTGGTGGGCGGGAGGGCGAGGGCTGATCCGTGAATGGTGGCACTGGCACATGTATGCTGCCGCTGCGGATGCTGTGCAGGCCCCGTTCTCAAAGCGGTACTTGAGCCCCGGCAGCACTCTTAGCAGATCAGCGCAAGTGCCTCATGCGGTGCTGGTTTTCAGGAAATACTTGGGCAAGAAGTATCTCAAGGCAGGTTGGCTTATCTTACGTGGTGCATCCTGTGTCGTCATGAAGAGCAGACTAGGGTTAGGGGAATTCCATGCTGCCCACCGCCAGTCGCAACAGCTGCGCGACTTCCTGCGTATCGTGGCCCCGTCAAGAACCAGCTATGAGATGCGTTGGGGCCCTGTCGGCTGGTGCGCTGGGCTGTGCCAGATGCCAAGCATCCCTACAGGATACTTCAACATCAATGATGAAAAGAATGAGGAGGACTAGTTCGTTTAGTGGCCTAGATATGTCGGATGCTCGAGGGATTTGCTGCCGTGGAAAATTGTCATGACATGTGCAGCTGGGCATGTAAAGCAGTGTGAAGGCTCATGTAGAGACTGGCATTGATGACGCCCGTTGCCATTTGAGGGCGGTTGCCCCCCTCCTTTCCAAGCCAAGCCCGTCCGTGGCGGCATCGACGATGGTAGCAAAAGGGTTGCCGCCTGACTGACCAGGGTAGAGAGGCACAGCGGACATTGCAATTCATCAGATGCTTTTTTTCGACTTCGGCTGCATGGAAGCAACTGAGGAAAAGAAAAGGCCCTGCATCAGCGAAGAAATCGGTCTGGAGCTCAGATGCTGAAGATGCTACGACAAAACTTTGCGGTTTGAGTATCAGAGCTCAAGTCAGACTCCACAGTGTTGCAAATGCATGCTGAGACGCTGAAGTTCACTGTGGACTGTCAGCAGCCTGCGGAAGACACCATCATCGAGCCTAAGGAGACATGCCACATTGCTCGGGACGAGGGGTAATTCTGGGAAATGCCCATGGACGCCACGCTTGCGTGAAGGACTTTGAAAAGTTTCTGGCCAACAAGATCAAGGACTTGTCTGCTTGCAGCATCAGTGCACAGCTGTCGCGTACGACCGCAGGTAGATGGAAAGACTGGCAATCTGGGAGACAAGGCCGACACTGAGTTGAATGAACCCCTGGCATTGGAGTGGTTTCGGCGCAGGTCAGCATTCACAGAGAGAAGGCGAAAGTGCACGTCACTGCGGAGGCCATGTCATTTTTGCAAAGAGCCTCTGCCCTTTCGCACGTGGATGACCTGCCCCGCGGCCCCGCCGAGCAAGCTTTCAATATTCAACCAACTGGTTGACTGGTTGCAGTAGAACTCCAGCAGACGATCTGGCATGCTCGGTCCTTTCTTGTCAGCTTTGTGCTGCTTCGTTGTTCACTTCGCATGTCGCAGCGCACGTCACACCACCCTGCACAGGCTCCTTTCTCCAAGCGATACCTGCCACTTTGCCAGCAACTTTGGGAGTGGCCTCCGATGTCATCAGACCGGGTCAGGGTATTGCAGTTCATGCGTGGCAACTGACAGGAAATATCTGGGCAAGAAATACCTGAAGGCAGACTTGCTCAGCTAGTGGTCGCTCTAGGTACCACCTCAGTTCCGCTCGAATTTTGGCCAGTCGCAGCAGCTGCGGGACTTCCTCCGAATCGTGGCTCCGTCGAAGACGTCCTACGAGATGCGTCTGCGGCTGAGGGAGCAGCCTTCTGGCAGTTTGATGAAGCTGGTTGTACTCGGCTGTGCGAGACATGGTCTGCAGGCTACTTCAACATCAACGATGATAAGGGCGAGGAGGAGAAGCACCGAGCCCTTTCCGACTGCGCACCACAGAGACACGTGTTTCGAGGACTGAGCGACTCCGGGCTGAGTGCTTGACGGGGGGGGACTGCCCGTGGCGAAAAGTGCCCGCGAGCGATTAGCCCGGGAAGCTGGGAGCAGACGCAGAGATGTTCGCTTGTCCGGGAGGCGACTACTCCGGGCCGGACAAGAGCATCCCATGCCTCCGCCAACGGTTCTGAGACTGCCAAGCACTCTGCACGTAGATTTCTAGGAAGCTGCCTTGGGGCTGAGGACTCGGGAGTCAACTGCTTCTTTTTCAGCAGCGCGCGAGCTCAAAAGCCCAGTTGCTTCTCCTGTTTCCCAGCATCCTGTGCATGTACATATTGGTACTTTACATAGCTGCTGGAGGTTGAGGAAACGTGACAACTGAGAATCCTGCAGAAGCGGCCAGTCGTTAATAAAAACGAGTGTATGGTTTTCTGTGGGGTACAGGCCGCCCGGCATCCACAACCACAGCATTTTGCGGGATGCAGGTGTCGCCGCCCAGCGATCCTGTGCCCTCGCCGTTGCTCACGAATTAACAGTGTCCAGTCCCCAAGAACGCCCGCTCATCTGCATACGAAACGTACATCACCGGGCAGTGAAAGTGTTGCTAATGAAAGGCTGTTTGCGCGTAGGTGAAGCCGCGAAAGTCTCATGGAGGCGAACGTAACTTGCCAGCACGGTCCGATTGTGGGAGATGTCAGAACGCTCACAGGACTCGTTGCGCAGGTTGCTTCATGTCTGTTGGCCCTGCAAAGCAGGAGGTAGACGACCAGACCAAGATGTTGTGCAGAGTTTGCTTGCCTGCATCGTCACCCCCGGTAAAAGAGCGTATGTCGCGATTTTGGCCGGCTGTGCTTGGATTCCAGATTTCCTGAAGCAAGCATGCGTGCTTTCCGAGGTGCCGGAAAGTTGCCGGACATTTCACCTGGAGCGAAGGGATCAGCTTTCGAGACGTGTTTAGTTTCCAGGACGTGCTTTAGCTACTCAGCTGCTCTGTGTACCCTGCAAATGGCGGCACCGAAGCATTGCAAGTTCATCATGACTCGCGGGAAGCCACGGATACTTACGACATTCCAGCGCATGCAATGGGAATTGGGACGACCGGGCCGTTCGGCTTCAAAGACCTTTACGGTGAGCCGCTGGGCCGACTCTTCATGTTTCGAGTTTTGAATGCCGGTACCTGGCCCCTCCGAAACGCGCAGTTGAAAAAGCTTCCGGTTAAACGCCCCCCTGGAGCTTACGAGCACAGGCTGCCAGCGAAGCTCCGGGATTTCCACGAGAGGCAAAGCGAAGCGGAGCTTTGGTGGAGGCGTGCAGGAAGCATGTGTTGTACAATGTGCATTGTTGAGTTGTTAAATTTGGGGTTGAGGCTTTGCAGCTCCGGCAGCAGGTCGGCTCATGGTAGAGTCGGCATGTTGGAGGACTGGAGCGGAATTCCTGCATTGGAGGTGCGGAACATCGACCTCATCCTCCTCATCCGCCAAGCTGGCAAGCAGATGCTGGGCGGAAGATGGCTCAAGCAATTCGAGCAAGATCCAACGTGCCTCCTTCATTTCTTCGAAGGTGTTGATGCTCTTAGCATGGTCCTAGCATGTGCTCGGCCAGAGCTGGAAAGGACTGCGATCCTCGTTCCAGCTCTTTTTTATGGACCAGGCTTGACCGTGAAGAGACATGGCATCACGGGGTATTCTGTGAAACGCTGGCTGCCGTGCAGTACAGGAGCCGCAGGTCGTCGACACGGATGCCGACCACGATGCGCCTTGTCTGGCAGCTGACCTGAGGAGCAGACTTCTAAAAGGAGGGCGTATTTTTCAGTCCTTTTTTTTTTGTTGGTCTTTTTGTTTTCGTTGGGGCCCCTTCGAAGGCAATGAAGGAAGGAAGAAGGAAGGAAGGAAGGAAAGATAGAAGGAAGGAAGGAACGAAGGAAAGAAGGAAGGAAGGAAGAAGGAACGAAGGAAGGAAGGAAGGAAAGAAAGAAGAAAGGTAGGAAGGAAGGAACGAAGGAAAGAAGAAGAGAAGGGAGGAAGGAAGGAACGAAGGAAAGACAAAAAGAAGAACGGAACGATAAAAGACAGAAAGGACGGAAGGACAAGGAGTACCAGTCGTCGTCCCAGTTGTAGTACTAGTCGAAAACATACATAGTTTATGTAGTATATATATATATATAGATATTTAGCTAGTCTGTTCATACAGTATATGAAATGTAACATAGTATAGGCAGTACAAGCTGTATAAGTATATAGTGTGTGTGTGTGTCCACATTCACATAGTATATGTATAGTACATATATATATATATATATATATGTATACGCATACCTATGCAATGCATGTATAATATGTGTATATACATGTTTGTAGGTGTATATATATATAATACATAGTATATATACCACTGTTCCAAGCCGTGTGCAAGGTTGCATGACAGCCTAGGAGTCGTTCTTGAAACCCGCGATGCGTGATATGTGTCTTTTAGAAACAAAACACCATTCACCTTTTGACAAGGGTGCTTGCAATTGGGGAGCCTGCGCCGGGCATGCGAGAGTGCGCAGTTGCTTGACAGTACATGTGCGTTTTTTGTTTTAGCCGACCACGCGACCATCATAATTGCAAATGTGGGAGGGGCTGCACCCCCCCAACCCCCCCCGCTGTTTTAAGCCGTCTGCAAGCTTGCATGACAGCATAGGAGTCGTTTTTGAAAACCACGCCGCATAATATGTGCCTTTTGTGAAACTACGCCCTTCACCCTGCGAAAAATGTGTTTGCAAATGGGAAGCCTGTCCGGCACGTGCGAGAGTGCCAAGCTTGCTTGACAGCATATATGGGTTTTGTTTAAAACCAGCCATGCGGTCATCCTGATTGGCTGCCCCCCTTAAACCCTTAAACCCCCCCCGCCCCCCACATGATTTTGTTGTAAACTAGCCATGCGAGCATCGTGATTGCAAATGGCGGGGGGCTGCGCCCCCCCAATCCCCCCGCTTTAAGCCGTGTGCAAGGTAATTTTCAAGGTAGCATGACAGCCTAGGAGTCGTTCTCGAAACCCGCGATGCCTGAGATGAGTCTTTTAGAAACGCGTGCAATTGGGGAGCCTGCGCCGCGCATGCGCAGTTGCTTGACAGCACATTTGCGTTTTTTGTTTTAACCGACCATGCGACCATCATGTTTGCAAAATTGGGGGGGGGGGGGGCTGCCCCCCCTAACCCCCCCGGCTGTTTGAAGCCGTCTGCAAGCTTGCGTGACAGCATAGGAGTCGTTTTTGAAACCCACCCTGCATATTATGTGAACAGCAGCAACAGCAACAGCGACAACGACAACGACAACGACAACGACGACGACGACCACGACAACGACAACGACAACAGCAACAGCAACAACAGCAACAGCACCAACACCAACACCAACAACAAGAGCAAGAGCAAGAGCAAGAGTAACAGCAACAGCAACAGCAACAACCACAAGAACCACACCAACCACACCACCACCACCACCACCACCACCACCACCACCACCACCACCACCACCACCACCACCACCACCACCACCACCACCACCACCACCACCAACTACATTACGTTTTCAACTTCATCCACAACTACAACTACAATGACAACAACAACAACAGCAGCAAGTGTAAATGACAGCTGCCAACGAGCGGTGAACACCGCACCACAGCAGGAGACAGACGCAGCCAGCATCTTGTGCGGAAAATGGGACGCGGGACCCAGCAATCAAATCAGCCAAAATTGTGCACGGCACTACAGCGGGGCGACACATTCAGCCGGCATCCTGTGTCAATAATAGGCGTGGGGGCCCAAAAAAGAAAAAAAGATCAAAAAAAAAAGGACCGAAATAAAACTCCACCCCTTCTAAAAGGGCAAGCCTGGAGCTGAGTTGGACGATGACGACCCGGTGGCAGAGGAGGAGATGGCTGAGAAGGAGGAGGTGCCTCCATCCGCTTCAGGAGCGGCTCTCTGCACTCCCTGCCACACGTCATGCCTGCGAGGTCCTCAATGACACACTCGGCAAGGCAAAGCAGGCAGTGACGGGGAATCCAGCAGTGGGACTTAGGGACTGGCGGTGATGCAGCTTAGTATAGGTACATGCCGCGGACATGGCCCGGAATGTCGTGCGAAACGAGGGGCCTGCAAATTCAATCTGCAGCCATCTCGCAAGGCTCAAGTGTTCCAAGTCGGCCTTCTGGCTTTCTTTGCGTTCATGGGCTCGGGTGCATCCTTCCCGTCACAGGTCCAAGAGTCGACGGTCGCCGATCTCCGCACAGTGGTTGCCAACTTCAGCCCTGAAGAACTCGAGAAAGTGAAGGTTGCACTTGAGAAGGTGGGTGCTCCTCAGAACAAGGCGAGGCGCAGGGTGAAATGTGGAGGCAAAACCTTTGCACCGTTTGGGATGCGCACGGACATTACGGTGGATCCCCTGGTGACAGAAGATTTCAAGCCTTACAAGGCGAACGATGAGTTACCAGAAAAGGTTGACCTCCGGAAGTACATGAGTTCGGTCGAAGACCAAGCGGATTGTAACAGTTGCTGTGCCAATGCCGTGGCCGGGGCTTATGAGTACCTCAATCAGAAACATGCGCAGCAAACCGGGGACGTTCCTGGTGACGTATCCCGATTGTTCATCTACTACGTGGGCCGCAAGAAGGACATGGAGCATGATTTTGATGTTACCCGCGGGAAGAAGTCAGAGGCGGCTGCCCCGAAAGATGAGGGCATGTCGGTGTCAGGCGCCATCTCTGCAATGCAGGCAAAGGGGGCCTGTCTGGCCGAGTCCTGGCCGTATGATGTCGAAAAGGTCAACGAAAAGCCACCCGAGGAATGCTTCAAAGAGGCGCAGCGTTACAAGGTTTCGGATGCCCACAGAGTACCAGTGGACTTGGACATGATGCGCCAGTGTTTGGCTGAGGGGCATCCCATTGTGTTCGGCCTGCAGCTTACGGATCGCTTCTTCAGTCCCTCCCGCAGTGGCTTCATCCCAACTCCTAACAGAGATGATCCGCTGTCTGCACGGCATGGCCTGCATGCAATGCTCGCCGTCGGCTACAACGACCGTAAGCAGGTATTCATTGTCCGGAACAGCTGGGGGGCACATTGGGGGGATGGTGGCTACTGCTACCTGCCGTACGATTATGTGGCCAGCGACCGGTTCAACGTGTGCCAGCAGTTTGCCATCAGGGGGCTCACAAACGTAGACTTCACTCCAGACGCTGATGACGGCGAAGATCCCACCTTGGAGGACGACGGTGCGGATATAGTGCTCGAAGAAGAAGACCTTGACGAGGAGGAGGACAGAGAGGATGGATTCTCTTTCACGGAGGAGTTCAAGGGCGACCGACTCGTAAAGGACTTCTTCTTGGGAAATGACGGTGTTCTCAGCAGGTGGCAATTCGCCTTGTGCCTGAGCCAGTTCGGCAGGCGTGAGGGCGGCAAGAACTTCGATGCCCTCGCATTTGACAACTGGATGTTTGATGATAACAGCGAGATCGGTGACACGACCATCGGGAAGAAGACCTACTGGACACCAAAGGATTTCGATGAAGTGCTCAAGAAGTTCTGGAAAGAGGACTTCGCAGCAAGGTTTCCAGGCCTGGCATTTCTGCAAGATGAGCCTGGATTTATGCCTGGCTACATGTAGCCCCGAAGCCGGGGAGCCTTGCCAGGGTGCAGTCTCTGCGTACCAGTGAGTGCTGAAGGCACATCTGCTCCGGAGCCGGCACCTGTTTTTCCAACTTGTAAAATCACCCAGTGTTCATGCAGGTGGAGTCTCTATCTTTGCTGGAGCTTGCACGACTATGTCGTGATTGACATTGCATCCGGCCGCGATGGCACCGTGCCCGCCTGGCCAGGTAGTTTCTTAATACAGACGGCACGCGGTCTAAACCGAAGGTCGTTAGATACTGTTAGATGTTTAGCTTAGCATCCCATGGACCGATGGAGAACTGGAGCAGTCGTTTTTGCAAGGCGAGGCGTGGCGAACTGTATTCTGCATTCTGAAGGTCGCCCCCTGCGGGGCGACATCGTCAGCTGGGGTGGGAAAAGAAGGCACTTGAGAAGTGTTGGAGCAGAACGCACTGCCAAGACAGCAGCCACCTCCGACCGCGTTTAAAACAAAATAACCTTCAGAGCCTGAGCCGCAGGTTGTCGACGTCTTGAAGCCGCTTGGACAGAACATGTTTTGTGCTCTGGGTTGTGACAGTCCGAGCGGGTATGTAACGTTTTACCCAACATCACAGCGTGATGTTCATAATGCCAGTGAATGAAGCAGGCGTGTCGACACCGAGATGGACGCGGCCAAGGCTCGATGGGAACCATCGCTGACAATCCATTCTCTCTTCAGGTCTTTGCCTGCGGCGCTTTCTGAATTCTGCACGTTTTCTGGCACCTCCCGTCAGGCCCAACTGGTCGAGATCGGTGCAAAGGCTCCGTCTTCTGTTCTGAAAGCAGACGGCGAAGTGAACATCTGCAGGCCGTCGACTTCAAAGCCCGCTTTCGCTTCCGAAACGCAGCTACTACAGTGATTCGGCAGAATCGCACCGTGCCGCTGTGCATGTCAGGGTGGCGTTTTCGCAAGCCCAGGCGAGTGCCGCTGCACAGCTTGTGGGTCAGCCTGGCGAGGTCAACGAGAAACTTCGGGCCATCTCAGAGGACCTACCGGGCTTGGCTTTCCTGGACGGAGCTGGCACGCTTTTGCGGATTCAGGAGGCCCAGCAGCTGGAAGACCAGATGGCCTACACAACGGTCGGCAGTCCTTTTCGCTACCGTGTGCGGCTCTCCCGCCTCGCAGGCAAGGGTTGCCAGGCCCGCACACCGGCTGCGTAGTAGCGTTCTTCTGCACTTTGCAAGGCGAGGCCGAGCGTGCTGGCCAGCTGATGGAGACAAGGATCCAGAAGCTGAAGGAGGCCTTGAGGAGCGAGCGCAGCGAGCGCCAGGGGTCGAACCTTTTGCAGACGAGAGTCGAAGCAAGGATGCTCAAGAATGCTGGCGGAGAGTTCGTGGATGACAACTTGGAAGAGCCCGGAGAAGGTGAGGGTGAGGAAGGTGAGCAGTTTGAAGATGAGTCTGCCCCCCAGAGACAGAGGGCTCTGACTGTGCAGTGCGCCATCTGTCGTGTATGACTTCTTCTGTGGCCACTGGAAGGTCGACGCCGCTTCTGACAGAAGTCCAAAGTGATGCTGTCGAAGTGGGTATGCATGAGCACGAGAGCCCCGGAAGCAGTTTCATCATTCGCGCATTCCGTTCCAAAGTTGGCTTGTTTTCTCGCTGGTCAGCTGTGCAATGTTGGCGTCGTGGCCACCAGGAATCCTTATCCCGGCCAGGGCCAAGGCCAGTGGCCAGAGCAGGGCCAGTGGCCAGAGCAACATGCACAACCTGGCCAAGCTGCGTGACTTGGCTGTCGCTTTCGAGCTTTGAACTGACCATCACTGCAGAAGCGAAAAAGCGGAGGATGTTTGGGCAGCCCGGGCAGATGCCTTTGTCGCACTCCAGCTGCAAGATGCCGCAAAGCCATGCCGCGATGCCCTTTCCTGTTGCATTGGACCATCCTTGGGCATGCGAGGATGTTGGGCATGGACCACCAGATGGGCCACCAGATGGGTGCTCCAGGGAAGCTTGCCTGCAAGAGGCTTTCAAGCATGTGCCACCGCCACCGCGATGTTTGCAATGAGTCGGCTCTGAGGATGGGGGTGCCTGGGTCAGGCATGGACATGCAGCCAGGGTGACTCTGATGCAAGGCTGTGCCAAATTCCTACGACCAAGTCGCCGCACCCGAACGTTCATGGAGCCTGTCATCGTTGCACGAATGCTTTTGCGGAGCGCTGCTGTAGATTCGTGTTTCTTAGGATGGCTGGACATGAGCATGGACACTGGCACGGGCTGTGTGCTCAGTCAGTATTTCTGCATGCAGGCGGTTCAGTGCAGCACCGTAGTACCTCAGGTCCCATCTGGACCCAGTCGAGCAGGCGGCCGAACAGATGGCGGTAGGGGAGAAACTGGGCCTGGTTAGCGGTTCGCACATCCCTGGAAACATGTTGCAACGTCTCAAGCTCTGGCATCTCCGACCTCGTCTTTTTGGCAAATTAAGGCGAATGGAAGAGGCCGAGGCGTGGGCGAAGCAGTACTAAACACCTGTGCAGTGCGAGGGCAGAGAGGCCGATGTCCAACTTGATCAGACTGCATGCCCCCGTTTCGCCCAGGAGACGGCTATGTCCGGCGTAACGGCAACGAAGGAAGACGAAGAGGCAGCGCAAGGGCTGGCGTCTCCCACTGGTCAAGTTTGGCCTGTACGGAGGTGTCCTGCGTAATTCCCAAGCCGATTTCTAGGCCACTGCCAAAGAGATGGAAGATACCATGGAGGAGAGCCGGTGATGTACGACGTTTGGTGGCCTCTGGGGCCCTCCAACTCAAAGTGCAGAGCTTGCGGAGGACACTACCTGGTCCATCGATGTGCTCCCCATCCCTCAGCCATCTGACGTAGAACCACAGGACGACCAGAAGCCTCAGAAGACTTCGGCATCAAGCAGTTTCAAGAATCGCACGAATGAGCCTCCAGGAGCCGGCGCCCGACGGCGTTCCACCGCTGCCGGTTGCGGAGACCTCAAGCGGCTGTCAGTGCAACTGGGCTTGTAAACGTTCAGCTGCAGAGAGTCACAGTTGCGAGTGGTCGGTGGGGTCGCTGTGACGGCTTGTGTCCCGAGATTCATCGCAAAACGTGCTAAGGTGATCCCACGGCCAAGTGTGCTCTTCAAGGCCAGCCCTTCACCTGGTGCCGCGTTGGCAGCGAAGAGGCCCTCTCGCATCCTGTGAAAGCCTTGACACGTACAGCGGCTTGGGCAGGAGCCCACCTGCGCAAAGCTGGATGTGGCTGAAGACCCCACCGGCCGCGACCATGCCTTGGGTGTGCAGGGAAGGCGACAGCCGGGGGCTAGCGGGGGGTTCGGGGTGTGGGACTCGGGTAACAGTGCTTTGTAATGAAGATGTCCGCCAACTTGCCTTTCGTATGAGAGCAAATCATGGTGGCCAGGCAGTGGGACTACTGTCCTTCGGCAGGATATTGGCCCCTTTGTCGTTGGAAGAAGCATTCGTCTCAGCGCTTCGCCGTGCCCCAGGCGTGCCTCCCGCACCGGTTAAGGAAGGCAACGAAAGTGGCCTGATTCCCAGGAGGATTTCTGCAGAAGTGAGCATTGCGGGACACTGAAGACCGGCTTCTCAGCGTGCACTCATCATTCGACAGGTGAGGGTGGTGGCCAGGAGTTCCAGCAATGGGACGATAACCAGCAGTATGGCGCCAGCCTCTGTGCATACTGTATGTGAGATGAGGTTTTCGATCCGAAGCTCGGAAGCGTGTCATGATTGAGGCGGCGGCTACGATCAATACGGTGGGCAAGGCCACTTCTTCAGTATTCGCTACGTTCTGTGAGACTTCTCGATTGCTCACGACTTGCCGTCATGATCGAGGCGCTGGCTACGATCCATTCGGCGCCCCAACTGGCTACTACGCGCAAGGTCATTTCTCCAGCAATCCCCGTTCGAAGTTCCGTTTGCGTGTAGAGTGGTTCTCGGTGGGGGAACCTTGTGTGCTTTTCGTCAAAGTCGAGGTGCTGGCCACAACCAATCCGGCCACGGCCAAGCTGGCCACACCCGACCAGGTCGTTTGTCTAGCATTCGCTCCTTCGCAGGTGCATGACGTACTGAACTTTGCCATCACAATCGCCATTGCACGCCGCAGCCCCTTAACTCGTTGCTCACTTTGTGCGTTTTGTAAAATCGCCTGCAGTCATGACCATGACCGCAATGTTCATGGCAGCGGCAGTGTCAGCGCTTGTTCTGCGCGGTGCTGCTGTTCGAAGTCAGCCTGGCATCTTTGCCAGCTGCAACTACAAAGCACTTGCCGCCGCCAAGGTTGGCAACGCACCCAACGCCGGGGCCGAAGCGGTGGAAGTGTCCTTCTGCGGGAGGTCGGCGACGTTGCACAACCGCGGACCGGTGAGTGATCCGTTCGATGGTGTGGAGTGCAGCAAGGGAACAACTCACGGGCCAGGAGTCAAAGACCCTGAAGAATCATGTGGGCTCCTACTGGCGTTATGGGCGCTCGGTTGTCCAGCTTGGGCGTGGATTGCTGCCGCCGCTTTATTCCGAAGACTACAACACCGACTTCAAGGACAAGGACTATGTTTCCTTGGTCCGTTCGGTTCTGGACTTTACTGTGACGCTTGGCAACGCTGCAAACAAGCTTCCGGCTCCGAAGACCTGTGTGGATTCGTGGCTGAGTGTTTGGTTGCCCTCGGAGAAGCTGCAAGCGCTCCGTGCAAAGGCGGCCAATGGAGAAACGACCAGCTTCTCATGGTTCCAGTCCCCTACCACAGATGAGGATCATTCCTACATGTTCCTGTCTGACAACCAGCAGCCTAGCCGCTGCAGTCCACACTGCCAATGGCAGAACGTCTCCTTCCCGGTGCAGTTCCACTTCCGCACTCGCCATGCCAAGGATGTTGCCAAATATGACGACAAGGAGAAGCCAGTGCTCATTTTGCCCAACTTGGCCTTCAAGGTTCTTGATGTGTCAGAGGTGATCACCGACCCCCTCTATGTCATGTCCACAGCCGAGCTGGTGAAGTGGCTCAACGAGACGCACCCCTACCGCAGCTGGCAATACAAGAGAGCCGGGCAAAGCTTTGGCCCATATCCCCGCCTAGCGCAGGCAGTGCAAGATCGCAAGATGGACGGGACCCTTGGATGTTTTCAGAAGAGGGACTCAGATAACGGTCACGCGCAAATCTGCCTGTAAGTGGCAAACTTCATTGTGCAATGTTGATTGTGTTTGGTCCTGCCACACGTCCAAGGAAGGGTTTCTCAGCATGGCAGGTGGATGGCGAGTACGACATGCTCGATCTGGAGGGTGCGGAGTATCGCCCCTTCTTTGATGCGCTTGACTCTCGCTTTGAGATGCCTCCTCGAGCCGGCTTGGATGGCACTCCTGTCGCAAATAATGCTCCCTACATCATCAAGGTCACATTGGAAGACACCGAGGGATGTGCTTAGAGGAAGCAGCCGGCTGGTAAGTGGCGCAGAAAGCGCGGCAGTGCAAAAGACTGCCTTCGCTGCGGGTTGCGTTTGGTCTTGAATGAGTGGAGACTCCTGCCTACCTACGAGCCCAGTGCCCAAAACACTGCCTCCTGAGTTGATCGAGGCTCTTTCTATGCTGGTTACGACCAAGTCGGCTACGACACGCAAGGTCACATCTTCAGAAGCCAGAAGGACGAAGCCAGGATCGTCAAACGACTTTCCAGGTGTGACTGGTTACGATCCTTACACTGGCTAGGGCCTCGGATGAGGGCACTGATTGTGTTCTATGGTTCGTGCTCGCAAGGTGCCCATTTCGATCAGACAGCAGGCCATGCTCTGAGATATACATCGGGACCTATTGGCTGTCGTATATGTAGTGGGACGCCTGTTGGTGCTTGTGCTGCTGTGCGTGAGGTTATGACCAGCCATTTGAGGATGAACACGGCCCCTTGGCCCAGAAACAGACAGACACACCCACACTTTTGTACTTACATATGTGTATACGAATATACATACACGCACCTCTGCACGCTGCAGCTCGCATCATACAAAGGTGGTGAGGACGAGGACGGGTTGCGAGTCGATCGCACCAGTCATCGGATTCAGTCGGGCTAGTGCCGCATCGCTCACAAAGAAAGTTTCAGAATATGACGTCGTGCGGGTTCACGATGAGGATGAGGCGCCGGAAGAGGAACTGTGACCTGCCCGCATGCCTCGGCAAGCACCATTGCATCTCTTCATGGCATGGTGCCCCTTGGAGACGATGCACTGTGCATTGCCTGCTGAGGACTTCTCATTTGGGCTGCGAGTGCGCCCCACGCCCTGATGTGCTGGAGAGATACATGGACGATCCCCTCTTCCACAACTTGGACAGTTATTCTGGTCAAAACAGTGAGCATGCACAGGAGTCAGGAGCGTTGCTGTTGAGCACGAGCGATGCTTGCGCAAGGAGACCGGCGAAATCGACATCGAGAAGATTCCGTTCAAGGATCGGATCGCAGTTGAGGCAATGCAAAACTACGAGGAGCAGCCTGGCGGAAGTGGGAAGTGGTTTGGGCCTCTGAGCGTGGTCCGGTCTCGTGGCAAATCTCCAAGGAACGGCGGAGATCTCTGCCAGCAAACTCCTCACAGTGGTGAGTTCCTGGTGTGTCCAGCGGCCAAGGGTTGCGTTTGGCGCTTGGTGCCAAATTGCAATTTTGCAGTTCTTCCGCTTCTCCCCTCGAGTTCCTGACTGCCTCAGGCTGGCAGCAATGTTGCTGGCCCAGGCTTGGTTGCACCTGTGCTTCCGTCGCCACGTAGAACACAGCAAATACTGTCAGTTCTTGAGGGGTGCCACGAATAAGCTGCGGATTCGGCTAGGTGGAGCGCTGCCCAGTGGCTGGCTGGACGCCCAGATCGGCGCAGTAGTCATGGCAGCCGGATTCTTCACCGAACGTTGATATGTCAAACATCCGACGGAGCATTGGAGTGCTAGCGAATGCCAATCTTTAAGACTCTGATGACAAGCCCAAATGCAAAGTATACCTGGTGCAACTGCGAGAGTCGGGATCAAATGCATGTGCCAAGATAAGACGGACAATGCCGAAGCAGCTGCAGTGAAGGACTTCCACAGTCTAAGTGTGTCATTGAATGTTCACACGCTGTGTCTAGTTTCTCGGGTTTCTTTGTCCTACGTGGTTTGTTTGAGGGTTACAGTTTATACGGAGCACGGAACGCCAGAGCTAGTGACGCACGGTAGGAGCAAGGAGCAAGAGGGTGCAAGATGTGATGAGCCCTTCAGACACTTTTCCTCCTCTGAGGTTTTCAGGAGTCAGCGGCAAGAGCTGGGACTTCTGCGCGCCGGCAAGGGCCCCGGAGGTGACTCGGAACCTGCGTCGGGCCGTGAGATGACCGAGGCAGCGAGGCCAGCGTCAGAGGCGAGCATCACAGAAGCCCTCCGAACGTCGTGCACCTTTCTCATGATTTACCTGGGCAGGAGCCTGGAGAAGGCGGGCCCACTCCCTCCCCTCCCCCTCCCTCTGACTCTCCCTCCCTTCCTCCCACTCTCTCTTTCTGCTCGTCTGCTGCGGGTCTTGCTGCTTCACACGGCGATGCCTGCGTTTGAAGTGTCACCGAAGCTCGAATCGCTTCGAGCGTCGCTTCTGAGGCGAAGCCTTCGACCAGCTCGGCCCTTAAAGACGGGGGCGACGCGCCGTAGGCGTCCGTAGTCAGCGTAGTGAAGATAAGGACCCCCATGGACCAAGGACAGGCTACGACCAGTACGGCTACGACCAGCAGTATGGCGGTTACGACCAGCAAGCGATGCACTACCAGTGCGTTCCCGGAGATGTGCCGTCAGCTTAGTTATTCTGCTGTGATCCTCGCACCTTTTTCACTGTCGTTTCTCGTGGCCGAGGATCTTCTTTGTGGTACCCATGCCACCTATGCACCAAATGCGAAGATCAAGTAAGAGCGCCAAAGTGGGCTCTTTTCTGTGAGTCCAAGCTGGGCTTTTCATGCTTGAGCGAGCTGGTTCGTTTTCCTTTGAGTCGTTTTGCTCTGTAGCGAGACTGCCTAGTGGCCGGCCAGCCTCCAGATAATGACTCGGCAGCGGCCATGGATCAGAAGGGGGCCCCATGGGCCCCCGTTGCTCCAGGCCGCGGGGCTTCGGATGGATGCCGAGCTGTCCTCGACCTGCTCCCACGAAACGAACTTGCCCTTCCCCCCGAAGTTCGTGCCGTGTGCATCGCTTCCTTCTGCTGCCTCAGCTGCCCCAGCTGCCTGCGGCTGAAGCCCTTGACAGGGCGCGAGTGTCGCATGTCACCTTTCGTCAGAAAAGGTTGCAGCAGCATGCGGGAAATTGCATCTGTCGCGGCGCCAAGTTATCGACTGTGTTTTGAGCACACATTTCGGTGCTCTGTTGTTTTCTGGTCTCTTCGCAGCTTGCATAGATCGCATATGACGACTCACCCGTCACTTGATAGAACGCCTCAGCCTCAACCACGACACGTACACGACTGCACCGGCTAGCTCATTCGAGATGTGAGCACGGCCTGTCACACACGCAGGTTTCAAAGCCACAGAAAGCGATAAGAGGGCTTTCAGGCACTTCACACGCTGCGCGGGTCTTGGGCCATGAGACGCCTTCTTCTGGCGTTTCTGAACCTGCAGGAACTGCAGGAAGGTCGACCGCCGAAGGACATTCTCATGGACCGCGCACATGCCGGTTGTTTTCAGTGGCAGGCGCGGCTTCGCATCGACTTCTCCCAAAGCTGTGTCCAGAATGCTTGGCGGAGCCCTTGGAGACGGACTATTTTGGAGGAGAGACACGCCAGTAAGATTTCTGCCTGCCGTAGGCCGTAGGCAGGTGCTGTCTGGCGAGACGACAGGAGAACCTGGCGGAGAGCCCCCCCGGCTGCGTGCACCAACGCCTGCGGCGTTCGAGGCAGCGGCTCGTTCTGGCAAGGCCGGACTCAGCCACGGAATTTTCCAACGAACTTTGCGGAACTGCTTTTGCAGTACTCTTGCAGTCCTGCGGTTCTGCTTGTGGTAGAGCTGCTAGGTGGTTATCCTGGAGAATGCCTCCAGCGGCACTGCTCTGGAGGGTTGGACGTGTGAACGTCTTGCTGAGGAGCTTATGCGAAGTCCTGATTTCCTCTTCCTTGCTGTTGTGCCAGTTTGTCCTGCTCGCTGGATTGAGGGGGATTGAGACGTTTCGTTAGACACGATGATGGCATGTTGAGCCAATTCCTTCGTACTGCGAGGCTGAGCTCTAGCTCTGAACGTGTCTAGGCAGCTATGGATCGCAACGACCGAGGAGTTTCCGGAGGCCAAAATGCGCCGGGAGTACGACTGGGTCAAGAATCCCAAGGCCCGGCCCAAAAAGCCTCCCAGCAGAGGCAATGGACTACTATTGTTGGTTGTGGATAGATGAGATGGATGGACAGACACACAGACACGGACACAGAATAGACACAGGCACAGACAGAGAGAGAGATACAGACAGAGACAGGCAGCGAGACCCTGGCGAAAGAAAGAGACCAAGAAAGAGACAGAGAGACAGCTGCAGTCGAAACAGAAGGGGGGGGGCCACCAGTTCTACTAAGGCGTGTGAGCTGGGTTCAGGTCTCTTGTTCCGGATGAAGGCAGGGCCAAGGCGGGAATATGCGGGAAGTTTAGACGGAGGTACCAACTAGAGTCGGTGCATCCAAGAGAAACTTACTGTTGTTTGCGCATTGGTGGGGGCACCAACTCGAACTTGCACCTGAATACCAGGGGCACACTTCCGTCGTACAGCAGATCCCGTCCCACAAAATGGAGGACGGGTTTCACGAACGCGCTTACACCACTCGCAAAGCAAAGACAGACAGAGAGATAGAAGGAGAGGGCGCTTTCAAGAAGTCGGGGACAAGAAGGCTTATGTTACGTACAGTTTCCGAGGTAATAACCGACTACCTCACAGACTTAGACCATCTTAGACCCAGCAATGTCCGGGGAGTCAATGCTCACAAGAGAACCCGATGCCCACGATCTGGCCCATTGCGGGTCTTGTATTCGCAAGCCAGCTTTGTAGTCGGGGGTTTGAGGGGCGGCTCAGCGGTTCGGGGATCTGTGTGTCACCTCCTACCAGACTCGGACACAGGCGCAGCGCAGCGTGCAGGGAGGGGGGGGCCAGCGCCCCACTTCCCACACAAGCAGGCAAGCAGGCAAGCAAGCAAGATAGAGAGGGAGAGAGAGAGAGAGAGAGACAGACAGAAAGACAGACAGGCAGCGCACCCGGACCTCCCTGGCTGTGATGAAGAAGATAGATAGACACATAGACAAAATAAACAGATACACAGATAGACGGATAGACGGATGGAATGGATGGATGCATGGATGGATGGATGGATGGACCTATGTGCAGTTTATCAGCAGATGCGGCATTCAGCGGATGCATCACACGGGCAGGATCGCAACACCCAGGAGATGGGGAAGGTCGCCTGGGCTTCTTCCCTGGAGATGGGGGAAGATGCCCAGGAGCGGCTTCAACAGGATCCAGACGCTCCGCCTTTTGCACCTTTCTACTGGGGCGTAAGGGAACATAGAAATGGCGACCTTGGGTCGAAGAAGGTGGTGAAGCGGATCCGTCAGCTTATCAAAGACTCTGTCCCATCTTTCATGGACCAGAAAAATGCAGAGTCTCTGTTTGAACACGCGGAGTTCTGGCTTGGTGCCAAAGGCACGGGTGCGAGAGCGCACATGGATTCGCACTGCATCAGCACGCTCAGCGTGGTTTTGCACGGGGAACGGCGCTGGCGCATTGGACCGGTGCCGCGACTGCCGAAGGGAGCGGGGCGATCTCCAGATGACGAGGTGGTCTTCGACGATGGCGTGGCCTACAAGCTCGGATGGAAGCCGATGTTCGAGTTTACGGTCAAGGCAGGAGAGGCGGTGCTGTTTCCTCCTGGCTGGATCCATGAAACTCTGAATACGGCAGACGACTGCACTGTGGCGCTTACAACGCAGTTCGTCTTTCCCACGCCAGTGCGGTACTACCGCTCCTTCTACAATCGTCTGAGGCGAATCGGCGACTTGAACAGCTGCTGGCGCGATATTATGAGCTGGGCAGGCGCCAAGGTCCCCAAAGGCGATGCCAAAGCCTTGGCTGAAAGAATCTACGGCGAGATCGAGCAGAAGACGAAAGCCCTCGAGCCGCAGGAGCTGGACTTCTTCGATCTTGACGAGGACCAAAGCGTGAGCAAGGAGGAGTACGTGCAGACTTTCACTGCCTGGGCTGCTACAGAAAAGGCAATAAGAAAGGAGAAGCGCAAGCACCTCCCCAAGTGTGAGATGAGTTGGGATGACAAGGTGTCTGGAGACAAATCGATCAGTGCTGATCTTTGTACATCGTGTGTGGTTCCCCTTGCGCTTGCGCTTTCCCATCTTCCATCCCCAACCCCACATCCCGAAGGTGCTTCAGCGCGCAGACGAGCTCTGATTGCAGCGGCTGGTCTGCCCCTCCTGCGTGGAAGCACTTCAAAATAGCGTTTGGCGTACGGAACGGTGCTAGAAGCATTTCTGGAGCCCCGCTGTTGCTGGGAGGAGTGTCCAATTTTCTCGCTGTCAGCTGCGTTCCCAAGAAGAAGCATGCCATGCTCTACGGTGTAGAAAAATCAAGCAGTCGAGGGCTTGTTCGCCTCCCCATGAACAACACTCCAGCAGCGCTACCTTTAAATTCCAGAAAATGCACAGCGTCACAGCAGATCACATGCTGGGAAGGGTCAGCCACCTGACATTAGCAATGGGAGAAGCTCGCGCCTAGCTCGCCCCCCTTGCCCAGTGCCATGGGAGAACCTCGGCTGCACACAGCCAGTTCGAGTGAGGCCTGGTCTTGAACACGCAAGGACTGGGCAGCGTATGCTGCTGCTTTGCAGGCCCTGGTGCTGGCCTAAGCGAACCCACACAACCTGTTTCTTGCGCTGGCAGCGCTTCCTTCGAGGGGGTGCCGTCAGCAGCGACAGCAGCACCTGTGGTCTTGACCTCAGTCCCGTGACCTCTCAGGCGGCTTGTGTGAGTCATCGCTATCTCAGGGCTTAGGGGCATCGTGTCTCCTGTAGCCGTGTGGCTCTTGCGAAGTTTGCAAGACAGACATGAAATGACCGCCATAACACCAGCAACTGCAGCCCTGCACCAGCCCTTCAGTCATTGGAGGACAGCTACAGAGGCCATCTTTTCCGCACCCCAACTAACTAGAGCCCGAACTCAGGAGCTTCCGTACTGTGGTCCAAACTCGTGAAATTGCTTGAAGACGCGTATCGTTGCACCGAGACACGTGCAATGTCGTAGCTGCTAGGATAAGCTGAGCTCGCGTGACTTTGGAGGTTTGCCGAGAACGCTTTCCAGTGCCAGGTGTTACTATGTCGTTTCGCAGACCAGTGCGCATCAGTCTATGGCAAGGTGCCCTAGAAGCGCCGGAAGTCGCGACGTGGAAGCGGCAGCTTCGAAAGCGTGCGCAGGAAGCGAAGGCCAAGGGGGCCGAGATCTTGTTGACACCAGAGCTCATGCTACCGGGGTATGACGTCTTTGGGAAGCAGGGGTTTGACCTGGATCCCAAGGACATCGAAGATGAAATCAAGAAATGTGCGATGGAAGTCGGACTCGTGCTGTGCGTCGGATTTGCGGAAAGCATTGAAGAGAGAGACAGGGCACCTGGTAAAACTCACTGGAACACAGCTCTGCTTGTGGATTCGCACGGCACAGTGGTTCTGCGGTACAGGAAGCACCATTGCTGGGGAAATGAAGGTAATTTGGGACTCCAAGAGTCCTCTGACAACATCTGTGTTGCGAACTTGAAGCTTCCAGATGGAGCGTGGATACGAACCTCCATCCTAATTTGCTACGATGTCGAGTATCCTGAGATGGTAAGGATCGTGGCCTTGCAGAAGGCAGAACTTATTCTCGTGCCAACGGCACTTCCGTACACAGAGCCCAACGTTAGCACGAAGATCATCCCGGCGACTGCCATGCAGAATCGACTCTTTATCGCTTACTGCAACCTTCCATGCTTGCAGCGTGTAAGTGGAGAGTACTTCGCGGGCCACTCCTGCGTGGCGGGCCCTGATGGCAACCACTGGGCCGGGCCTATGGGATGGAGCGACGAGCCGCAGCTGCAAGATAGGACAAGGCACCTGCAAGAGTTTCCAGGTATCGTGCAGGACATGGAGCTAAGGAGGGGCTGCTGCATTGTACCGTTGGGTGGACCGAAGAGCTTGCCTACCTCACGCGTGAAACGCCGTACCTTTGCGACCGCAGGCCTAAGTTCTACGCAAGCCAGGGCTTGTGTCAATCTGGCGACAAGAAGCCTTCTTCCTACGAAGAGTTCTACGGTGTCTAAGACGCCAGAGCAGTACTTCCAACTCATCTCGCAATGCCTGGACTTGAACCGGTCATGAACATCTCTCTTTCGCGTGCGTGCCCCGGAGTTCTGGGGACGCGCTTATTTGCTGAGTCGAGGCAGCCATCCCTGCAGCTCCGGGATCAGCCGGATCCGTAGACATCGGGAGTGTCAGACTATTCCCAGCAGACAGCATCGACTCGTGTCTGTATCAAGGCCATGTTGCAAACTTTCGTTCCTGGTGCGAGTGCTGCGGGAAGCTTAGACCTCACTCGGGTATGAGGTTCGAGCAAGATCTTGCGGCGATCTCTCCAGCACTTGCCCGGATGCTAGGGACAGCCGATCGGGGCATCTCCGGTGCCAGCAGTATTTGCACAGCCAGCAGCTGCACCTCTAGCTGCGACCTCAGGGTCAATAGAAAGTTGCCGAAGCAGATTTTGAGCGAACCTAAACCCCTGCTTGGATCTGTCGTTGCTGCTACAGTGTGGTGTCCTGAACCTTCGCCTGGGTTTTTCGGGCTTGGGTTCATCGGGATGCGCGTCTCGCTGTCCAGGTGTCTCCCAGTTAGATGTTTCGTTGCTGTGCTTTGCTAAGGCTGTTGGCATGTCAGTAATAGCCGAGTGTCTGTTTGGAATTACCAGGGAGCCGATACGTGCAATGCGGCAGCTCGAGGCGGTGACATATACGGTTGCGCTTGGTTCCGCGGGGAGGTGTATTCAGTGCTCTGCACACGTTTTTCCGGACGGTGACGGTTGGCTGAGACCTCTTTGCCAAGGCCGCCGATCCCGGCACCACGGCAGCGGTTGCGGCAGTCAGGGCCTGGGGCGCATCAGCAGACTGCGGCCTGCACCGCACTTGCCTCCAGGCTCTTGCCCTTCTTCAGCCACAAGCACCGGTTGCAGGCCTGGCATGCGGTGTAGCCGAAGAAGGAATGTAGACGACAAGCGACAGGCTATGGTGCTGTGCGGCCGGTCGTGGCCCAAGCTGAAGCTATGCAGGTTTTGCAAGCAGGTTGATCGAGGCTGGTCACTTGTCTTTCCGAACTCAAGGTCCACGCAGCGCCCACCTCGCCCTACGCTCGCGTGGGGCAACCTTGGTCTCTCTCTCTCTCTATCTCTCTCTCTCTCTCTCTGTGCCTTCTGCAGCACGGAGAAAATATCGACCCATGAAGGCACCGCCTGCAGCGGTTCCGGTGTGTGCCTTACGTGCCAGCATCTTGTCGAGACATACTCCGGTCACTTCCCCAAACTTAGGTCCAGCCGGCAGCTGCGCCCATCGCAGGCCCCGACCGGTGAAGACGGCCTTGCGTCGGTCCTTGAGCCTCGGATCATCTGGCATCGCATCGCTTACGCGGCCTCTCCGAGAGACGTGTCATGCAATTGCAGCTCGCTTTTTGCTCTTCGTGTTGGCATGATGTGGCAGGACCGCATGCACCTTCGTGCTTTTGCACTGGACTTGGAGTCGGTGTGGGTGTGCCCTCTTCAAAGCTTGCAGGTCTGGATCCTGCAACGCTCGCTGCCATCAACATGGCACTCGGTCTAGGAGGGCAGCCAGCCGCACCGGCAGCCACAGCCAGAAGCCGAGCTGCCTATGCCCAGCTGCCCTATGCAAAGCTTCAGCTCGCGCCAGTTTGAGCAGGTCCTACCAGGCCTGAGCAACCTACCTGGCCTGCAAGGGCTGGACCTGGGAAGTCTGGCAGGTACGCAGTTGGACTTGCAAGAACATCTGTTCAGTTGCACTTCTCCAGTTGCTGGCAGGTCTGGCGAACATCCCCGGATTAGCGCCGCCGCCCGCCGCTGCGCACTATCCTCGGGGAAGTTGTGACAGAGAGAAGCAAAGGACAGACGTACGACCTGTGAATACCCAGCCCTGGTTCGCAGTTTATTGACGAAGCGAAGCTGCCTTAACTTTGCTCGTATCTTTCGGGTGTCACAGTCTGGAAACAGCAGGGCGATTTAGGCGCTTGGCACTGTTGTCCAGGAACATCGCGTGTGCACCGAGGGTGGAGCTCTACCAGAGATAGTTTGCCAAAGTTGGGCGTTTCGGCGTCGCCCGCAGCTGATGCTCGTCAAGCATAGACAGACAGCGGCTAAAGACACGGTCCGAAGGAATCTTCGACATTGTGCTGCCCAAAACAAAGTCAGTTCACCACCGGAAGCAGGTAGCGGGTCTCCTCGGCCATGGCGCAGCCTGCAGCCGGCAAAGACGATGGCGCGGGCGCGACGTCGGCGAAGTACTCTGAGACCATGTGTCCTGCCAGCACCCATATCCAGAATTTAAACGCAAAAAGAAGCGCCGCTTTCGACGGGCAGGCAAAAACAAATGGGAAGCAGCCTCGTGTACAAGCACGAGGAGAGCAAAAAGATGCAAAATGCTTGAACTGCTTGTGCTGGACTCTGCCCCCGGAAGGACGGCATGAACTATGCCCAATGCTTCGAAAGGATTTATATCGGCTCTTGCCTCCAGACTGCGGCAGACGTTGACACGCTTCTCGGCTAGGCATCTTCATGCTTCGTAGTCCGAGCTGCCTGGGCGGTGCAGCCTCGCGCCTTTAGAATGAGACGTCAAAGTGGGCGGTCAAAACATTCTAGCTCAAGGCTCAAGAAGGAGGGCGTTGGCATCGTCTTCTCCTTGCAGGAAGACAAGGACACGTACACCTATTCCGCAGCGTGGTGCTTCCGCATTTCTCCGACCAATGGCTTGCTCAAAGGACATGGCCCACTTCAACATCGACCTTGCCCCCATAGTGGCTCGGGCAAAGGAGGTGGATATCCTACACGTGAGGCCGCCTATTTTCATTTCCATCGCATGGATAGGTCTCTGGATGTACAGCAAGTGCATCCTGCGGAGGCATCCAATCAAGGACTTCGACCCACTTTCACTTCGAAAGCTCCTTGGCTGCTTCAGTCCTGCGGGACTCAACCGTCCACTGCAAATTCTAGCAGTAGATTCAGTAGAGGAGGCAGAATGCCCAAGAGCGGCCTGAGTGAGGGTGTCTCGCTCTTGGGGGCTGCCATGTCGCCCCTTTTCCGCCCGTCTCTCGGAGAGGCAGCTTCCCAGCGCGGTGCGGCGGCTCAATGCAGAGATGCTGGCGCGCCCGAAGGACTTCCGACCAGGTAGCCCGGCATCCCCGCTGAGTTTCAGCTTGTCAGTTGCCAGGATATCGCTTACATCCACTGCACTGCTGGTCTCGGCAGGGCTCCAGCCACTGCCTTGGGTTACATGCTGCTCGGCCAATGTTCTTGGGTTGCAGGCTGTCTTCCCTCTTGGCTTAGAAGAATTCGGCTGGGGAAAGCATGGGTTCAAGACGTTCAACTGCAGGTTTATGGTCGAGTTTGTTGCATTGTGCTGTCGATGTCATTTTGGCCCGTCCACGTGCATCATACCCATGCTGCCGAGGTCTTGCATAGTGCTGTCGAGGTCATTTTGGCACATTCACGTGAGCAGCATGTGCAGTATCCACATGCTGCCGAGGTCACTTGCAGCCGAAGGACGTGAGCCGTATGTAAGCATTCGAACTTTGACGTAGATCACGATCTCGCCCGGTGGAGGAGCATTTGAGACAAGCTGCAGAAGGCTCTGAGCTGGTAATGGACGCCGGGGAGGCCACGCAGGAGAACAAGAGAAGGAGGCTCACGAAGATGGGCTTGCAAAGTGGCCTACATTGCCTACATGTCCAGATGCTTTCGAGCCTGCATCCCCCGAGCCGGAGAGCGAAGCAGGGCCGAGACTCCCGAGCCGATGGAGGCTTTCGAACCGGCTCCAAAGCTGCAGGTCGTGTCCGTTAACCCGGGACGTGGACCCTGAAGCTACAGCTTGGACACACGTCCGCGCCCATGGAGTTCTTGCAACAACTGATAGTGCAACAGCAGCAGATGCTTGCCCAGCAGCAGACGATGCTGGGACAGATGGCGGAGGACCGGAAGGCACGGGAAGCCCAGCAGAAGGAGCATGCAGCTCAACCGCAGAAGCTCTCGGAGCAGGTCGTGCAACAGAGCGGCGTGCAAGGGGAGCTGCTCAAGCAGGTGACTGCCCAGAGCGGTCAACTAACGGCCTTGCTGCAGTCCATGCTGCATCAAAGCTCCACTTCGGCAGCTCCCGCAGCAACACCGGTGTGGGTCAAGCACGAGGAACCATCCGAGCCTCAGTTTCTTGTCTTCGAAGCAGAGGAGAAGACAGTGGACTTGACGCTGTGCAACCTGCTGTCTTTCGCTTGCATGTCTCTCTCAGGACGCGTTGTTTCTTTCCCTCTCAAGATCGCGCTGGAAAAGACTGCTCTTTTCTTTGGTCTCGATGGCTTCTGTGGTGCCCTCCAGGCAGCGCCACTGACCGTGTCTCGGCGTGGTCGCCTGCATGCTTTGCTTCCATTATCTAGCAGACATGTCTTGCCGGGGCTACTTCTCTCGGTTTTGCTCTCGCTCTTCAGGCTCTGAGCATCTTTGCCGCCCGCGTCCTGCTGGTGACCTGTTTGCACACCGTCTTGTCTGTTTCAGTCTGTTTCACCCAGATGATATGCCTCCGCAGCATCTAGCCATGTCACGACTACGAGGGGGTGTTTCCCCCTCAGTCACCTCCGCCTTGTAGTCAAAGGTTTTCTTTGCGCTTGCGGAAAGCGAGCACCGCAACAAAAGTCTGCGCAGACATCCACTGGAGATCGCTGCAGAAACGACATCAGACCCGTGTGAGTCGGACGAACTCTTGTAGCAGGTGCAGCGCGCAGCACTACAAGGATGTCCTTGTTTCATCAAGAAAACAAAGACGTTCCGCTAGCCTCCCTTTGCCCCTTCCAGCCTCATACATCATGGCCGGACCCCAAGTCTTCATCCCTTCGCGTGGCAGCAAGGCGACCGGAAGCAGCCAGGGCCCCGGCCGCGCAGCCTGGAAGCTCCGCCAGAACTCCTCACCAGGAACATCCAGGAACCTTAGGCGCCATCGTGTCGTCAGACAGCGGCTCAACGAATGCAGCTGTTTTGGGCATTCGCTCGCCGGAAAGCCTTTACGACGCCACAGCGTTCGCGAAGGCCACGGTCAAGTGTGAGGGAGCGAGCTCGTGAACCGGCCGGAGGTCGGGATATCCATGTCAGCCGGCAGTCTGTTCGCACTGGCGGTCAACCTCCGCGAGGGCCTTCAGCAGAAGTTTACCACGCGGATGGCGCTGCGGGTGGACGTCTGCAGCTCCTGGACAAATATAAGATGTCAATAACATCAACCAGATTCTAAAGGTCCAGGACTTCAAGGAGGACATGCGCTCGGCGGTCGTGCGCCTCATGAAGCTCGCATCGAAAGCACAAAACGCATGGGGCAATCTTTGCGATTGCACTTCGCGAGGTGCCTCTGCCTTCGTAAGCCTCCATTGGGTGCTCGAGCTTAGCCGGGCGCGCTGGCCACCGGCTTGACCGATGTGCCGTTCAACACGGAAGCGGAATCCAAGGCGAAGTAGGACACGGAGGGGAATACTAATGTTGCTCGTAGGCCGAAAAATGTGGAGGGGTCGGCCGTCGTCATCTTCTTGACGGCCATGATGCTCGGCCGCATCACCGCCACCAAAAAAAAGGTCGCCGCAAGAGCCGGCAAGGCCACGAGCGGTGGAGGTCCACGGATGAGTTTTACTTCAACACCCGAGAAAAACAAACGGATCAACAAGCTCGAGAACGCGAAGGTGCAGGAGGTCGTGTCCAAGCTCAATGACTGGGACTAATGTTCACCTCATATTTAGAATCCCCCGCGTAATTGCAAAATCCGATTCCCAGAACGTAATTAGAAACCCCCCCGTATGATTTGCAGAATCCAATCGGCCTAAGCGGAAAAACTGTAAGCAGAATCTACAGGAGCTGAAAAGGCTTTGGGACTGTTGGGGATTCTCCAGGGGCTGCAAGCATGGCTCTGACACGTCTGGCTTCTGGACTCTGCTCTCATGCTGGACCCGGACTCTTATTACGGAGGCTGAAGCTCCCATCCTTGCGGGGGGGGGGCCCCCCTTTCTTAATTGCTGTGTCGGCGATACCCAAACCCTACTGCGCAGGAGCTGCTCGACATTATGTTCGAGCTGCAAGGGAAGGAGGAGATCAAGTCCTCGGTGCCCTTCGACGTGCAGCAGCGAGCGAAGAACCTGAGAAAGGTGTCAAAGATAGAGTGGAGCGAGAAATGCAAGAACGCAGGCGGCCGAGCCGACGGGCCGAGCTTCTTCAAGGTGACCAGGAGGCCGGGCCGCCTGGCCGTGGAGTAGGCACTCCGTGGCGCAGATCGACGAACAACAGCGCTTTTGGCCGGTTCATTTCGTGAGCTTTGCCGATCTCCCACAGCATGTCCTGCAGTTCGTGCGGGTTCAACTCCCACAAGACGCATCCACAAAATCGGCCCTGCCCTGCAGCTGAAAAAAGAAGAGGCAGCTGCGAGCAGAGCCAAACCAAGGGCTGAGAACACGCTGCAAGATCGAAAGGCCGCTTCACCGAAGGTGAAAATCCAGAAGAGGCCATCCATGCGCATCTGAAGTGCTGTGCTGTGCCTTCTCTTCTTCGGCATTTTGCCGACTGTCGACTGCCAGTCCCTTTTTCGGCTACCGACCGCGAGTTTGAAAATGCTGTGACATGTTGCCCAGGTCGTTTTAGCCACCCCACTTCAGCAGCAAAAACCCTGCGGTCTACATGTTCTGCAGGTTTATGGTCGAGGGCAGGGACCTCGATGAGGCGTATGCGCACCTGTCGCTCGGCTTGGACTTGCGAGCCGAAGATTTTGGACCTTCGGCTCCTTACACCCAGGTACAAGAGTCGAAGATGTCATCCGCCGCCCGAAGCAACTAGTGACTAGTGATCGGAACCTTCATTTAACAGCATCACTGTGCGGCTCTAGGCAGCTGAACATGGTCCGTGCTGCAGCCTGCGTCGCGTCCTCAGCGCAATGTTGAGTGCCCGGAGATGTCGGGCGGTTGGGCGGCGGGTTGCCACCAGAGCCTGGCATGGCCTTAGGACTTGTTGGGAGGCGGCCTGGGCACTGGCCGTTTACGCATCTCATGGACGCTCCCGAAGGCAAGGCGTTCTGTAGCATTCAGTTGTACTCATGCATGGAGGATTGCGCGCAGCGTTTTTGGCGACTGGCGGTTCTTAGGCGGTGTCGGTGGAGGTTGCTGGCCTGGACTTCGGCTGGCACGAGCGCGTTCCCCTGGTGCTTTTCCTAGGGACTTTGATAGGGGATGGAAGGGGTCTAGGCTGGTGGCTCACTCTGCTCTTTGGCTCTCGGCCGTCCCTTCGTGTGAGGTGAAGAATCCAGACACGGGCGAGTTCGTCCTGGAGAGGGACACGCCGCCAGGGGTCTACCAGTACAAGTTTATCGTGGACGGCGAGTGGATCCTTGGCATCCTCCAACAGCGGCCTGGGTGTCCCACGCAGGTATTGCTACTGACCAGTCCCGGCTACTCAGGATGGCGAATGTGGACCTGCCCACCGTAACGGACAACGGACCCTTGGATGCCCCATCTGGTGCTGCGTGATAATAGAGAGTGAGTGATGGTGAGTTTGCGCTTGATGAAGCCTGGCTTATACGCACTACGCCTGCGGCCCCCTCCGCCGTTCACCACTGCCTGTCCATGCCATGGCAGACAGGCAACCTGAACAACCTGGCACGCGTGAGTCCAGCTCCTGGCAGTGCCGATTCAGAACGGCGTGAGCGCATGATGAAGAAGGGTGGTCGGCCAACGGACGAGGAGCCACAGTCGTGATGCTCAAGCTCGAATCAGACTGCAGACGTTGCCAGGAGTGGAAACTGCTGCAGGGCATGCTTGCAGTGCCGGCGGCGACTGATAGTGAGAAGAAGCGTGGATATGCTTCGTGAACAAAAGTGTAGAGGGCTGCTGTTTCACTCGCTCTCATGTGTGGGGATGGGCGCTCGATTGCCTGAGGCTGGATGCACGCCCACCAAGGAGCAACCGGACTTTGCTGTAGAGTCGGCTGCTGGGTCCTTGCGCTTGAGGTTTCCGAAACCAGTGGCAATGCAAGGGCTGGCTGTCGAAGGTGGAGATTTGGGGGTCCATGATGCAGATACCGAACTCGGTGTGGCTGGCTGCACCAACACTTGACTTCTCACATCCCTGAGCTGAGGACACCATCTGGCAGCCCTTGTTGGCCGGTAACCCTCTTCTTGAGCCGACAAAGTGTTTGTAACCCCGGGACTTGCGATCCGGGCGACCCAGCACTGTCAAAGGTGGAGCGGTGGATGGGGAAGTAGCAATAAAAGTGCGCGGTGAAGCTGCCCTTCCATGGGCCAAAATCGGGCTGCCCCTGCGTGCAACCTGATGCTGAGAGCGTGCCGGACGCCGCACCTGGGAGTTCTGGGCTGTGTATGTGCACCTGGAGTTTCGGCCTTCGAGTTTTGCCCTTTTCCACATCACTCGAACTCCGTAAGAACTTCCACAACTCGCCCGTTTTTATGGCCGTACCGTAGCCGCTTTCTGCGAGGAATCCTCCAGGGGTCATTGGGCGACGGCCGAAGGCCAAGGCAGCGGCCGCCAGACGCTTAGAAATCTGCTTGGCTGAAGGTGTGCGGCGTTAAAACTCCATCTATGGAATTTCAACCTTGCTCCGCCCTCCAGCCGCGCCAGCCCTGAGGTGCAGGTTCCCAACCTCAGAGACGAGGCCCGTTTTGTCGGAGGGAGAGGGCCTTGGTGACACCTGGCTCGCGCTGGCTGAGGAGGTGGCCAACCCGCAAGCTTTGCTGGAGGCCAGCTGCTCAGGACGTGAGTCTGTCAAGGTGCAGGCCTCCAAATTTGCGCATCCCATGGGCATAGGCATACATTGTGTTTTTTTCGCTTATGTTACGCTAGAACTGCGGGCGGAGTCGCCCGGTTCAGACTCACAGGCTGATAGTTAAATACAGATGATGAGGCAGCGGATGTCCGCGACGAGGGTAGATGTCGAGCACTGGCCGGGCCCTCCAGGATGCATCTGTCACCAATTTGTAGACTTGTACTAGTAACCCGTCATTGAGGTAGACCTGAGGTGAGGTGGGGTCTAGGTTCCATCAAGTCAGTGTTGGCAGTCCGCGATCTGACGGTTGACCAGGGGAGTCTGGGCTACTGTATCGGAGGGTGAAGGCATGGCAACAGCAGAGTAGGAGCGTCACGATCGTCAGATGTTGCCGCTTTGAGTGCGGCATCCTTCTGCGAGACTAGGTGCAGCATCCGGGTTTTCGTCACATAAATGAGAAGCTCAAGGAGCCTGTTCTGCTTCGCGTGTGATTTTCCATTGGACGTGGTTCCGCCATGGATGCCTATGAGGGTCTAGAGATGTCTAGCGGGATTGAGGACGGGCGAACGGCGCTGCACGTGGCAAGTGGCTCAGAGCAGCTCCGTGGCGCGGAAGCCAAGCGGTGGAAGCCTGGACCCGGCTTTGACGGCGAGGCCATGCTCCGAAAACTCCCGGAGGACCTGTGCCTGCCCGGCACCCAGCTGTGCGCTAGATGGCTGGATTGAGCTTGGGATGGAGATTATCCGGTGCGACCTCCGATTTGCAAGCTGTTCAGCCGTGTTCGGCTGCCCGCTATGCCATCCCCGACCCTCGCAATTGTAATAATCGTTCAGAAGCCTGCCGTCGTTTTCGCAGTCTGAACTGAAGGCAAACCTGCGATGTCAAACGTAAAGTAGTCGAAGCTAACAGATGCAGCTACATGCTGCCTTGCGGGCCTTGTTCTCTGTTACTAAAACATGCTGATGACTCCGACTCACGTAAATTTCCAGGCAGCTTCAGCCTTCCCTTTCTTGAGAGCTTCGCAGACAGCTCTTCGTATACCTGCCGGGATTACATTACATGTGGTGTCGTAGGCGGGCAAAAAGTGACATAAGGAGTTCTTCTTTGAGGTTGCTTCATGCCAAGCTTTAAGGCAAGCAAAGGCGATCACGCAAAGTTGAGAGCTTAACAGGGCCTAACATACATGTGGAGGTTGTAAGGAGTCACTGCCCTGGCGCGTTTATCCTTGGCACGTTTTGACGGTGGCGACAGATTGCTGTCGCCGTGAGTTGTGGCACGTTTACGCTACTTCTGGCTTGCTCGCTCCAGAGGTGTAAATTCTGGCGGGTCGCATGCGATTCTTTTCCCCTCAGGGCCATCGCCACGCACAAGGATTTCAACGAGACCAATGCTGTCGACACGTGTGGCACCTGGACTGGCTCTGTAGAAGCAGCTCGCAGACCGAAACTCTGGACTCTGGTCTGTGCTCGTAGATGTGGCTGAAAGCCGGGGCCTCTATCGGGGTAGAGCTCTTCTTGACCACGCTGCCTGAGCTTTGGCTACACGCTGCTGATTCTGGCGGCCTCGAAGGGGATGTCCCAGGCAGGCAGAGGCTGCAAACTATCCGAGGCTCAAAGGGGTTGCTTCCGTTTGCCGGAGCGGCAGGTGTGCAAAGCTGTGCTCGACAGGGATGACTTCGTTGGTCTCAGCCTTGGCATCGAAAGTTACTTCGTAGACTGCTGCACGTGTGAAATCATGTCTGCGATGAGGCGTCAACGCCCAGGATAAGTGGGGTGCCACGGCTCTGCATTGGGCTGCAGACCAGGAAGCCGCCCGAAATCACATCGCATGAGTGGAGTTGTCTTTGTCCGTCTGCAGGATTTGGCCGACGTGTGCGAAAAGATGCTCTCGCACCCCGAGTTTGTTGAGGGTAACCGACGAGTCACGGCCTGAGTGGGCTTCTCGCAAGCCTCAGTTTTGTATGCGGCCACGCGAGGCCTGGAGCTTTGCCTTTGAAGACAAGACAGCTCTGGATGTGGCCCTGCACCGAAACTGCAAGGCCCCTGCAGCCCATGCAGCAGCTGCAGCGGGTACGAGGGCTCTCTCCGGGTATCAAAGCTTTCAATCGAAGCACAACGCAATGCAGGCAGCTGCGGACGTGATCCGGCGGCATGTAGGTCCACCGCGATAGCCGGGATGCAGGCAACAAGAGTGGTGCGAGCGAGACGGCCCCAGTCAACTGGGTGGAGAGCAGGCAACTTGCTGAAAGTGCTAATTGAAGGTGCTGGTTCAAGCTTTTTGCGATTGTGGACCTTGGTGCTGAGCAGTGCAAAGGATCGCTGACGCGATATAAACTTGAAACAGTGTAAGGCTGCAGCCGGAGCGTAAGGAGGGGTTCCAAAAAAAAACGACAGCTCCACGATGCTGTTACTGGCTGTCGGCAATCCAAGCCATGGTGGAAGTGGGGGATCCGCCCGGGTCCAAGTAGACCTTGCAGACTGGCTGATGCACGCAGAACGCTCACAGGAAGGTCATGGAAAGCCGGAGGATTGCTTGGCTTGCGCAATCAGGCTTCTAAAAGCCACAGGGGTTTCAAGTGTAACTTCGTGCAAAAAGGGGGCCCATCAAATCTCGCGGCATGATCCGTCGAATGTGCCGGTGTTCAGCAATTTTGGCTCCACATACACAAATGCGCCCAATATAGACGAGGCGCAGGCTCAATGACGTCACAAGGACCAGCACGACGGCAGTCGTTTTCCTGCTTCTGCTGTGAATTTTCGATAGGATGACGTTTTGCTGTGAGGCAGGAGTGGAAGGAGCAAGTGTTCACAGCTTTCTGTCGCAGCCGTGGTTGTGCCAGGATCCTGCAAGTCATTCAACGGCCGCCGGTCTGCAAGACGTTCCAAAGGGATTCTCGTTCAAGAAGCTGAAGGTGTGCTTCGAAGTTCTCGCACCTCCCTTAAGTTGCCCGTCCGATGTCGAACCTGCACATTGCTTGCCCAGGCTTCAAAGGCTGGGGCTTCATCGACTACAATGGTCAAGCCTGCATCTGAGAGTTGCCGGTGCTATGTCCGGGCTTGGATTCGTGCGTGTTGTCGGCGCTGAGTCGCAGGGTATGGCATGAGCACGCATCAGCAGCCTAAGGGTTTCCGTGCTGGCAAAACCTTGCCCTGCAGGATGTCTTCGTCCACATCAGAGACTGCCAGGGGGGTCAGCCAGCACCCGGCGATATGTCCCTCATCAGCTGATTAGATGCTGGCATCTCCGCAGTTGGCCATATCGTCTTATGGTGCATCGAGGTTTAAGTACAGGATCGATGCAACTTGCTAGCCGAATGACTCCCACGGCATAGTCGCACAGAGCATGAGTGCCCGCTGGTTTAGTTTAGTCTTACTGCGGAAGATGCTACTGCCTCAGCAAAATCGCGAGGGGAAGTCGCTCACAGGCTGACTTTCGACTTGGAGGAGTCGCAGCCTGGCAAGTTCAAGGCTTCGCGCCTGGATGCTCGGACCTTGTCCCTCTCTGTGTAGGGCAGATGGAAGACAGGCCAAGAACGTTGTCGGTGGAACAGCGGAGCGAGACCAGGATTCCATGATGGGCAAGGCTGGGAAGCAACATTTCTTTAGAATAGTCTTTGCCCTCGTCGTGTGAGGCCACGCCTGTCCAGGGCACTGGGGCCCACACAGGCCAGCGCCCCTATCCACGCTCTAAGCCTCTAAGCACGTGAGCCTCGTTTCGCACTGTGCTCATGTGATCATCTGCCCTCTGGAGGCACCGTGAAGTCCTTCAATGCCTTAGCCCCAGGGCTGCTTCCGCATGGGTGGGACAGAGACGGCATCGCAAGTAGTCGATCCTCACAGCAAGTGCGACACATACCAGCTTCCGTTCTTTTCCGCGAGGCTACAAAGGGCTTCGGCTTTATCTGCATCGAGGGCTCAGATGATGCCTTTCGGTCTGCACTGTAGGTGGGTTACAGTCCCGTTTATCACCAAGCACTGAGCATCGACTCGGGCTGCAAGCCGAAGCTGAGGTTTTCGTCCACACCAAGAGCTGCGTAGGCCCAGTGGGGAGTGGGGACAGGGCAAGCCCGCGGTTCGTAACCAGAGAAAGCCTTCAAAACAGCAGTTGTGAAAGCCAGGAGGCCGAAACCAGTGTTCGACCGGTCATCTTGCTCCTAAGTTTTGTCAGAAGGGCCGCCGCTTTCACTATTGCACTTCGGCCAGGCACCCTCCCCAATGCTGGCGACGTCGTCAAGTTTGACATGGAGCCCAGCCCCAACAGGCCTGGCCAGCACCGCCCCCAGAATTGCTCTGCTGGCCCTGGGGTGATTGCATTTTGATGCCTTTATTCCGGTGTTGTCGCCACACCGGCAGTCGTAATTCATGTTGTTGCTTTACAGCCGTACATGATTGTGTTGATTGAGCTGGACTCTAGATTCTACGCAATACGGCACGTCTGCACTAGTGTGCTCATGTGGTGGTCATTGTCCAGGTCGCAGTCGTGGTAGTGGCAGTGTGGTGGTGGTGGTGGTGGTGGTGGCGGTTGTGGTGGCGGTGGCGGTGGTGGCGGGGTGGAGTAGTACACAGCAGCAGGCAGCAGCAGCAGGAGGAGGAGCCATACGTAGGGAGTAAATGGGGCCCCGGCTTTTGGCCAGGGTTTGGAGCAGCGCAGTTCTCGGGAAGGAGAATTCGAACTTCGAAGCAGGAAGTGCATGTGTTCCGATTTTTGTGCCGGTTCCTCTTGTTCTGTGTCTGCACGCAAGTATCAAACACGACGCACGAGTGGCTGAGGTTTCAGGCGGTCAATGTCACAGGCGGAACGGCGCCCATGTCAGCCATGAATCCCATGGGCGTCTCGGCAGCGTCACAACCTTTTCGCACCAAGAGAATCGACAGCTGCGTGGTGCTTGGTCCGGCCCTCCCGGTCCCGTCCCAAGGCATGATGGGCAAGGGCGGCTTTGGGCCCATGATCGCAGGCGGCCGGGTTTTCAATCGCTTTCATGTCATTTCAACAGCTTTCTGCCAGTGAAAGACTGGCTCGTGGTTGCCCTGCATGCGTCGGACCCACCACATAAGTCGAAGAGCTTCCATTAGCTGAGAGATATAACGGGTCTCATAAACAGCCTAATGTTGCTGAGGCATCATGGGCGGATTGAAAGGCGGCATTATGGCCGGAGGTGGGGAACACGAGGGTAACAGCGAACATCGCCACACCCGGCGCCCGTTGCCGGGCAAGAAGTTCCTGCATGGCTGAGGCATGGGGCCGTACGGAAAGGGAAAAGGTGGCGGCGGCTACGGCGGCTATGGTGGATACGGCTGGCACTTCGGCGATCTTATCCAAGGCTTTGTAAGATGCAGCCAGGCGTTCTCCAAATCGCCTTTGGGCAAGAGTTCCATCCATTCATTCTGTCAGATTTGCTCAGGTAGCCTGCTGCACCACCGGCAGTTGCATTTTCGCAGCGTGAGTGTGGATTCGGCACCTCCAGGAATGATGACCAGCTTACAATAACTTAGTTACTAGTTCACTCTATGACCTGCGGGAGATTGCGCGGGAGTTTGCTGGAAGTTGTGCTCGCCTTGTTGATATTTGGGCGGTACGTGCCGTGTAATTGTTGCCGCAGATGACGATTGTTGGAATCCTGGCTAGTTGGAGGTGGACCGACACTGCTTCCCACACCTGCCAGTAGAAAGCCTACTGAAAGCAGGTAGACGTCTTGGGACAACTGGCGCCCAGCAGTCAATAGGAGCACGAAGGATCGGAAGTATCGAAGTTTTGTGGAATCGTATCCTCAGCCAGTGAGCTCTGCCGGGCGCCGGAATCATGATGCATTGCAGTTGATACCAATCTGCTGTGCTGGCAGCTACACAAACGGAGGGGACTCTGGCCAGTGCGAGTGTTTTCACTTGCCGAGAGCCACTCGCCCTCGGCGATGGGCCGGGACGTTCGGCCAAGTGATATGTTTGCCAAAGGCTGCGGCAAAATGGTCAGCCCACAGAAGCCCAGCTGCGACGAGGGCAGCGATGGTCTTGCAAAAAAGGCTGTTCTTCTTTGTAGTTTCATGTTCCCCGATGTCCTTCAGGTGCAGCTTCGGCGGTGAGAAACTAGCAACTACTGTAGCTTTCCGGGTCTTGCTTGTGAGGATGCGCTCACTAAGGTACGGAACGCTGAATTTACTTCCAGGAGCTTCTGTTTCTGAAGTCGCTGCAGCGCCAGGGACTCAGGCCTGATGCTGGGGCAATGCAGAATGCTGACAAGAAGATTATCTTAAGGTACGTAGACATCCTTTCGGCTGCTTGCCCGACACGCAAAGTTAGTATTTGCGGCTGTTGCACGTGAACTTCAAGAACTACTTGGCCGTGTCGACTATGCGTCCTGGCCAAGATATCGCCGCGCGAGCCTGCTTGTGCACCCAGATCGATGTCAAGGCCCGGGTGCATCGGTGTTCATAGAGTGCCGAGTCCTAGCCATGCGCGGCACGAGGAACATTGGCAGATAGCGACTAGGGTTGCATGCTATAGGATCCTTTAGCAGTGGTGGTGTCCGCTCGTGTCCTTACTTCAAAGCCTTTGGCCCCTTGGTTCACGTCTCGCCACCTGACGGTCCCTGCTTTCCAGGAGACCCCGACGCCGCAGACAAATTTGCGCGTCTAACAAGGGCGCGAGTGCTTGGGCTTAAAGGTCTTGTGTTGGTTTGAGAGCAGGGCATCAGTTTGGACTTGGGGTGTGTGGTATTGCCCAGGACATCCTCCTTGAGAATGCCCAGCGAGTATCGAGCCAGCAAGCTCCTCACATGGTTCCAGGTTGCCTCATGCCAACGCCGACATCGCGAAATATGTCGAGAATTCTGACATACATCCGGAGTATAGGGGCCATGCTGCTTGTACTTGAGCCAAAAGCCAATTAGCTCGGAGTGGTTCTTGGTGCATTTCGGTCGCTGAAGATTGCCTTTGCAATTTTGGTGTTTGTCCATGCTCTCCGTGTATTTGCAGCCCTTTGTGGTCTGGCATTTCGGCTCGCAGCGTAGCTCGCACCTTGTTTTATCAGAGGCCGGGACATCAGCAGTGATTCCTGGTGTGTTTGTTTCGGATGTGTTGCTCGGAGGCTGTTTGTGATGACATTGGCTTTGGCCTTATCCTGCCAGCTGCGCGTCGACGCAACAGCAACACTTTCCCGAGTCGAAGGTCACACATGCAACAGCGCTGCACACATCCCGTGTGGACTTTCCGAAAGCAAGGTGGGGACGACATGCAACAGTCCGTAGGAGTCTGCCCCCTTTGGGTGGACTGGCCATGTACTCCGGGCTGCGCACATTGATGCAAACAGGTTATTCACTGATTCGCCATTGAAGGCCTGGAAGGGCTTGCCATGTTTAGGCAAGGCCGTCGGCCAGGAGCAGTCATCTTCGGATTGGAAGCTTCGGTTCTTGCGGTATAAGCACGAGTGACAAAAATGTAGGTACAGTAGAGGTTCCTGTCGCCAGTCCAGTTCGCGCATCCCGGAAGACGATTACTCAACGAGCTCGGGAAGAGAGCTTCCCTGTCGCGCTCAGAAGGGAAAGAACTCTCAGATGCCAGGCGCTGGCAGTCTTGGATCTGGGTGTGGAGAGGCCTGGGCAACCGTGGAGCAGATTCCTTTCTTTCGCCATTTGCGGCATGGGTGACTGCTTTTGCTTCACATTTTCCGCAGGCAGCAGTCGCCTTTCTCGTCTGAGTCTTCGAGCCAGTCTTGCCACTCGGGTGCATGCGACCTTTCGCCTCAGCGATCAGATGATCTGGTGCAAGTCGCGAAGCCTGCGTGAGTGCAGGGGGTGGGTATGCTTGTCCGTTGAGGTGCATGTTTAAAGCACTCTGATGCGGCGAGGCTTGGAGAAAGCGGACCTCGATGTCATTAGCCAGGTATCCACCCGGCTCCTTGCATCGATGTAAGTTGCTTGAGTCTCGTGTGTTCCAACTCGTGCCTGCTCATTTTCTTGCTGCACGGCGCTTCAATTGCCGAGGTCTAGCCAAAGTGTCGGGTTGCCTCGCAAGTCGCGCAAGCGGACAAAGGCGAAGGCGTTGACATACGCTGAAGCAGTCTATGAATGACACAGACGGACTGAATGAAATGACTTGAAATGGTTTGAGTCAGTGACTTGAAATGAGCTGGAATGAATGGAATGAGTGCAGTGAACGGGGTGAATGGAAGGAAAGGAGGGATGGAATTATTGGATTGAATGAAGTGACTTGAGATAAATGGGATTGAAATGAAGTGAAACGACATGAGCTGAAATGCAAATGAAGAGTTGAATTCCATTGCACTGAAGTGAATTCCTGGACATAGTGAAGCGCAGGAAATGAATGAACGAATGAAAGAAAGAATGAATGGAACGTATTGAATGGCATGAAACGAATGGAATGAATGAACAGATGGATAGAATGACTGAATGGAACGAATGAATGAATGGATGGATGGATGGGATGGGATGAAATGAAATGACATGAAATGAAAGACCGTAGTTAAACTGTCTGCCTGCGTTAAATGAATGAAGCGAATGAAAGAAAAATAAATGCACCTTCACGCATGGATGAACTAGTGAGTTAATGAATGAATGAATGACTGGCTGAATACGTGAATGAGTGAATGAAAGAAGGAAGGAGTGAATGAATTGAGCTGTGTGAGTGTTTTCAGAGGTTTCTTCAAAATTCTTCAGCTCAATGCAGGATTTCCAGCGCAACTCCTCTGCTTCGTCCTCTTCCACAACAGACTGCCCTTTCAAGACGCTCAGAGGCCCAAATTGTAAAAGCTGCAGCTCTGCAGATGCTGCACAGCAAGTAGCACCATGCTGTGAGTCTGGCAGGCCCAAGTGTCTCAGAGCATCTGGTGTCGTTTTCAGGTGTCTGCCATCGTCTGGCCAGATCTCTCACGTGCACCCCTAAGATGGTAAGTTGTCGCGGAGTCAGGTCACACAACCCGAAGCGATTGCATGTGAACTCCACCGCAGTTGACTGTTCAGGTGGTTTGGGCGGCTTTGTTCACCGAGCACGGCATGCGAGGCTACACTCTTGCCTCTGAGAGTGCGTACCTTCTAGCACACTACACGCAATGCGCGGTGCTTACTTTTCTTGCCTGCAGAGGACACGCTGCGCAAGTCTCCCAGCGAGATATCGACTTGCCCTAGTTCTCTATGCCGCTAGGATGCAGAGATGGGTAATTCGGTTCGTGGCATTGCTGAGATTACAGCAGCATGGATGTGATGAGGCACCCCGCTGGACACTTTCGAGCGTGAGGTTAGCCGGCGGTCCTATGCCAACCGCTTCATTCAGTTTAGCACCTGGGCGGCCGGTAAGATGGTGCAGATGCATGGCAGCATGTGCATTCATAGCAGCATCTTCCAAAAGTTCTTGCTCTAGCCATCCTTACCAGCCATGCTGCCGCTGGAGGCCCGGCTTGTCTTCTTGGCATACTTTTTTTTGTTATTCGCGTCCTTTCTCGTTGAGTTGTCTTTCTTGTTTCGTTTTGTGCCGGTTGCGCTTTACTTGTTCGTATTTCATGTTGCTTTTCATTCTGATGTTTGCTTGCAGTTGTTTCTTGGTTTGTGCGCCTTTCCTTGCTTATTGCTTTCGCATTCTGATGCACTGATGCTTTCACTTATTGATTTCGTAAGTTTTCAATCTTTATGCGTTCGGCGGCTTTTGCTCTTCGCTATTCTACTGTCCGCTTTATCAGACTGCTTGCGCTCGTTATTTGTCGATTTTCTGCGTTCTCCCGCTCTACGCCTTTGGTTGCTTTGTTGTTCCTCAACCGCCAACGCCTCGTGAGGAGGAAGGGGTTAAGACTCGTGATTAACCGCCATGGCCTCATGAGGGAGCGGGTGGGTATAACAAATGCATCCATGCGCCATGGCGGAGCTAAGGCATGTGGCCAACTGCCATTGCCTAGCAAAAGGTAGGGTTCAGGAGATGTCATCGCCATTGACGCATGAGCTGGCGCTAAGAAATGTGAGCAAGAGCCATCGCCTAATGAGGGGGCGGTGATAAGACATGTGCGCAGCTGTCATCGTCTAGTTAGGAGACGGAAGAGACATGGGATCAACCGCCATTGCATATATGCGAATAGAAGACACACGGACGATGTGAAGAAGCCTCATAATCCCGCCCTGCTAGCATCTGATCGGCTGTGAGCGTTTTGCGAGACTTGCGGTCGAGCGTCTCAGAGGACCAGCACCAAAGTCGTTCGAGATTTGGAGGACCACACAGACGAGCCCCAGGGGCCGAATAGTGTGCCCCTGCTAGTCTCCTAGGACAGCAAACACAACGCGAGCAATGAGGAGACCAAAACAATAGCACTTTCAATGACTTCGGCCTCGCCGGTGAACACGGCTTCCCCCCGCAGTTCTTCTCTGGGCAACAGAGCCGAGCAATTATCTCGAACCCAAGGCTAACACAAAGCTGGATCTCATCTCCTCAGCTGGCCATGTCGAAAGCAATTAGGGATCTTGACTCGTGCTCGTAGGTGCGAATCGAAGCTTCGTCCTAGGATAGCCAGCCCCGGTCACTGTCGTCTTGCATGTCGGCGCAAGCTGATGATGGCTTACTAATGCCTTCAGACAGCATGCAGCTCAGGCTTGGAGTTTGCAGCTCGACTGGCAATTAGCACAAGTCTAAACAGTACCGGGATGGAGGAAGTGCTTCATGGATCCTGTGCAATGGCTTGTTGCTTCGGCCTCGATGAGGCTGCTACAAAGCTTGTGTCATGCTGATTGTGTTTGCATGCAGCTGTTTCATTCTTTTTTCGTCGCTTGATGCGGTGTTTCATCAGTGTTTCATCAGCAAACGACATATCTTCACGTTTGTTGCGTCGCGGAGTGGCCGTCTACAAAGAAAAACTCTGGCCTTGTCGAACAAAGGATCCGGTCATTGACATGTCACCCACCAGCCGAGCACTCCTCGGCTCGCCACGCCGTGGCTTGGTCGCACCCAATTTCTGTACGGGCCTTGTGCGCACCAGCATTGCGAGCGCCTTTGCAGGCATGGCTCGCACGAACCATGACGGCGAGGCTCACAAGTACCGTTTGTCCATGCCATAGCTTGGCAGAAGCTGTAGAGAGGCACCAGGGGCACCATCTTGGTAAATAGCGACTGAGGGTGCCACAGCCTCGTTTATCGTCTTTGCCCGGTTTTATGTCACCTCGTGCATTGCAACACTAAGCATGACTGCAGACGAGGTGATTTTAGGATAGTTGTAGAAAGATGGCGCGAAAGAAGAAACGAGTAGTTAGCGACATGCAGGGTAGTCAAGCCTGGTTCTTTCTTCGCGTCTCTCTTTGTATCGAAGGGTTGTCTAGTCTCCAGGAGGTATCGGCAAAGGTTGCTCATTGCTTTTTGCAATGGCTCCTCCTGGCAGATGGCGGTTTCGCAAGCACGTTCGCGACACTGTTGCTCGTGCGCTGCAGCTGAGCTGCAGGCTTCAGACTCAAGGTGGAGGAGAGCACATCTGATAGCTTAAGACATGCTTGGGAGTTGCAGGTGTTGAGATTCGGCATTGGGAGTGTTATCTTCCCTCCACCTACGGACCTACTTGCTCCCTACTGAACACAACTGCGTGCTAAAGGGTCCGCATATCTCCTGCCCACAAGAGATGCCGCGGAACTGGTATCCAGCTGTGGCAGAGGCATACCATTCCCACTGACACGGGAGCTCATCTTTTCGCGTCTCATGTGCCTTATGGCTCTCTCAACAAGTATGAGTTGTGAGACGCTTGCGCCTGTGGCCATCTTAAGCCCATCCAGTGGTCACGCTGTGAGCTAGTGGCATGAGCATCAACTTTTGAGCATGAAAGTCAACCAGCAGAGTCCTCTTTGATCCTGCATGGTCCTCCTGCGAGTCACACAGGTGACACGACCCGGATGGCCTCAGCGGCCAACCTTGCCTAGTATGTTGCTTTTGTCTCAGGGAAGGCCAATCAAACTGAAAGGAGCCTGCAGATAGCGGAGATTCGCAGAACCGTGCGACCGCCCATCCCGTGCATTTTTGGTGAATTCATGCGACAGTTGTGATTTTCGGTTCTTAGCCGTTTCCATTATCCCACAACTATTTGACACAGCAAGCCAAGCGGCAATCCCGTCGGGCTATTCCAGACCTGGTCCAACCCGTATCGGGGTGCCAAGCCGAATTTCTAGCGAGCTCGAGGCGCGACGCATTGTCTTGATGGTTTTAGGAGGATGATGTCAGCTAATTTCTCGTGCCGAGATCTCCGGACCTGCCTAGTGCCCCATGGGCTCCCCGCAGAGTTACACTTTTTGAACTAACACGCAGGCAGAAGAATGTGGGGAGCCTGGGGCTGCGGTCCTGTAGAACCTGATCTAGAGGGCGGGGCAGATGGAGTGAACAGGCACGGCCCGTCAGCGAGGGCAGGTGAGGCGCATCACGTGAGGGTCAGCAGACATCGGTGGACAGCCAGTAGCAATCAGTGGCATGTCTCTTCATTGTGTTGACGACCCTCCTGCAAAGCAAGCTTGACCGGGAGGTCCGTTGTCCACGGCATGCAGTCCAACGAGAGAAGCGTAGGATTCAGACTGGCGCCGACAGGGACCTCGCCGATACACCGTGCACTCTCCAGTCTGTGCCTGTCCAAGATTTTGTACGTTTCGAGGAACGGACGCTTAAAAGAGCAACCTCCCAGCAATGCTGGAATGGAAGTGGTCGAGCGAATGCTCGGCCTGCGTGTGACCACAATGGACAGTTTTGCTTCGAGCAAGAGGTCAACTTTTGCTACTATGCTAGAGAATTTTGCCCACGCACTTCCTTTCGCATCGTAGGGGTTTGACTCAGAAAACCAGCGCCTGGAGGGCGCACAGAAGCCAGAAGAGATGCCATGCAGTGTATCCTGATGTTCGCATGCATGGGCTGTCGGGCACATCACGAGTCACTTTTATGGTTGTCTGGATGCATGGCCTGCCCACAAAGGGGCCATCTGGTTTCAAGTCGACAAGAATGTCGCACTATAATGCGAGGATGTGCATCGGCCCATGCAAACAGGAGGGTTTTTGCACATGACTCTTGCAGAATCAGTTCAGGGAAGGTCCATCATGCGATAATTCCGTTATCGTTTTATCATGCGCAAAAGGTCTGTACATCCTCGTCACAGGATTAGTCAAGGTTGTAGACCTTGACGGCCGTCGCAGCTAGCCTGAGCAGCTCATCGAGTTGTGCTTGGACGAAGGTATGCTTTGAAGACTTCGTGCGTTAGAGCTTGTGGCGACAAGCCAGGCTTTTGTAAGCAGCAGATACCTGCAAGAAGGGTACAGTATCCTGCTAGGCCAAACTGAGAACTGAGCCAATCGCCGAGCATGATCTGCTCTTGCTGCGGGCCATTCACAGACAATGGTCGAGAAAGGGCATGATTTGAAGAGAAAATGTGCATTCCTGGTAACTGATGGGCAAGGAGGGTCCCCCCACTGGGACTGGGGTGAGGGGTCCGCGAGATTTTCATTGTGAGGCCCCTGAGCTCCAAGTGGGAGCCACGTAGATTCGTGGACGGACAGGCCGGGGCCGGGGTAAACGGGGTCGGGAGCGCCAACAGAGATTCTGCTGCCACAGGCCGTGCCCCGATCTCCGAGGCCAGAGTGGCATGTTGTCGAAGTCGGGGTTCCGGAGGGCCAGGCCTCTCTAAGCAGGCACATGAGAGAGATGACTCGGGACGGTCTGGCTTCGTTTGCCCTCTCCGCTTGCAGAAGCATGCTCTGACTCAAAATGGACTGCGCACGTTGACAGTTTCCTGCAGCAGTTACAGGTCACCACGATGTGAGGAACAGCGGGAAACTAGCACGACTGGCGCCGTGACTCCGCCAGCTGAGGACTGAGTCGTCCGCTGCAGAACGGGGTCAGATGCGAAATTCCTACACAGCCAGTGCACGCAATAGCCCAAATAGCCCCATGAATCCCGAGTGAGGATTCTAGCGTTAGCGGAATGGAGATCAGCTGCTGGAGCATCTCAAATTGACAGCCCGAAGGCTCACTGCCCTAAACGAGCTGGTAAGCTCGTGCATGTTGCAGGAGAGTGTGGGCCTGCAGTTGGAAGTATGATGAAGTAGGTATTTGAAGGGTATTCTGCATGTGCCAAGGCAAGAAAGAGAGCTCCTAGAGCTACTTCAGGCTCGGATGTTTTGCCGCTCTTGGCATTCCGCCTTCTCATAAAGCCCCGGTGCCATGTCAGCCTCCCAACCAAATCTCTTGCACCCAGTGGCCAGCTGCGATGCAGAATCCATGGTCTGCCAGGGCCCTTCGCATGCCAAGCCAAGCATCGAAAGGCCAGCGCAAAACACAAAGTACTACAAAATCGTGGCAAGGGCACTTGCTGGAGCGGCGCAGGTGCAGGCCAAGGCCGTGGCCGCGCTCCACAAGGAGGCGCCCTCCTCCAAGAACTGGAGACTTCAAGCACAAGGAGTTGTCGCCGACAGGCAGAGGCGGCGTGGGTGGCTGGGGCGGATGACGAGCCGGCGGAAATCGTGTGGCCCGAGGAAGGCTTGGACTGATTGCAGCCGAGGTGGTGGGGTGGAACCTGTCGGATCCTGTAGGCTTGTTCCAAAGCCTACGCAGCGCGCTCTCCCTGGAGTGGCCGCCGACTTGAATCCTTTTTCCGAGCCTTCGCTCGAAATCCAAGCCAACCGTTCAAGCAGGCCTGGTGCTGGGACATTCCAGGCCCTGCAAGAGCGTTTGTAACCAAAGACACGTTTTAGGCCCCACCCAGGCTTGCCTTGGGAGCTTGGTACAGTACTTGGTCGGCAAGTTTTCGTTTTGGTCCGGGCAGGTGCCGACCAACACAAGGCTGATGTTGGCCTGCATGTCCCGGGCTCAATCAACATCAAGACGAACGCGCCGTGTGATGCCACTGCTACGTCGTGACGTAGTGTCTTGTCGCGAGCTGTCGTCTGGGTCGGCACCCGTCGCTTCGCTCATGTGATTCTATGCAGAAGCCTCCTCTGAGGTGCGAGATCATGGGGAGCAGTCCTGCAGGTCTCGCAATGGACTTCGGACAGTCGTGGCCTCTGTTTTCCGCATGGAGCGAAGCCTTTCGGTGGTCCGCAACCAACAGCATCGAACTTGTGACTCCTGGCGTGACGTTTCTAGTTACCAACTTGCCCGCACGGATGCCACAGCTTCTCTACCGCACAAATCGATGCCGCCACGTGCGAAGAGTGAGAACATTGTCCAAGGCATGGCCAACGCGAGAATCACTCCAACGCATCTGATAGAGCTGCGTAAGCCCTACGAGCCCAGTCCACCGCAACGGACAGGTTCATTGCAGCTCAATTTGCATCTCGGAATACCAGATAGGAAGCAATTGAAGGCGCTGAACCTTCACGATGCCGTTGTCTAAGGCATTCTGACACCACAACATTTTTTTTTATGCACTTGCCCTTTGCAGCGTTCCGATTGGCTTTGGCAAAGGTTTCATCCTTTCGAGAAAGAGGTGCTTCTGATGGTGCGTGCCCCAAGAAGCGTATGTACCCTATAGTATGGCGAGGCTGCACATTGCGGACTCATGACAGAAGGAAACATGCACGCAGCAAGTGCGTCCATCCTGATTCATGCTCTGTGGCGGAGACTCCCGGTTGAAGGCGCGGGATGCCCTGACCCAGCTGGTTGCGGACTTGAGTCTTGAGCCTATGTCACAGATGTCAGAGATTTTTCTTGAGCGGATGGCATTCCATACCCAGATCCCCTAAGCCCCACAGGCTCGGGATGCAGCCTAGGTGCCCGAGCATCGGCGGCAGCAGAGCTTGCGGCTGCAAGGATCGAGGACTCCATCAGCCGCGAGGCCCAGCGTAGAGGGGTTTCTCCATGCTACAAAATGCAAACATGTGCAAAACCATTTCGCTCAACGAGTCATCGCGGGTAGGGATGGCAGGCGCGCACTCTGTGCAAGGGTGTGCTGGGCAGCAGCGATTCCCGTAAGCGCTCTAAGGCCCCAAGCAAGATTAAAGAGCGTGGGCACGGTTGACGTGGCCATGTGGCGAAAGTGGTGCATCACGGGTGCAGCTATATTCCGGAACTTCCATACACCATCACACGCATACGCCTATCGGCAGCTTCACAGCCCAGCGGCTCGCAGTGGACCGGACCGTTTGGCGCTGACCACGTGCAAAACGTTCCTCCGTTCAAGCTCTTACTTACTTTGTCTACACGCAATCAATCTGCGAGGGCGTCGGCGGTAGCGGTTGCCGAGTTTGCACAGTGCTACCCCAAAAACAAACCGAAATCTTTGCCAGGCGCTCGAGCAGGCCTTCCAGCGCAGTGGAAAACTTGGGTTTGGGCGCTTATTGGTGCTTGGTCGGATGTTGGATTGCATCGCAAAAGTGTTCGTGTTGGGCCGGGGCTCCGTGAGTTTGATTGGGCTCGAGACTTGCGTTGGCTGGTGCTGTTTCAAGAGGAAGCAACGGCAAGCCAATGCTGTCGGATGCGGTTTAAGGCTCGGGTTGTGCCAAGACTTCCCAAAATATCCCGAGCAAAGCTTCCCTTAAGCTGGTCAAAGGCAACGTTTCAGGTACAGCAGGTCTCCCCGCAAACGGGTCGCTTCGGTGTGCATTGGGTGTGCAAGAAGGACCTGCGCCGTGCTGAAAGCCACGCCGATGTGATGCTAGCTGAGGCAGGTTCCTGGAAGCAGCCAATCTTGGACTTATGCTTCAATATATTCTCTGCTCGTCGGCACCTGGGAGGCCACGCGTGTCAGTGAGCTGCACGCTCAGCAGAAAGAGGACCGCTTCTGGCGACAGTGCTTCCGAGACCATCCTGTGAGTCCCCGTGTAGTAGAGGTGGAGGGGTGGCGGGAGAGCCGACTGTGACTCTGCTTGCTTGTGTCTTTGGGCTCAATGCAAGAGCGCTGATGTCGGCCACGTCCATGGGGCCTCCCTGACTCCGGGGACCTCGAGGTCCCGCCCCGCAGCTTTCCGCGGCATCCCGCGGGTCTGCGGCCCGCAATGGCAGTGCGAGACGCACAGAAGACATCAGAGGAGGAGCGATGCGTGACCTTCAGTCTCGGAGACGAGCTCTTCAGATATCAGGCGAATGGGGAGAGCCCATGTACCTTTGGACTGCCATGGGCTCCTCCTTCCGAGAAGATCTTTGATCTGCATTTCTTTTGGCAGCTGTGGAGCAATCTCGCCAAGGCTGCGATGCGAAAAGATGTGCCCTTAGTGTCTCTTAGAAACATGTCTTACATGCTGAACGACACCTACAAGATTCCAAGCGCACTGGACGTGAACTTCTTTGGGCAGCTGTCGAAGCCCCTTGTGGGCAAGTAGCTAACCAGACAATCGGGAGGGGGTCCTTGTGCCCTTGTGCGCTTGTTGCCGGGACCATTCCCAAGGAAGTATTGTTCTTGGCCAGACCTGCGCCATTCCCTCATCACCGAGGGGCACCCCTCCATCAAGCTGAGCTTCTTGGAACGAGCCTGGCTTGAGACAAGCCTTACTTCGAGTCGAGCAGCTCCATAGAAACCTCTAAAAGTTGGAATTGCGGGTTGCTCTCTCGCCTGCAGGAGTTTTCCTGATGCTGGAGGAGCCAAACAGTTGTCTTCTGGCAAAGGCCTGGTTCTATATCATCATGCCTCTGGGCTGAAGTATCCCCTGCCTGGGCGGGCCGTCAAAGAGTTACTTCCGCTCAGGTTTGCTGCTGTCGCCAACCTCACAAGCTTCATCCTCCCAGAAACGGCAACCTGGATGTTCGAACAGATCTGGGGTCACCACCACCATGAGAAGCACCAGGCCAGGCGCCTTGTCATGTGTCCCGCCGGGCGTTTCTATGATGCTGTAAGGGGCATGGTTGGCCGCTTGTCACCGACGCAGGCGATCTTTAGCACGGTCTGCATTCTGGCAGCCTGATCGCAGTTTAGACCCTTTCTTCGCTGTTCGTGTGTACTGCCAAGATACCAGCCTTTTCTGAGTTTGTTGCTCGTGCCAAGATCTTCACCACGGACTACGTATCGAAGCTGGTGTGCTCACCATTTGTCCGCGTTGAGCTCGTGCAACCATCGGAGAAGTATTTCCATTTGGACGAGCCTCTCGGCCACACAGCAGCTGCATCTGAGTCCTCATGGCTTGCTTGATGTACACTTCACGTAAGAAGCAGAGCAGCCGAGGTCGCAGCGAGCAGTGGTGCCACAGACGGGCACACAGCGGTGTCTGGATTTTATGCTGCAAGTGACGAACATCGTAGACCTGCTTGCGATCTTGCCCTGGTGGCTTGACCTTTGCTTTGTCAAGATACTGCCTGGGGCTGCCTTCTTGCGCATCATCCGCATCTCTCGGATCTTCCACCTCTTCAAGTCTGCACGTTATTTTGACATGGTTCAAGTGCTTGGCTTGACACTGTGGAAGAGCATCAATCTGGTTGGAATTGTTTTCGCGCTCATCACCGTGGTGGGGCTCTTCGCTGCATGTCTGCTTCAGCAGACAGAGGTGACAATGGGCAGCCAGATGAGCGAAGTCTTCGAGACGGTTCCAGCATCTTGGTTCTGGATCTTCTGCCGGCTGATCGGGATGAAGGACACGATTTACGGAAAAGGCAAAGTACAAAGCTATTTTGGCATTGCCATCCTGGCTGTGACTCTAACGCTGAAGGGTGTGCTGTGGATTGTGCCAATTGCTCGTATCCGCCAAATCTTCTCCCAAGAATATGCCATTGTCGTGAACACCAGCAAGGCCCGCAAGAAAATGATCGATGACCTGCTGGCCTTTGTTGCTGGCTCAGACCAGAGCCTAGTGCAGAGCCGGAACGGTTACATTTGCTGCAACCTGCAGCTCTACTCGATCACGAAAGAAGAAGCTTGGGTGCCGCTTCCTCTCCACCAGAATGAGGCCCGCGGCTTTATCGGTCGGAAGACGTCTCCTAGGCTAGAACCTAGAGCCTACCAAGCCGTAGTAGTCCGAATGTTACTAGGGCTACCTGGTGCTCAGGAAGTGAAGCTCGAGAAGTATCGGGTGGCCTTGAGCTCCAGCGCTTCTGCTGCAGAGGTTTTCCTGGACATTCTGTGGAAGCCAGGCGCCTCAGCCAGCAGGGACTTCTTTATGCTCGAGTTTGTTTAAAACTACCAGCAAGGGGGTTCGTTGAAGCGTGGAGCCAAGGAGCTGCAATGAAGAACAGCGCCAACAGCCTTCCACAGGGAACTCTGGCCCTTACTCTGGTCGGAGGTTGGAGGTGCGCTGAATGCCATCTGAATGACTATGAATCGACACTTCATGTTCACATGTCTGCTGGGGAGACCTGCTCGCAAACTGCTGCAACACCACGACACGCATTGTTTGCTTTTCAGATACACGTCCATTGCGCATGTAGCAGGCTTCCGGATGGTTTGCACGAGATTCAGTGGGAAGTTCCTGTCGACACCTTCAGCACAGCATCTTGGCGTAAGGATAGCGTGTTGAGTGTAGGCAACTGGTCAAGCAAAGGGAGGCGCCGCTAGGCCGAAGTGTGCAGCACGCATCCCAGCCCCTGGCATCATGTGCCCTGGGACCTGTGCGGTACCTCAGGAGAAGCAGACGGTCACTCTAAAAGCGGCCACCAAGACCACCGATACAGTCACCTTCGAGATTGCATGGACGGGCTCTGGAGAGGATGTGCCTTGCCTGACATGCAAGACCAGTGCTGTAGGCTTGTAGAGGGGCCGGAGCATGCAGAGTCCATTGCCACACGCCTGTTCTTGTTGTGTTTTTTTTATTTTTCGTGGTTCCGCCGTTTACAAGTCGACTCGCCATCGGATTCGGATCAGCGCTTGCCCCTCAACCGCTCAGGACGAGCCACGAGAGATCGACGACGATCTGCAGATGGACTACCGGGATTTCCAGAAGCAGGCTTCTGCCGTGGCAACATAGTGTGTAATGATGTCCCAGGTCTCTCTGCGGAGCCAAGCCACACAGCACGATGCCTTGTAGCGAAACAGTCTTGCTCAAAGTTTGACTAGCTCTACCTCCAAATCAACGAAATCCGAAGCTGAGGTCTCTGTAAATGCCAAACACTTTAACAGCCCGGAGAATTACTTGAGCCATTGCTTCAACACATCCACTGAACAAGTGAGCGCACATGAGACACTGGGGAAGAACAGAAGGAGTCGTTCTTGTTGCCATTCAGCAACACTCCGGCTTCTCTTATTCCGTACCCCTTATTCTCAAAACCCCCGCCGATCAATCAAGCCAGTGCCCACCTTGGTCGCCATACTTAGCGGGGCAGGGGACACTTCAAGCCCGGGCGAGTGAGCGTGAAAAGTGTGCCCTGCTCAAAGATTTGACCTGTGTTTTTTTGGTTGCTCAGGTTCTCCATCTTCTGCAAGAGCAAGCGGAGCTCATCCAGGAGCGTCCGCAGCTACAGACTCTTAATGCGAAACGTGCGCAGCTGAGAGGTGCAGCCACAGACATGATGCTTTTCAGGAGCAGCAGCAGTGTGTCCAAGAGTATGGGCAGCGGCTGAAAGGGTTGGACTCGAAGCTGTGAAGGCATTCCGAAGCGTCCAGTTGCACCTCATCTGACGGAGTCTTGCACGGCTGCTCGCATCTGAAATCTGTTCGCATCTGCTCACATGCGGGCAGCTTGCTGCAGGCCTTGCCCACTCAGATGTGCAAAGGCAGCCGGCTACCGAAGCCGTGAGCACCGGCGTCTCACAAAGCATCACGTGATTGCACCCTCTAAGAGGGAAGTAGCAAGCTCTGTGGTGTGGTCTACTCAGTGACTTCCTGAGCTTATCGGATATCGCACCGTCGCCCAGCCGTAAGCAGCCAGAGCCCGGGTCTGCGCAGAGCTTGAGCAGCAAGAAGATAGCGACAAGGATGTGTTCCGGAAAAGAGGAGTGCAGCTGTCTCCCTCTCTTCCTTTTGCTTGCTGGTTGGGTGCTTTTTCCATGATGCTACTGTAGAATCTGTTGGGAATGCTTGTTATACGGAAAACTGTGCTTGTTGATACGTGTCATGAGAGTCTGGATCCACTTCTCCGTAGCACACGCTTTGGTCAGCCTGACACTTTGATCAGCCGGAGGAGGCTGACGGTTAAAGATATGTGACCCTGTCACGCCCTCTCACTGGCGGCATGGCACCGTTTCTCATTGCCGGCCTTAGGTCAAGGAAGGTTTTCATCAGCTTCGTTCGAGCAGAAGCGCCCAGCAAAGGCCAGAAGCTTCAACTCCAATCGGCCTCCAGCGTAAACAGAGAAGCGATCGCAGCTTCACAGGAAGCTCAGAAGCTCAGAGCAAACTCGAGCCGCATTTGCTATGAGGAGCTTTTGCAAACACGCCGTGAAGAGCGGGAGTTTGCGGCCGAGGTGCAGGGAGGATTGAAGATTGTCACCAGTGCCACATGTGTTGAGAAGTCGCTGTTAGGAGCATTGAAAGGGTAGCAGCAAATCTTCGCGGAACAATGTACTCTGTGTGAGTTTCATGCTGCAGCCAACGGCCGCTTCTGATTGACAGTTGCTCTGCTAGACTTGGAAAGATGCTGCATCTGCATTGGCTTCTGCACCTTTTGAGCACGGCACCGTACGGTCGATTGGTCTTTCGCTTGCAGCTTACGAAGTTGCGGGGGATAAGTTCCAGATTGAAGGTGCGATCCTGCCAGAAACTCGAGGCCTGCCTGTTAAGAGCTCTGCCACGTGGATCGTCTGGGAATCCAGAGCCCAAACTCACGGGGCTTATGTTCTTGATGATTAGCTTTGGCTTTGCATGGAGCATGCCAGGCCTCTGCCGATGCCAGTAGGCAGGCTTTGGAGAAGGCCAGAAAAGGGGCCACAGACACGAGAGAAGCCCTTGTGCCCCGTCATACAATGCCAGGCGCTCGCCATCTTCAAGGCTGGCTTTAGATTCCCAAAGTCCTGCTCCCAGCGTTTTTTTTTTTAAAGATGTGAGGATTTCGAGTCTTCTGGACCGCCCAAGAAGGCTGCGAGGCAGGGAAGCTGGGAAGCTGAGCGCTTGGGCTTTGCCAGAAAAGACGAGATTTATTTGCAGGCAGCTTCTCCAAGAGGTGGAGCTCCAGATGGAGGCCTCCTAAAAGCACGTCTGCTTCTCATGGCCTACGGCTAAATGATGCTAAATGCGTAGGCCGTCCGGCTCAGTGAAAACCTGTTTGCCAGCTCCGCGCTGTGAGCTCAGAGCGAGCCACTGCCGTGTCCTGCCATGCGCGTCCATGAAAGCCTCAGGCGCGCGGTGCTGCCCGCTCTCCGGACCATGCCCGGCGCTCAACGGCGATGCCACGCGTCCCCGCATCCCCACGGGTGCGCGCCGCCTCAGGCCAACGGAGCGCAGCCGAGCGCATGAGGCGGCTCTGGCAGCTGCCGAGGGCGTCTTCCGTGATGCGGTGAAGGCGGCGGAGATGATGGAAGGGGATGGCAGACCGTACGGGAATGCCGCGCCTGCTCCGGTATTCCGAAGTTGCTGCTCCGCTTGAGAGCATGAGTCCAGTCCCAATTCAATGACTGACACAGTCCTGATGTGCCCCTGGTGATGTTTCTGCTGGAGGGTATTAGCACGCAGCTGTTTGGGGCTTGGCCAGATGCCTGTTGAAACAGCTCGCCCCGACATGATCTTCTGCACAGTAGCAGTCTCAGTTTGTCTGCTAGGCTACTAACAGGCTTGTCCTTTGCGATTCCCATGTGCGCGATCTGGCACAATGTCTGAAGAGTCCTCTGGCATTGGTCAGTGGCAGCAGGAGGACTATCAAGCAGTAAGGGCGGTGCCCAACTCACGTGGGCATCCGGAGCCGGAACAGCTTCATCACTGCTGGCAGCGGCATGAGTCCATCAGCTTGGGGTGATACTAGTAGTATTCTGCTAGGACTAGGAGCTGCTAGGAGCTCACGTTCACATCTTGCCCCGAAAGCGCTTTGGGCTCCTTGTAAAACGTCTAAGACGCTTCGATGGAGTTGGCCTTGAAAGGACGCCGTGGAGCCACTGCAGCCTTCGTTGCCGATGAAGCCTGGGCAGCAGTGGACCGTCGGGAAAGACACGGAGCCTCCCACGGCCGACGCGACCAGCCTCACAGGCTCCGAGATTTCGCACATCAAGCCTCGGCCTAAACACCTCGCCCACACATCTGTCAAATGCTCCATGTTGTGCAGGTGACGTGTGGGTGCTCTTGCTACAGCTGCACCGAGAGATCCTATACAGGTTTGATAGTCAAGACGAGATTCTCAGCCGTGTGCTGACTCGGCCGTCTGTGACAGAACCAGAGGATTTGTTCGTCGACAGCAAGACACTTGGATCTCAAATCAAGCCTTGCCCCTGCTGATGCCGCCTATCATCCGAGTTGTGAGAAAGCAAATCAAGCGGGCTCCTTTGCGTTTTCTAGCACACTGGCCGATTCGAGCAAGGAGCCAGGTAAGCGAGAAGCAGGTCGAGGACGCCTCAACGGATTCGAGTCCGCTCGAGCCGAAACCTCCAAGCAGGAGTCGGGAGACGTCGGGAGCGGGGATCGGTCGGGCTGCGCTTGGCAGCGGGAGCTTCTTGTTGCCAACTTGTGCAGGAAGGGCCGGCCGTCGTTCACGCCGAAGATCTTCAGGACTTTCGATCAGTTCGAGCACTCTCTCCGCGCCGAAGCTGCGAGGGCGGACTCCTTCCGAAGGAGGGACTTCGCCTAAACTGACGACCCACCCAGGGACCCGGCACCTGCCAGCAGAGCACTCGCACAAACTTCCCCCACCCCACCCATCAGGAGACGAAAGTTTGCCAGTATGAAAGAGCCCGGCGACGTGCAGCCGAGGGCCGAATGCACCTCGGCCAGCCTGTGTTCTTTACGGTTCTCGCAGTCTACAGGCCCTATAGGCCTATAGGCCATCAGCTTGTGGCAGTCGAGGCTGCGAATGGATCCGAGCAGCGGTCCGACATCCAGCGTTTGACTTGTTCTTTGCCCTCGTCGTCGTATCGAACTCAATCTTTATCGGTGTTGAAGTGGAGCAAGGTCTGAACTCGCTGGGGCCGCAAAGTATGACTATCTTTGTTTTCCAATATGCATATTCGGGCCTTTTCACGGTGGAGCTTGTCTTGCGCTTGGCCGCTGATGGATGCCAGTTCCTCTGTGGACCAGACTGGGTGTGGAGCTGGCTAGATGTCTTCATCGTGCTGAGTTCACTCTGGGAGATTATCATTGAGGTCATCTATGTCTGGTATGGTGATGCCAACGCCCAGGAAGCTGCTGAACATGTTTCAGGCATAATCAACCTTAAGGCCTTCCGAGTTATTCGAATTACGCGCATCGTCAAGGCAGTCAAACTCATGCGGATCTTCCGCTTTGTTATTGCACTCCGCACATTGATCACTTCAATCATCCACACACTGCAGTCACTATTCTGGGCTCTTGCGCTTTTGGTTCTGATTGTCTACGTGTTCGCGGTACTCTTCGTCGGCGCCGTGAACGACTTCAAACTGGATCCAGACAACCCAAAACTTCCAACGAGAGAGATGGAAGCAAGTGATTTGTATTTCTCGTCCCTGCCAGACACGATGCTCAGCTTGTTCATGTGCATTGCTGGTGGAGTGAACTGGGGTGAGGTCCAGTCCCCATTAAAGGCAATTTCCACTGTGTGGGTCTTCTTCTTCCTTTTCTACGTCGCATTCACGCACCTGATGTTGCAAAGCCTTACTTCTTTGGGCAAAACGTGCATGTGTTTTTCCTTTTACTCCTCAAGCATCCATGGATCTCCCGCTAGAGAGAGGTATTTTGCCGTCCTCAACGTGGTTACAGGAGCCACGCTGGCCAGGGAGGGGGCTGAAATCGGAGGGTGTTGTCGTTCGCAACGAACCAATGAATCAGCAGAATCATAATGGAAGGGGACTGGGAATTGCCTCTACGTCGGAGTCCACATATCAATTCTCGTGGCCGATCCTGTGCAGGAGTTTTCTGTCAATCAGCAATCGACAGCGCGCAGAACGACCACGCAACGGTCGTGCAGTCCATTTTGGCCAACAAGAAGGCCCACGTGGAGAGGATACAGGCACTCTTCAGCCAGTTTGATGACCGGGAGACTGGTGTCATCACCTTTGCGATGCTGGAAGAAAAGATCGACTCACCGGATGTACGGGAATACTTCGAGACCCTTGGCTTCGCTAGACTGTCGGTGCTTTGAGTTTGGCAGCCGTCATTCTGGTCTCCAAGGACCCTGGGCTTGGATGTTTGGGATGCCTTGCGCTTGGATGTGCTTGTCGTTTCAAGTTCAGGTATGGTTCAATGCAGCAGTTGATAAAAAGAACCAATGACTCGGAGAGTATCTTCGCACGCATATACTGATCGGTACCACTTTAATTCAGGTTTTTGTGGTTACCGAGGCTTGGACTTTCTTCAAGCCACCTTGGTGGCACTTGCATTCTTCTTCTTGCAGTTTCGGTCACACTCGCTAAGGCGAGCAAGTTGAATGACGTGTTCTGCTGCTCGAGCTCCTTTGCACCGAGGTTGCTGGACCTGGATGCAGGTGGCGCAGTAGAAACAGAAGAGTTCTTGCGGCTTGGCGTTGTCGGTGAGAGCCAAAGATTGCAAATTACTGGGGCACGGATCATGAGCCTCTCAGTGCATCCATCGGACAAGCCCACCCACTTGTCGGTTGTATCGCTCTGGCAGATCGCTTCGGACCGGAGAGAGACCGAGAGGCGGAGGCTGTCAATGCGCATGTTTCGGATCGCACGTCCAGAGCATCGATGTCGACACCAGAACTCGTTAAACGCATTTTCCAAGGAGGGACCCGACGACCTCTGGGTCTCTAAACACGCAGATCCTAGGATGGGATGCCTCCGGCTTCGCGGCCAAGCCCGTGCCATTGATGTCGCTGGGCTCCGAAGCGGATGCTACCAGCGGTTGCCCCTCCACAAGGTGCAGGGGATGCCTTCAAGCCCTAAGGTCGAGAAGCTAATCTACGACCAGACCTGGCTCATCAAGAGCGACTCAATGGATCCGATGGTGACAGGGGGCTCTCTGGGGTTTCTACTAATGTGACGTTGCTGACACACACTTAGTCGCTTAGTCTGAAGCTGGCACTTGCAGACTACGGTGCCAGTAGAATCTGCTGCAGCAAGATGCTGATATCTCCTATTTCCTAGATCTCAAGCAGGGTTCAAAGGGAAGATCGACTCCTTCGCGACTTGAGCTAGTCCTCTCTGCCATGGCGATGCGGCATGCATCTGCTACCAGTAGCTCTATTCGAAGCTCAGCACTGCTGCCGTGGGATCTGTGAAAGGTCGCATTGTTTTTTCTTGGTTCATAGGAAGGACAGGTACGGTGCCGGGAGCGGCTAGAGTCTAGATTGAAAATAACCTTGCCCTCAACTTGTACCTCTACTGCGAGACATGCATGGGTTGTCAAGTGTAGAGGAAAACAGCTTTCGCTGTCCAAGGCCAGAGTCACTTCCAGACTTACATGGAGGTGGAGCTAAAGCAACTGAAGGAGACATATGACACATGCATTGCTGCTCTCCCGTCATTCCCTCTCCGAGTTTCAGCTCCGTGCGGTTGCTATGCTGCAAGTAGGTTGCTGTTGGCTTCATGATTTTGAAAAGGAGCATCTAGTGCTGCTGACCGGCATCAACTTTCAGCGCTCAAGCCGCTGCGCCAGATTTAAAGGGTCAGCGTCGGCAGCATGATCTGTGGAGTTGAGCTGTTCCTGGCGAGCTTGTCGCCAAGTCATGTCAAGTCTCCTTCGAAGTTTTGGACATTTCAGCTGCTGAAGTAGGAGTGCTTTTCAAAGCCGTTTGCTGAAACTTCCAGGCTACATCATGATGGGCCAGAGCAAGGTGGACAATGTGGACACTGCTATCAGCGAGTAGAAGTTTAGAGTTTCTGGTGCCAAGCATGCAAGTTCGGAGCCGCAGCTACGCGGCACGCCGCAGCCTCTTAATTCAAGCCTCTGACAGTGAGCGTCGAATTCAAGACCTCTCGCCCGAGGAGCTTTGGGACGAAGTTGGATTTGTGTGCTGAGATAGAGCACGATTTCTCTCTTCTCTAAGGCTGATCCCACTGCTCTTCAAGATTTTGGGAAAGGCACCGTGTGCATTTTGAGGTGTAGCCGCCGTAGTGGGAATCCATGAGGCGCGAAACCTCCGTTCCCGAATTCAACACGACCTCAGGTCACCAAGTTTTGCCAGTAGCTTTGCCGCAGCTGTTTACTATGGTATTTGCAAGGTAGTGCGTGGACCTGTGCGGAATACGCGGGTTTCTATTTTTCGTGACTCTTTCTTGGGGCTTTGCAAATGAGGGGGTCATCCCGTTTCGGAGTCTGCATTAGCATGCTTTGTCTCTGAAACCCTCTTCTAGCAACACGCAGTGCGTCGATCTTGACTGCTTGGCCGCTCGACGGCGGTGTGCCCCGGCACCTTGAGAGCAAAAGGATGCATCTGCCTTTGTTTGCATTCCACACTCCTTTGTCAGTGCTATCTCTCAGGTTGAACCATATTGATGGCTTGTTTTTGGCTCTTGCAACCTGCCTCAGGACAAAGCAGAGCAGCACAGCCAGCACAGCCATGAGCCGAGCGCATTCCGAGCTGCCACTTTTGGAGAAGTTGCTGCGAGCTTCTTCAGACATGGGGAACCGGGGCAAGGTTAAGGCAGTCCACAAATCTCGTCTACTCTAGCCCCAGTTGACTTGGCGAGCCCTCTTGGCATGCTGAGGCCAACAACTCGCGGGTGCGCGACGAAGCCTTGAGCGAGCAAAGTCCGATGCCAGAAGCCTGGAATCTGATCTTCCGCGGAGTTTCGGTTTGGGTCTGTCCGATTTGAAGATCTTTGGGAACACGAGCTTCGGGTCGTTTCGTCAGACTACCTGTTCTTGTTCGCATGCATGAGGACCCTGAAACATGTGTACCAATGCCAGCATAGTCACGGAGCCGTCGTGCTGGTAGTAGTGGAAGACTAAGAAGAAGCAGTAGTAGTAGTAGTAGTAGTAGTAGTAGTAGTAGTAGTAGCAGTAGCAGGAGCAGCAGCAGCAGCAGCAGCAGCAGCAGCAGTAGCAGTAGCAGTAGCAGTAGCAGTAGCAGTAGCAGCAGCAGCAGTGGTGGTGGTGGTAGCAATAGTAGTTGCTGGCCCCATCGCCAACTGTGGAGCAATTACCTAATTCAGGTCGCCGCTGCGGAGCGATTGGCGGAGGAAGGGAGGCAGCGAGAAAGGCCAGGCAGTAGCAACAAATCATGACTATCAGTAGTTCGCTTGTTGTAAACCGCAATTTGGAGAGCAAATGCTTTGCAAACCTTTGCATGTTTGACACACGCATGGATGAACCAAGGATGCGGATTTAATGCAGAATAGGCAGAGCTTCAATCTCGTGTTCGAGCCGTACTGTGCCACCGCCACCACCACCACCACCACCACCACCACCACCACCACCACCACCACCACCACCACCACCACCACCACCACCACCACCACCACCACCACCACCACCACCACCACCACCACCACCACTCTTGCTGTCATTATTGCCGCCGACGGATCCGTCAACTAAAGACGACGAGCTACAATTTACTTGTTTCCGTTGCTACTGTTATCCGTACGGCCTATGACGATGTGCCAACTGGTTACTCTTGCCGTGGCTGATGCTTACTGCAATAGCCTACGTAGCGCTATTCTGAAGATCACTGCGGTCGTCTGCACGGGTACTGCAAAGCCACTCCTTTGAATCCACACAAGGGATGCCCTCGAGAAGCACGCGGCAGCCCTTAAGTTGCTGGAGGAGGTCTGGCAAGGTTGAGGGGCTTTTGGCAGTTCCAGCCGACGAGGGCTTTGGAGAACCCTCGGAGTGGACCCGAATCTTCGGAACTGAGTGGGGAGGTAAGCGCATCATCATTTACGACAAAAGCCAGAGCACATTCATAATGAGAACGAATACTTGTCTTCGTGAGCCGCTTGGAGGCCTCAGCGTCACTTCGTCGATTCGGAGAGGTGGGATTCCAGAGCTCCGGCGGTGACGGTTTCACATGTCCCGGATGGCCTGCAAGCAGTCGAGTATTCGGATGCGATGTTGAAAATTGGGAGTGGGCAGCCCTCCCACAAACTCTGTTGTCCGGTCATACGAAGTCGAGAGCAGTTGCAATTGCATGTGGGCCGGGTGACAGCTCTGCGGGCAAAAGTGCGGCCTGTTGCTGCTGCCAGGAGTCGCGAAACTTAGCTTGGAACCTGGCTTTTGTGAGCATCGCCATGGAAGAAGGGCAGAGCTCGACGGTGTCATCGGCCGCCGAGTCAGGTCGAGTGCCAAAGAGCCTCGGAGGCTTCACTCCGGCGAGTGCGTCGTGCACTCCAAGGGCTGAGGCGCCGCCAGAGCGCGTGGGATGCGTTTTCATCAGCTTCTACAGTGGTCAAAGCACTGATGCTGCAGGCAGCTCTTCGGACAGACTTCTGAGTGAGCGCAAAGGTCGCAAAGCCGATGCAAAATGGCACACTGCTACTGTAGCTGTGTTTTCGATGCATGGCTTCGTCGAGAAAGTCCAGTCTAGCATAGACCTGGCCCAGCAAATCTAGCTCATGGAGCCTCCCTAAACCAGTCTAATGGGTTGACTGGTATTATTACCCAAAATGGGCAAGGGTTCTGCTAACTAAACCGGGCTATGTGACTGCCACATCTTGGGGTGGGCTTGGCTTGTGTTGGCCGTGGGCTTCTTTTTTCTCTGCTCGGGCTCTCGCAGAATCCTCATCTCAGCCATGCCCGAGTCTTTGGGAGCGGCTGGAGTCAGACATGGTTGCAGATCAGTTTGGCTTGGAGGCTACTGTAGACACACAGCATGTATCAGCATGCAGTGCAGATTTCCGGCTCATTCGACAGGTGGCGACCACCAAGCCGGCCTGTGCCAAGGCAGTAGACTCCTACTATGAGGCGTGACCTGCCGAGACTCTGCCGCAGGTTTTGTTTTTGGGAAGCCGAGAGATCTCGAGATTCGTGCGAAACCACAGATTTTGCGAGTGGTCACCGTCACACTGCCGATGCAGGCAGTTCTTGCATACCGGCCTTTTCGGTCGTGGTCCGCGGCTGCCGACGAGGTCCTGCCAGAGCTAACCTTGTTGGCTTTCTTGGAACTCAACCCGGAGGCCGTGCGACAAGATGCTGCATGCCCGATGGCACGGGTGCTCGCTGCCGACTGCGCCTTTTGCCAAGGCGATGCGGCGAAAGCAAAGGAGCGATTTGATGCAGTGGAACTGAAGAGTTCGCAACATGCAGTTGCGGTGTTCATGCTTCTTTGCCCGAGGACTTTCTGGAGACCTTGAGCAAAGAAGTCGAGGCCTTTGGATGTTTGCCCTTGAAGTCGAAGTGGTCTCTTAGGCCTAGTTACACCATTGTTTAGGTGTAGCTTCGCAGGAACTCCGGCGCAAGATATTGATCAAACGGGTTGCATGTAGCAAAACCTCTTCGACTCTTACTCTGAAAGATGCACCACTATGTACTTGCAACCGGGCGAGAGTTTGCAGCCGTCAGGGTGCATCCGGCGTGTGGTCCTGGCGCGAGCTGCGATATGTGGAGGCTGAAGGGGTTGTTGCAAGGCGTTGAACTCACAGATGGGCGAGAGCAGCTGAGATCACGAGTTTTGTTTCGTTGGGACCCAGCCACACAGGCAGATAGGCAAGAGATAGATAGCCAGGCACCCACATGCCGCGAAAGAGAGGAAGACAGATAGACACAGAGGCACATAGTCAGACCACGAGGCAGAGACGGCCGAAGACACAAAACGCCGGCAGACGGCTGACGGCAGAAGCTGTAGCAAAGAGGGCCCCTGAGGCTGTGCAGCACGATGCGCATACGTCTTTCAGGGATGGGCTTGTGAGTCTTTGCTCACGGGCCGTGCAGGGGGGAAATCTGCGTCTTTGACACTTCTTTTCTGTTCACCTGGGATGGTGTGTCGCATGAGTTGTTCCTCGGGGTGTCAACTAATCTCACGCTTGAAAGCTGCAAATATGAGGCATTGCGAGTCTCAGCTTCAAGACGATGTGATGGTATACTTGCCATTTTGTCATGCTCGCGACGTTCTGGAGGTGCTCTTGTCCGGAGTGTTGTGTTCTGGTCGGACACATGTCGTTGGACATGTTGAAGGTGCCTCAGTCTTCAGCAGCTTTGGTATTAGTGGTACAGCAGGGGTAACGCCACATCTAGCCAACTGGCATTTATCTTTCACCCAGCTACGGACTGTTGCGAACACGTGCAAGCTGACCCTCGAAAGCAGACAAAGATAGGTACAGAAGAAGAACAACCAGACAGGGCGGCAGACAGACCAGCGTCGAAGATAACAAAGCACGAAGGCCTGGTGTCGCTGGGTACTTCATGGCGACCCTGCAGGGTGCTACGACGCACTGAGCGAGGCTCCTTGGCTTTCGTTTTTCGCAGGGTGATTTTGATGCGGGTGCCCACCCACCCACCCACCCACCCACCCACGCGCTCGCGCACACTCGCCTGAACTTGGGAAATCGCATGTCAAGCTGGCGTCTTTCTCTTCGGTGCTGGGAGGTCGTGTCACGGCACCCTAGCGACCTGTTTGCAGAGCCTTGGCCGGCATGAATCGGGCACGATGTCACGGAGCGAAAACCGTTTCTGCTTGTCTGCCGCTGTGATTGTGCTTCAGGTAAAGCGTGGGCACATCATGGGCCTGATTCTGGGGGACGGTTCCAGGATGTTGTCGATTGTACAGCTGCATGCCTGCATATGCATTGAGAGCACGAGTGAGACAACGAATCTTACGAGAGGGATCTTCTGAGCAACAAATCTGAACTTCATGAAGCGGAGGCCGGCAGCAGACAGTGCATCTTGGACTGTACCGGCATGATCATGTTTCTCGACCAGCTATACTCTATACTTGTCTGACCGAGGCCAAGACGAGCCCCGGGCCCCCTCCGAAGTACTTGCATGGGATGTGGTCCTTTGCCCTGGAGCAGGAGGGCCAATACAAGGAGTGGGGCCTCACCAGACTCGACCTTCAGGAATCTTGCAGTGTCTCTGTGCCAGGAGGCAGAGGGCATCGCTTGGGAAGGCTTTAGCTTCGAGAAGGAACTTGGCCCGGACGCCTGGCTGGACCACAGCTTGGCGCACTCTCTCTACTTCCAAGGCCACGTCACAAGCGAGCAGCTGTGTGGGAGCGAATATCGGAATAATCAGACTCGTGTGTTTGTTCTTGTATTCTTGTATATACAAGTACGGGCGCATGTGTGTGTGTGTGTGTGTGTGTGTGTGTTTGCCTGTGTGTTTGCGCATATGTACGAATGAGCGCATGAACGACTGCACATATGTCTGTCTGTCTGTCCGTCCCTCCGCCCTTCTGTCTGTATATATGTGCGTATGCCGTACACATGGATCGATGATCCATCATGGATGCATTGGAGGCTCTGTATGCATAACTTGCACTTCTCGGCGGTTGTTGCAGGGATGGGCCGCTTGGACGATGCCATGTCGTTCATGAAAAAGCGCAGCGAAACCTGGCCCAAGGAGGCCGGGCAGTGCTGTGCCAGGTGCCATGCAGTGCTTAGAGCGGCCAACTTCAAGTTTCAAGCGCCGAATCCGTCAGAGGACCTACACCCGTTTCTGTACACTCATTGTTGGTGGCACCTGGCTCTTTTGCACCTTGCTTTGTACGTGCTGACGTGCATCAGTACTACCGGTATGGGCCGCATGTCAAGGTACACGGAAAGTCGCAACTTCGAGCCTGCGCTGGCCATCTTTGACGCAGCTCGTCAGAGGAGTCAGAGATGTGCGCCGAAAGCGGCTGGTGGCTCCTAGGAGCGACTCTGGCCCGAAGGCCCGGAAGGTCTGGCCCAAGGCGGCGATCCTCAGGCGCTCGCTCCCAGTCTAGGAGCCTGCGGAGTCGAGACAGACTTGCAGTTAACAGAACGAACGCAGCTCCGAAGGTGCAGTTGAACGCGCTCAACTTGCCACTTGGCTTAAAGCCTCCACCTGATGGAAGTGTTGGCTGCCCGTGGCTGAAGCACGCGATCTCAGGCTCTGGCGGCTCGAAACACGGCAGCAGGCATTTGCTTTGCAAGGTTGCTAGTCCGCTGGTCCGGCTCACCCACTACCCTGCGGGAAGCAATGTGAGTCATGTGCTGGGCTGTTGAGTTCGGGAAGCTGGGGATTGGCTCTACCATTCAACGTGCGGTCGGGTCTTGGTTGACAGAAGTAATCAGGGCACCGAACAATCCCAGCGATCATGCGTCAGTAGGAGACATTTACAGGTATTCCGTATAGGCCACACTGCCAAGCCTCGAAGCCAACCGCCAAGCCTCTAAGGCTCCAGCACTCTTTTCCTAGGTCGTTCAGCATGTTCAACATCGACCCTTACTGCCAGGCAGAGATAGCGGAGCCACGTTGGCGGCGCGTACTGCAGGGCTGCAAGGGCCTGTCGTTGCCAAAGGACGGATCCAAGGGCTCCTTTGCTGCACAGTATATGCACCTTGGATACGCCTTACCACTGCGATCCTTTGGATGTGCGACGGTTCTGACGGTGGCACAGTTTATTGGTGAAGATTTGCTTGAAATGCATTATGCAAAGTCGTCCTATAGGTGCAGATGGCTGCGGGCTCGTAGCGCAGCCCTGTACGGAAGGCTAGCATGCCAAAGCTTTAGTGTTCAGCTTCCAACTGTGCCCATGCTATGACACCCATTGCCAGCTGGCGATAACAGGATGAGCTCGCATTGGCTCCTTTGCTTTTCGCCTTGAGCAGACTGTCGGTCCATACCCCTCCGACTCAACAAGGCACTCTGCAGCACTCCGACCTGTTATTGGACATTCTGTTGATCCGCGGGCTCTGTGTCGGTGCCATGGAGGACGCGGTTCAGAGGTGAACTCGTGACATCTTGCAGGCAACTTTGCGCTTCACGTGCCGGCAAAATAGTTCAGATCGAAGCAGGTAGGGTGCAGGAGTTCACAGTCACACGCAAGCATAGACCCTCCAGGACGCTCAACCGCTGGATGAGTTTCTCACCGCCGTGAAGAAGCACTCAGAGGACTGGTGCCCGCTGCGAGGTCAAAAATAGTCAGGGCTCTGGCATTTGCTTGGGGAGGGCAGGCTGTTGTGGTCGAAAGACAGTTGCAAGAGGCAAGAGTCTGTCAGGAGATGGCGGCAGGGCCCGGTGGTGCTGGCGGGCGTGCAGAAGCATACAGGGACCTTGCGCAGTCCGTGGCAGATGTTTTCCGTGAACGCCCCGGTGGAGCAGCATGTGGCAGCTGGCACGCCAGGGGGTGTGGGGGGGCCGTCGAATCACCGGGCTGCAGAGGCTCCGACTTGCAGGCCTCCGCGGAGACGGCAGAGAAGCGGTCGAAGGTTCGATGCGCAGAGCTGAGATCTGAGTGGTCGTGCTGGCACTCCGCTGGCAGGCACGAAACTGCATCCTGGAGCTGAAGCCTCACTGGGGCTGTCTCGGAGGGAGCGAAGAGCAGCGAGGAATCCTCCTTGAGGCTGGGGGATGTGTGCTTCCGGGAAAAGTGTCGGTTGGCTGACAAGCAGCGTCTGTGCTCAAGGCCGTGAAAGGACCGGTGGTGTGCGGAAACCCGCAGGAAGAGGGCAGCAGCAAAGGCGGCTGTCACCTCCTGTAGTCGTGACAAGCGATGTTTCGCATCCGCGACGAAGCCCCATCTGCCAGTACTGTGCTGGTAAGGATAGCAACGCAGCTGGCGAAGGCACAAGTCCCTTTGCCCAGTTTCTACAGAGCCGTGTGGAAATGCTTTTGGCAAAACGACTCGAAGCTGCTAGAACTTGAAGAGCAGAGGGCTTGGGGTTTAGGTCCATAAGGTTGAGAGATTCAGGATCAGGAGGGAAGTCAAGATCACAAGATCGATTCAATAAACAATTCTCAGATGTGGGCGTGACTAGCAAAAGGTCACAAGGGTCTCCCTTTCCACTGGATGGACCCGGCAGTGCTTCCGTGCATGGCACTTTCCCCTACCAAGGTGGAGACATGGCTCAAAGAAAGGAATAGGACAGGATAGGATGCGCGACATGACCCAGCCCATGGGTCTTCTGATATGGAGTGTCTGGGGTATGCGGCTGGCTGCCGGGTCTCCGCATCTGCATGCGACTCTGGATTCAGCTGGTGGAGCCTTGCCATTTTTAATGATGCTCGAGCTCGTCGGAGGAAACAAGGATTAGTGGCCCCCCCCGCACTACTTTCCAGATTGAAGAACCGAGGAACAGTCCACTTCAGTAGAGAGCTTCGTGCGTAGCGGGCTGACTCCCCTAATGCAAACAGGTTCGTTTGGCTAGAGTCCTAGCCGCTGGAGTAGTCTGCTAAAGGTGAGCGGTCGGAAGCCGGAGTTAAGCCCGCAACAAGCACGCACGCAGTCCCATTAGGAAAGACGAGATTGACCAAGTCATATAGTCTTGATCGAAAAGGTTTCGTTGTGGTAGCGATACGGACACCGAGAGCACTTGCGGACAAGCGTCCATCATTTCACTTTGGGTAGTTGGGCCCAGCGAAGCAAACAACCAGACTTCAAATCCCGTGGTTGCGAATCAGAGCCGAAAGGGTTTTGGCCTTGTGCTTCCAAAGGTTGTAATCTCCGCGTGTGGAGCTAGGTCTCCTGATCTCATTCGTGGTGTTTCTGGCCGACTGGTACCGATTCAGGCTTTGCCGTGACGTTCGACGGCGCACCTTGGTTAGAGGGCGGCGAGGCCACAGCCAGGTGTAGGAGAGCGATGACCGGGGACCCTACACATCCCCACGCCTGCATTTGGCTTTGCAGGTGCGCGTCGGCAACTTGTCCAGCCAATCTGGCCTCGTGCTGCTTTCGCGCGCCCGAACACCCGGCAGGGATGCCTTGGGAGGCAGATGCTTTCGACAGAACGAGTTTTCACCAGGTTTGCGGGGGTGCCTTGTGGTAGATTCGCCTCCGCCGCTTCGGAGGCTACGTATCCGAGCAGATGATCTGGGGCCGCTCTGACACGAAGCGCCCGATCATGCAGCTCAGATCAGCTCAGAGTTAATCGGTGCAGTCTTCCGGCTTCAAACTCTGGCCTCGAGGCATGCATCAATTCGAGCATACGATGACGACCCCAGCTTTCTCGTTTTCGAGAATCCTGGCAGCAGTTCGGCTGATGAGTTCCAGTGCAAGCTCACACCCGGATTTCCGACCAAGGCAGTTTTTCCCGGAGGATGTGCGCGTGGATGCTGCTAAGTGGGGAACAAAACTGGCAGTGCCCTCCTAAGACCTCTCGCGGACAGCATGACGTTCCGCTTCTTGCCCAGGAGCCAGGCAGCCTGTATCTTAAAGAGTGAAGCCATGCACTGAACTGGATTCTGGTGATCTGGAGCCCTCGATCCCAGAGCCCCTCTGGAACGAAGTCTCAGGCGCCAGTGACTCTTTTCCCGAGCTTCAAGAGCCAGGGCCATGCCGGCGATCTTGATTGCTTCGCCTACCACGGAGTCTTTCCCCAAATGCGGAATTGAAGCTGGGCGGCACCGAGGGCTCTGAAGAACGAGTTCTTTGATGCGTGGACGAATGTGCCTGCGTGCACTCGCTTCCAAGGCAACTTGGCCAACTACACGCCGACCCATCAGGGAGGAGCACCCCTGGTCCTCTACAATGCGACAGCCAGCTCTCGGCCCATGACCGTCTTCGCCCCACTAACCACGCCCAAGGCAGGCCGACTTCAAAGAGACAGCTGCCTTGCATTGAACATGTGCCAGAGGCGCAGCACATGTTCGAGCCTTGCCTGCAACGACATTTGGACGTTAGCAGAGCATTCTGAGTAGACTGTAGAAGCCCTCGCGGCGTAGCAGCATGAGCTCGCAGAGCTGTTTCGGAGAAGTTGTGCCTTTTTTTTCGAGACTGAGGCCGGTGACAAACTGATTGGAGCCGGTGTGAGACACGGATTGCAATCAGAGCTGTTTCTGCATGTGATTGCACCTGAGATTTCCGCATGCCAAGCTCGCTTTGCACCAAGGAAAGGTACGGTTCCTTTCATCCCGTCTGGCTGGAAGCAGACGTTCATCCTCTCCGCCGGCTTCGGGGTCCTCGATGGTGCCTCGGCTCAAACACCAGTTTCTAACTGGTATCGAATCGAGTGCAGGCATGATGGTATGGGGCGATCGCATGCTGAAGTTCACCGGAAAGCAGAGAGCAGACATGTACAGTGCCCCGGCGCAAGAAGAGCAAAAACGGAGCTAAGTCCAAGGGACCTTCTGCACATGTAGAGCCGTAGAGCTGCTTCGGACACTTGTGGGCAGCTGCGGGCAAGCGAAGCACTGCCAAGACTTGCAGGGGACGACGTGGTTGGGAGCATCGGATTTTGGACTGATAATGGTGGCCAGGGTCCAAGCATGTCAAGAGCAGAATTGGATAAACCCTCGTGCCCGATCCAAGCCGAGAACAGTGGAGCGTACGAAGCGACTGAGGGTACTACCACTATGCAACTGGCAGCAATGAGACCTACGAGGAGGTCCTTCCCAAAGTCAAGGAATACCACGACTCCTTGGGGATCCCATTCAAGCACTGGCAGAGCCTTGGCCGTGCTTGGAAGCAGCTTGAAGAATTGCAACGGTGTGACAAGATCTGCCGCTTCCACGACCAGACAAGGTTCGATTCTTGGTTCTACCCCAAAGATGGCAAAGTCGATCCCGGCGGCGGTGGAGGAGCAGTGGTGAACTGGTCGGGGCCTCGATGAGGGCTATGAGGCCACGATGCTGAGCCCATGGTCGTAAAGTGACCGAGCGCTCAGAGGCTGCATCAGAACCAGAATCATGCGCTCCTGCAGGACTGCGCTGCCCTCGGTGTTCCCTCACGGTATGGCATACATTCAGTCCAAGCCGCTCGGAATCGAAAGATATTGCATGGAAGCAAGAGTCTAGACTAGTGTAGACAATCACTTGCTTCATGGGACGCTTGGAGTCCCAACTGCATGTGCGGTGGTGTGTGAAATCATCGCATCACAGTCTGTGCGAGTCGCTTGAGCTTCAGGCTTGGTGTGCCGATGGTGTCTCTCGGCTGGAAAGTTTCCGTACAGACAAGGCCAGGCTTTTGGCGCTTGCGCCGACTCCGGTCCTTCACGAGTACATCGGGAGTGGCTGCCCATTCCTGAGCAGCCTAGGATGCACAACCGTCAGTGGTCGCCCACTTCGGATTATGTGAAGCATCTTTGATGCCCTTGGGACAAGTTGAGTCACTCCGCGATGCCGGGAGCGCAAGCCTTGGAGGGTTCAAGACTTGTGTGTGGGAGCTGCATGCGGCTCAGGCATGAGCCCTTCAAGTGGTACGCATCTCCGAAGGCCGCAGTCCCAGAGGACCCGCGCTTCGTGGAAACGCCTTCGCCGGCTCGGGGTGCCAGGGCTAGTGACTAACTGCACGAGCTAAGCTAAAGCAGGCAGGAGCTCCAAAGAGTTCGAAATAGGATAAACTGCACCCGTTTGTGCAGCTTCGGAGGATCCGGAAGCCTTCTTCAGGCTCGTGCCGATTTGTGGAGAAGCTACAGTCAATGATGCGGTCCGTGCGAAGCTGTCGTTGGCGGAAGGTGGTTCTTCACGCAGCAAGAAGGATGGGGACTGGCCATGTACGAGCAGGACTGGATGTGCTGCCCCCTTAGCTGGCTCGCACTGCGACGTGCAATGCAGCAGCTGACTGCCAAGGCACGGAGTACGACAATGTGGAGGCCCCCCGCTGCCAGCCTGAGCTCTGCAACCGTCCGTGGCACGTAAGTCTCACGCAGACCCTCGAGGGAGAACGAGAGATCCGTTGAGGCACTTTGTGTTTCGACCGTTTCGTCCTTTGTAGGCTCTCCAGACCAACATCTCCATGGGCGATCTTTGGCTCCATGGAATGGCCGCGGGAGCAGAGAGCAGCGGTCGCACGGTGCAGCAGCCCGGACGACCCGCTCTGGGCGAATTTGGGCCCGCTGTTGCCGAGGCCCCATTGAAAGAGTGGAGCAGCTCTCTCTTTTGTCGGCTTAGGTACTGCATGCCATATGCATACGATGTCCTATCTGCCTCGGCATATCCGGCCGTCACCAATGCAAGGGCAACAGGCAGGATGCCGCTTTGCTTTGCTCTGTGTGTCTGTGCGTTGAAGCTGGCCGAACCTGGCAGACGATTACATAGGGCGCGACAAGCAATGGGCAATCGGAGCTACGCGCCAGACCTGCACATAGTCACATTTTCGATTGCCCCGGCGATATGGCAGTTTGGTTTGGGATGTCAGTACATCGAGATATACCTTGAGGGCTGTTGAGGATCTTTGGGGACTCGCGTTAGCACTGATTCGGAGACTTACAAGCACCCAGTTGGGTCACACTTACTTGAGGAAGCTTCAGAGTTTGTGGTCCAAGATGGATAGTTCATGACCGTCCATAAGGTCCATGTTCTACTGGGCGATCGGTATTCTTCCGTTTAAGGACGGCTCCTCGAAGAAAGAGCTCTCTCTCTCTCTCTCTCTCTGTTCGTCTCCTTGGACGTGTGAATTCAGCTCAGTCTGCACTGAGGCTTTTACTCCAGCCGCTCGGTGAAGTGCAACTGGTGTAAATACGTTGTGTCATATATGAGAAGCTGCAGACACCACTGCGAAGATGTCTCTGCCTTGCAGGCAACTTGCAGCAAGTAGGGGGCCAGGCTGGCTTAGGCTGTGGAGATCAGGTTTACAGTGCACAGGGTCGCTGCGTGTCCAGGTGGTTGGACCTGAAACCGCTCCGAACCGTGCTGCACTGATGGCAGTGCTATCAGGCCAGGAATCTGCTGTACCGCGAAAACGCAGGAATGCAGGTCAAACCAGTGTTGCAAACCCTGGATTAAAACAAGCATCAGCAAGTCATGGACTGTTTGCTAGCATCCTCAGCTTGAAGGTGCGATGGTAGGACCGATGGAGCCTCATCTGCAGAGTTATCAACTTGATCCTGGCTCGACTCTTCGTGTAATGAACCCGACCATTCTAGCCTGCTTGCTCTCTCTGCCCCAGGATGGCATCTACCTCTTGAACTTCACTCGCGTCATGTCAACGTGCAGGGCAGATGGCAAGGTGGAACTTGTGTAAGTTTCGCTGAAGACATTGGCAAGCTACGGAGGCAAGGCCTGAAAGCAGGCGGGCACCTCGCTGGCAGGTGCTCAAGCCAGATCTGCCCATTATGCCGCTGGAGTCCTGCTTCAACGCAGGCACCGAGCCGTTGCCGATACCCGTAGAGGCTGAAACATCTTCGAACCTCCCCGCAGGTGTCGATCCAGCTCGAGGCTCAGAGGCTCAGTTTCCTCAATCTCTCCGGCTTTGGCCCTTCACGGCTGTGCTTGCGATGCCTCTTCGATGGGGACAGGGCCTCAAGGCCAAGCACTGGGCAGAGCTTGCATCGCCGAGGCTGGATGCCACAACTACTTCAGCTACTCTGATTCCGGGCCGCCGATGTTTCCTTGCAGTGTGCTTAGAGGCTTAGAGAACAATGACCGAGCCCAGTTCAGCTCAGGACCTGCCGGGCGCTGGCCGCAACTTCTATCTATTCATGGATCGGCCGGGCCAACTTCAGCTGAGAGACGTCATGCCGGCAGGATCGCAGCTAAGCCCGGCGAAGTGTCGAACGCGTTGGTACCCAACTTCAGGACCTGGAGCATCAGCCTATGCAGAAGCTTGGCTTTGTGATTGGAGGCGTCTTCCTGGAGGTAGCATCGAGATGTCTGGCAGGTCTATGACTGGTACGGGCGCACCCTTGCTTGGCTGGATGCGGCAGCACCGGAGTCGGCCTTCAGCGTGCCGGGAGGATACGAAAACCACAGCCGCGACCAAAGCTTTGATTTCCCACGGGACGGGAAGGGAAGGCCGTGCACCTGCTATATGCGCCATCTGCACTTGGGGGCCCGGTCAGAACTGGCTCCTGAAACTCGCGGCTAGTAGTACTTCGTCCACGTACAAGTAACTGACTGCGAACACGCGCCCTTCTGCAAGACACTCGCAATGGCTCTCAGACAACCAGGCTATGCATTGCTCGCGCCGGTGATCCGCAGCTCGGGATGGGCGTTGATTGGCGAGAGGGTCACTTGCCTAAGCGTGTGTCTGCCAGCTTAAGCCGCCGGGGCAGAGGGGCAAGTGTTTCGATGTGTTTGGCATATTGCCAGCAGTTCCTTGTGGCATCTTCTGGCTGTGCAGCCCAGTCTTCCAAGTATTGCATTGATTGGCTGTGTTGTGGCATCGGTTTGCTGCCAGGCGAAGTTGGTGCCGACATCCTCACATCGTTTCCGCGTTCTCGATGCCAAGTCGGGAATGCTGTCAGTGGAAGTTAATGGGGTGTCCTGGCAGGATCTGAGGGGTGGTTGACTTCGGGAAGACTAATTGCAAAGCCGAGCTTTTTGTCACACGCTTTGAAGACCACACATCGACCGGGTACAGAGTGATAAGTGCTAACTGACGATCTCCAAGGTCGCCGGTGAAGCAGTTGAAGTCTGTGCTGCGGAACGCCACTCCGGCTTGCTGTGCAAGGAGGCAGGCCACCAAGGAATTAGGAACCCTGTGAGCCACAACATCCCAAAGCCCCAGCACCCTGCAGCTGGTTCACATGATGGAGACATGTGCCAAGATGCCTCAGTCCTTAACGCATCCGATCAAGCTGACAGATCCGCTTCACGCAAAGTGGTTCGCTTGCAGTGAAGTTTGCTGCACAAGACAGCGGCTTAGTTACCTACGTCTAGTGGCTAGATCTCTACTGTCCTGGAAGCTGCGGTCATTTTACTTGATCAGGGCCAGGACTTGTTTTCACCATTGCATTTCTGCCCGGGACACGAGTTTCAGCTTCTCTTCGAGATGGCTTCATGCCGGCATGCCCTCGGGCTTTTGGCCCCCACTTTTGAAATGGGCTGGGGGTTTGCCTGCAGCAATCCTAGCTGCTGACTTGCGGCGCTAGCCAAAAGCCGAGTCTTCACAAGCTGTGCTGCCCCAGTTGCGGCGTCCGTTTGATCTTCAGAAAGTGCATTCTCTGTCTGCCACTGCGATTGCCGTCTCCTTGAATATCGGCAGGCTCGAACCAAGGCTCAGCTTCTTGTAGGTATGAATGCAAGACACTTCAAGACATAGAGCTGTCAGAACCACTTCGACTAACGTCTGTGGAGTCGGGTGACAAAAAAACGTCTGTGGAGTCGTTCCAAGAAGCGTTCGCGGCGAAGATCTTACGGGTCCTGCAAGACGATCCGGGGGGACCCAGGAGTCTTCCCGTATGGGCCAGAGATTGGGTCACTCTGCGTGCAGAGTATACCTTGAAGGGTCTTGCTCTGAACTGAGCATTTCTTCGCAGATCGAACTTTGCCATTACACAATCGCCATTGCACGCCGCAGCAGCCCATTGGCTCGTTGCTGACTTTGTCTGCTTGAAAAATCGCCTGAGTCATGACCATGACCGCAATGTTCATGGCATCAGCAGTGTCAGCGCTTGTTTTGCGCAGTGCTGCTGTTCGAACTCAGCCTGGCATCCTTGCCGGCTGCAACTACAAAGCGCTTGCCGCCGCCAAGGTTGACAGGCGCTGGGGGGCCGAAGCCGTGGAAGTGTCCTTCTGCGGGAGGTCGGCGAAGTTGCGCAAACGCGGACCGGTGCGTGATCCGTTCGATGGTGTGGAGTGGTGGGATGCATCGCAGCAGGGTGAAAAACTCACTGGCCAGGAGTCGGAGACCCTGAAGAATCATGTGGGCTCCTACTGGCGTTACGGGCGCTCGGTTGTCCAGCTTGGGCGTGGATTGCTGCCGCCGCTTTATTCCGAAGACTACAACACCGACTTCAAGGACAAGGACTATGTTTCCTTGGCCCGTTCGGTTCTGGACTTTACTGTGACGCTTGGCGATGCTGCAAACAAGCTTCCGGCTCCGAAGACCTGCGTGGATTCGTGGCTGAGTGTTTGGTTGCCCTCGGAGAAGCTGCAAGCGCTCCGTGCAAAGGCGGCTAATGGAGAGACAACCAGCTTCTCATGGTTCCAGTCCCCTACCACAGATGAGGATCATTCCTACATGTTCTTGTCTGACAACAATCAGCCCAGCCATTGCAGCCCATACTGCCAATGGCGGAGCTTTTCCTTCCCGGTGCAGTTCCACTTCCGCACTCGCCATTCCAAGGATGTTGCCAAGTATGACGACAAGGAGAAGCCAGTGCTCATCTTGCCCAACTTGGCCTTCAAGGTTCTTGATGTGTCAGAGGTAATCACCGACCCCCTCTATGTCATGTCCTCAGCCGAGCTGGTGGAGTGGCTCAACGAGACACACCCCTACCGCAACTGGCAATACGAGAGGGCCGGGCAAAGCTTTGGCCCATACCCCCGCCTAGCACAGGCAGTGCAAGATCGGGGGATGGACGGGACCCTTGGATATGTTCAGACGTTCAGAGGGATAACGGTCGCAATCTGCCTGTCAGTGGCAAACTTCATTGTGCAATCATGTGTTTGGTCCTGCCACACGTCCAAGGCAGGGTTTCTCAGCATGGGAGGTGGATGGCAAGTACGACATGCTTCACTTGGAGGGTGCGGAGTATCGCCCCTTCTTTGACGCGCTTGCATCTCGCTTTGAGATGCCTCCTCGAGCCGGCAGGTTTGGCACTCCTGTCGCTAATCAGGCTCCCTACATCATCAAGGTCAAATTGGAAGACACCGAGGGATGTGCTTAGAGGAAGCAGCCGGCTGGCAAGTGGCGCAGAAACCGAGGCAGCTGTGCAGCCGGACATTGCAATCATAGAGTGCCCCGGTTCCCCTGAGCAGAGATACCTGCAAAAGACTGCCTTCGCTGCGAGTTGTGGTAGGTCTTGAACGAGCGGAGACTTTCTGCCTGCAAGCCCAACACTGCCCAACACCATACGACCACGACCCAGCTGATGAGGCCACGGTTGTCGTGGAGATTCTTGAGGGAAAGCGGGCACCCAGGCAAGGTAGTTGCACCAAGTCCACAGCCTGCTCAGAGCTGGAGGTATTGTGGTGTTTCGTCCGGCGTTCCTGCTGCTGAGAGTGCTTCCTTCAGGTAAGCTTCAATTCATTTTGAAGCTCCTGCAAACAAGATTGATCAGCCGCTTGAATCACCTATCCTGAAACGTCACGTGGCTACCCTTCTATGCCTGGCTGCCATGGGCAGCCAGCTATCGTGCTTCACCGTGAGGTTCATGAGCTTCGAGCTGCGCCGGCTCGGCTTCCGAGGAAACCATTGGTTCAAGTGCAGCGTTTTTGTTTCTTTTGGCAGTGTGACCATTGCGTACTGTTTCCAAGAGAACATTTTGGAGTAGAACGTTTACTGCTCAATATGTACAGCTGTGACGATGACAGGTGCAGGAGAAGTAGAAGATGCAGCAAGAAGCGAGCATAGAAGAAGTAGAAGACGAAGTGGGAGACAACTAATTTTGTGCTATCTTTGTCACAACCAGATGTGCGGTCAATACTTTGATTCCTCATGCGCGCAAGTCGCAGTAGTAGCAGCAGAGTGGTGGTACTAATACAGGTGTAGCAGAAGAAGAAGAAGTAGTAGTAGTAGTAGTCGTCGTAGTAGAAGAAGTAGTAGTAGAGGTAGTGGTAGTGTTAGTCACTAGCGGTAGCGGTAGCGGTAGTAGCAGTAGTAGTAACATTGGCAGCAGCAGCAGCAGCAGCAGGAGCAGCAGTAGTAGTAGTAGTAGTAGTGGTAGTGGTAGTGGTAGTGGTAGTGGTAGTGGTAGTGGTAGTGGTAGTGGTAGTGGTAGTGGTAGTGGTAGTGGTAGTGGTAGTGGGAGTAGCAGCTGTAGTAGTAGTAGTAGTAGTAGTAGTAGTAGTAGTAGTAGTAGTAGTAGTAGCAGCAGTACTAGAAGTGCAGTTGCGGGCGCCATAGCTGTTAACGGACTGGCACTTTTATTTAGCAGCCTGTGGAGCCCTTCAACGTCTTTTTCGTCTTAAGCCCTTGCAGGTTCAAGCCCCGGTCATGTCAGAAGCCAAGCCAGCAGACACATCGCTGAAGCGGTGGGCAGAGTGTCTTTCACATCGCCGTATCGGTAATCGCAAAGACAGAGAGATAGAGCGCAAGCTTTGCAAGCTGGCCACGCTTGAGAAGGTTGTGCCATGTCCGTTGGGGCCGTCTTGGCCGCTCGTGCTGCATGCGGCTCTGGCTCCAAGTCCGTCTCCTCGGGCATGTTCGGGTACCGATCAAGTCGCTACACGTATGGCTACGATCGCCACGAAGCAGCGGTCCGCGAGTTGCAACGGAAGGCAAGGCTGCATTTCACAATCAGAGACTACGACATGCACGGAAAGGGTAAGCTGGAGCGGAGCCAGTTGGTGCAGCTGCTAACCGACACCGACTCCTCCACCCCGCCAGGAACTCCGCCAACCGAAGATTCTCGCAAAGCACGTCTGGCTAGGATGTTTTTACACAGCATACCTTGCCTGCCCTGCCCGAATTCTCATCTGAAGCCAAACCTCAATGCCAAACAGATCAGCCCAGGAGCAAGTGGAGTTCCTGCTCAAGCTATGTGAGGTGCAAGAGGATGGTGGCATTGCAACAGCGGAGCTGGAAGAGCTTTTGTCTTGCTGGTACACCTACACCGACAAACGTCACATTTTTGATGCCAAGCTTGAGAAGTATGATGTTTCAAAGACTGGAAAGCTTTCCAAAGAAGAACTCAAAGCCTATCTCACTGATCTGAATGGTGGCCATGATGTTCAAGAAGCAGACGTGGACTGGGTCATGAAAGCTTCGGATATTATCAGGGATGGCGGACTCAGCAAAATGGAACTTGAGTTGGCCACGTCACTCTGGTACGGCTTTGTCGACCGAAAACCTGAGAGCCAGTGTTGCACCACGTCCTGAGAAATACTTCTTTCGACGCATTTCATGAGCCCTGCTCCGCGGCCTCACACTTCAAACCCTCATATGCTCTTTGCTCAATCCTAACGTGGATGTTGGTTTGTACAGCATTACTGGTAACGGCATGAGATAGGTGGTTTGTACGCAAGGAAGGGTTGCACAAGTAGAACTCGTTACAGGAAGGATCGCGGATGGTGGCTTCCTGTTAGGCTGACAAGCCGTTCCGGTAGTTCGGGTTGATATGAGGGCTGGAAGCTTCAAAGCTTTGGGTGTGAGAACAGTCCAGAGAAAGCCTCCTGAATAGGAACTTCGTGGCGTGGAAATCCGGAACTCCTGAATCCCAAACCCGCCGCATGTGCATGTGGCAGTCGCATGAGTGGAGACGCGTGGATCCTTGCCCGCGTGTGCGAGCGTGAAAGTCGAAACCTGCGCGAGTGTGAGCGCCGAAACCCGCCGATGTCGACTCAGCAGCAAGACCGTCATCAAGGCTTAATTCTCGCGCACTCGAAGCCCCCAAGACCTCAGGGGACCCAAGCGCTGCAGTGCGCATCGGGGTTTGAGGTTCAAGGTTTGTTCCAGCATTGGGGTTTGGCCTGCATCTCTGGCCTCATGCCGTGGCTGACATAGACGAGCTAGGGGTGCAAATGATTCAATCAGAAGCATGCCGAAAGTGTTCAGGCCTGGCAGATCTTGTGACAGTTAATGGTTTTGCGGGCGTCCTGTGAGTAAAAACCTTGGCGCTCGTCAGCCGGAAAGCAGCACCACGCTTGCCCCACTGGCTCTGTACATGAGACACTGTTCAGGCATTGCAGAACAATGATAGCAGACATGTGGCCGTCTATCGCGGCTGAAGCTTGGTAGAGGAACATGGGTTGATGCCTGAAAAGCTTCTTCTGGTCATTTCACTACAGAACTGCCGACTGCCAAATCAGGCAGGCAGCAGGACTCGCCGCGAAAGCATTGGCAAAGATGAGTCGGGCGACAGCTCTCTCATGCATTCGTTGACCACGCTCATATGACGTCTGATTTGTAGTGAACCTCTGCCAGCCACAGCACTGACCGTCCTGTTCAGCTGCACAAATGTCTTTCGCGAGAAACGGTTGGCTTGAGACTTGAGAGAGAGCCTTCCAGGAGCGCAGGCTCGTATCGACGCTCGGCAAGGCAAGCATAGGCAAGCTGTGGCAGAGGCAAAGCGGTGCTCGGAAGCGTCCGTCGTCCGTGCGGAAGGTGCAGAAGCCATGTGGCCAGTCTGCCAGTTGACACACATGGGCTTGACTCGCTTGCCTTGTCGGTTCTGAGTTCAAGATGAAAGAAGCGAGAGACGAGCTTTGCAGTGTTTTGGGGCTTCGAGGCACAGCACATAATGCGCAGGAACGGAGCGAGCAATCCGGAGGAGCAAAAAGTCGCACGCTCTCAGGGCACGGAGTTACCACTGGATTCAACCACTGACCATCAACTTAAGTGACTCTACGAGCCCCAGTCCAGCCCAACCTGGGTGGTAGCCAGGTGCTTGAACTAGTAGAGCTGATGTTAGTGGCCTTGTGCCGCGTCTGCGTCGGCAGCGCCGACCATGGGCCTCTGTGCCTCCAGCGACACGGCAGCGCTGGTGGTGCGCCGGCTTCAGAAACTGACATTTTGGGCCTTGCTGGCTCCATGTCTGGAGCCCGGCAGGTGAACTCCGTCCGGCAGCTGGAACAAGTCTCCGAGGCCAGAGGGGAGACAGCCTACCTCGGTGCTTTTCTGATACAGCTGTTCTGAGGCTCTTTTGCTCTGATGCTCTGTTCGGCTTCAGGCTCTGAGGACTTAGAAGACTCGTGAGCACCTATTTACAGACAGAGTGTTGGTTCATATGGCCGATTTCGAAATGCGGGTTCCTGCAGCATATACGCTTGTGAGGGTTTGTGCGGGTAGTAATTACAGCCACCAACTGCCGCCGACTCCATCCTAAGCCATGCCCGTTGGCAACGTGGCTGCCATTTTGGCCGCGCGCAGAGCCAGCAAGCAAAAGTACAACCATGGATATCGTCCAACTCCCGTTTCTGCCGCGGAGCAGAAACGACAGGAAGCTGCTTGGAATGAGTACCAGCGCAAGGTCAAGCTCAACAAGATCATCAAGGCGTATGACACGAACAAAACGGGCAAACTGGAGCGTAGCCAGGTCGTGAAGCTACTAACAGACACCGATTCCTCCACGCCACCAGGAACACCTCCAAGCGAAGACCAAGTGGACTTTTTGCTGAAGTGCTATGACAAAGCCGGAGATGATTCCATCGAGGCCTCAGAGTTGGAAGAGCTGCTCTCCTGCTGGCATACCTTCACGGAACATCGACAGCTTTTTGAGTCCAAGCTCGAGAAGTTTGATGTCTCCAAAACAGGAAAGCTGTCTAGGGAAGAGTTGAAGCAGTACCTGACAGACCTCAACGGAGGCATGGACGTAGAGGATGCAGAGGCAGACTGGGTCATGAAGCAGGCAGACGTCATGGGAGACGGAGAGCTTAACAAGATGGAAATCGCGAGGGCCACGTCGCTTTGGTTCGCCTTCGTAGAGAAGAAGAAGCAGGAGAGTCAGTGCTGCACAGTGTTCTAGACGCCGCACGCCGAAACAGTGTTCACCTTGGAGGTGCTGTAGAGATATAGCCTTTTGTCACATGCTGCCGAGGTAGGCAATGCACAAGGCATGCCTCAGAGAGGAAAATGCTCTCAAGAAGGTTGCTGCACAGATGTTATTTGTTGCATGCCCGCGTGCTGCTGACGACATCTACTGAGCACCGCACAGCGACAACCCGAGGGCTGTCACTCTTACGGGCGAAAGTAGTGCATCAGATACGTGTAATCGCACGGCAGAAATCTTGCCTAGCGCGCGTGGCCTGAAAAATGCCAAAAGGGGCAAGTCTGGAGGAGGTCCGTGCTGTTTTGAAGGCTGAAGTGCCTGCCTGCGTCGAGGCCACGGACTCCGACCTCCCGCACCGCCTCGCTCGGGATGGCAGGATACTGGCCAGGGCCTCAAGGCGAAGGCTCCCAGGCTTGGCCAGGGCCTCAAGGGCGAGCGAGTTCCCCGATTCTGTTGTATTTGTTTGCAGGCTCTCTCAGACCAAGCAGGACACCAAATATCCAATCCACCGGCCAGTGAACCCCTAAGCACAGCGGTCCCCGTCACCGTCGATGCCATGGCTTCACCCTCGCGCCATGCTGTGGGTGCGCCACTGCAAAGTGAGGAGCGTTGCGCCATATGGAGCCTTCTGGCAATGTCCATTTTTGTTTGTTTTGCTTGAAAACTTGCCACAGCATCTGTAGTGAAACGAACGCTGTCTCGGAGGCAGATGCAGTTTTAGCGTGTCTGCGTTGTTCTTATCCTCGCAGGCATTCGACTGTTCAGCATGGGCTTTCTCTTAATCATACACGGCATCGGCAAGCCGAAGACTTTGCCGACTTGCCCGACAGCAGCTAGCGTGGATGGCTTTTGGTCAATGCTGGTATTCTGGACAAGCATTTATGTCATGATCGACATGGGTGGCTGCTTGTTCTGTGCATGCAAACTGAGATGGTTTGAATGGCTTGGTCCGCGATTAGGGTGTCTTGGGCGCGCCGTAAATGCAGTCAGTATGGGCTTGGCAACTTACAGTATGGCGCTGTATGGGCGAGCTTTCACATATCACATCCACTGCGTGGGGGTGGTGGGTGTCTTCGTCGTTATTTGCTCGGGTACCTTTGTTCTTGGAATGCTGGCATGGTGGCTACTCATCGACAGCGACCCCCGCAGGCCACAGTCTATTGGGGATGGTTTGGGCGATGAAGAGCCACGCTGCTGTCGGTCTTGCTGCCGGGATATTTGTGGTCTCTTCTGCGACACTGAACCGTGGCCGGGACCAATGAAAAGCCGTGCAGGGCCGGACATTGAGTCCGGCTTGCCGCCCTCCCCACATGCTGCCTCTGTGAACCAAGCGCCACCTTCGCCGTCTAGGCTGGGCCGGAGCAGCGGAAGCGGCAGCGGGGACGCTCGGTCGATTCGAGTGTTGGGTCGATCTGGTGAAGTGCTGTACACCGCCCGGACGCGGCAAGCTGTGCGGACTTGGCTGAAACGCAACTTGGACCGCGAAAGGCGCAAGGGCGCTCTGGTTGAAGACAAGCCGCGCTCGAAGCGCCGCCTAAAGAAGCCTCCTACACCTGGCCCGAAGGGAGGCGCGGTCAGCCGGACCCCGAAACCTGCATCTGAGGTGTAGCAGTGTAGCAGAGCGGCTCCCTGGCCTGTAGCCAGGGCTCGACGCGGAATGCAACTGCTCCGGAAAACTATGCAAGAAAGCGGTAAGGACATCAAATTGTGAGAATTCGCAGGAGAGCTCTGTCAACTTGCCCAGGCGGACTTTGCCCTGTTCCTGCACGAGAAAGGGCGCAGCGAGGAGTGGGTTCCACGCTTTTGAGCTCTTGTTAAAGCCAAGATCATTACCCAAGGTAATTTACAGAGCTTGACAGGCTATCTGTCAGTGAACGGTCGTTCTTTGACAGGATACTCGTGCTATGGCCTCTGACAATATGAGACACGCTGCAGAGACAAGGGCACGGCTTGTACATAATAACGTTGCTTTTGGATGGGCTTGAGCTGGCTTGAGTGAAGGCCGCCCGAATGCATCGGTTCAATAGAAGGAAGCCTGATGGCAGGAATATGCATTACCAGAAGCGTGAGTGTCTGTGGAAGTAGGAGTTGCTGGATCTGTGGGCCTTGGACCTTGCCCGGGCAGCAGACTGGAACTATTTGCACCCACCCGAAAATGCTTGCGGCCTCAGTATTTCGCTGCTTTGAATCCACTCAGTTTGCGAGGGTCTGGATTGGGGGGCTTCTGGCAGCCGAAGATGGGAAGGTCTGGAATGGTTGGCGGTACCAATCTAGACCCTAGCAGGAAGACCAATCTAGACCTTCTCCATGTGGCAGCATCTTGTCACATGTTGTGCATGTTGCATCATGTTGCATTATCCTGTCGCAGGAGGCTGAGAAGGTACCATTTGATAAAAGGTAGAGACTGTGTTGTTCATTAGGTTTGCCATACAGTATCTTCCGACGGACATGGGTGTGGCATTCCATGATTCCATTTAAACTCGTCAACATCCGACGCAGGGTCTGTATAGGGCGAGGGTCTGAAAAGGGTCGTGTAACCCCTACGCAGCCAACCAGATTAGACCCCGGAAAAGGTCTATTATGGTGGTTGCCAATAGACCCCTCTACAAACTGAGGGGATTGCTTTGATATATTGTCTTGTTTGAGCCATCAGTGCATCTGCCCAGGGCTCTTCGTCGTTCACGCTGCGACGGGACACCCGTGGCTTGGCAAATGCAGGGGATGCTCGCCTTCGTTCCTCGTTTTCGTCTCGAGGCATCTGTCGCGTCTGGCTCTCAACCAAGGCCGCCTTGTGATGGCCGCCAGTCAGCAATGAAGCAATGCTAAGCCGTCAAAGACACCCATCGAACTGTGAGTTTCGTGAAATCACTGCCCTGACGTGTGCATCGTGTGCAGACCTGTGCTCCGACTTGTGTCATGCTATGTTCTCTTGGGCTCTCGTTGTGCGTTGCCTGGCAGTGCCACATATGATGACGAGGCAGAAGTTGGCTCGTCACAAGGTGCAGTATCCATGGTGACCAGTGACTTTAGCGCTGCTGCTCGTTGAGTGACCCCTGTCGCCCGGGCTAGACTGGGCGAAATTCTCGGTCCTGTCACGGAGAGGAACATGGGCTTTCCAGTCTGTCTGTCACATCGTGTCAGCTACATGCTTCTTTGAGTTCAAAAAGCTTGTGGCTCAGCGCCGAGGATGACTGCTGCAAGCTGGTAAACGGCCTAGAGGCTGCATGGCAGGAGCCATGGGCTGCGTTAAGTCGAGGTTTCGTGCCGGGTTGGCCTGATATTCTCTGGCCAAAGCCTTTGCCTTATTTGACATTGCACAGGCTTGCGGCACGAGGGAGCTTGCAAAGTAGTAGTCCAGCTGGGGTCCAAAGTCGTGTGCTTGGGTTTACAAGTTTCTATCGGAATACATCTTATGTTACAGGGATGATGCTGTGGGCGCAGAGGAGTACCAAGTGTCGGCAGAGGGCTTGGGCAACTTCGACGATACGCGAGAGTGGCTGCCGTATCTCGGCTATCCTCTGAATCGGGAATGCTTCGTCAGCTTCGGCTTTTGCGATGGTTTGCCTCACCTCCCAAGTGTCTCTCACAGCTTCGTGTGAGGCACGATTTTCCAAGCGATACCATCCTCGACGAAATTCGAGCCTTGGCGACCGATTGCAATGTTAGCTCACGCTTCGCGTCATAGTTTCGAGCTCCTGCACCATGGCAGCTAACAAAGACGCGCCATCGCTCAGGCCACGAGCATGACGATAGCTGCGATGTGACCGTCAGCAAGGAGCACAGCAATTACGCCCAGTTCCCAGACTTTCCTGCTGCACTTGCAGCGGACACTCCTGCAATTTGCTCTGTGAACTCTGCCTGCTGTGGAAAGACATTCAGTAGCTGCAACTCCGAAACGTGAAGTGGCTGCCGAGAATTTCTCCATCATGGCGATGGTCGGAATACATGTGAGCGTTGCCACTTAGAGGCAATCAATCCACCATCTCAGCCCGCAAGCCAGCTCAACACTCATCCCGCTTTGATCTCACATTCAGGTTTGCTCCGACTTGATCACCACTTGGGCTACCAATGCAGCCGGTGGCCGGGACGAGTGCCGGGCGGCCTTCGAGACGCGGCTGCCAATGTGCCTGAGGCCGCAAAGGAAATGAAGTTCTCATAGCTGCTACCATATCCTGTGAGCCTGTGAATGACTTGGTTGCTGTGATACTAGTGCTTGGCCGCTTGGCTATCTGAACAAGACTGCTCTTCCGAGGCTGAGCTATTCCGACTGTACTCGGGACCATATTCGCGTTTTTCCTGTGCCACCTAGTGGCTCTGCATACAGCCCGCAGACGTGTGCCTCGTCATAAATAGAAGCCTAAGCTGTCACCCGGATCACGAGGAATCAGCGGATGTTCTGTGCTGCATCCAGGCTTGGAGCACTCCTTCGAAATAGAAGAGTTTGCCCCCAGACTCTTCGCGGAGGTCCGGTGTTGCCTGGCATCAAAAAAACCAAGAGCGGTTGGCGTGATTGCGGCAGTGTTTGCTGAGTCGAAAGAAATGCGTTGGCGAGCCAAGGTGCCTGCGGCATCTCCAGTGAGTCCTACTGTCTCTCCGTTTGTCGGACGGACTTCGAGTTCATTGAGCCGCTCGGCATACAGAGTGGAGAGGCGCCGCAGCGAGGCTCCGTTTCCGCCAATCTTGGTCTTATTTCAGGACAGAATGAGGCTCGAGTGTGAGGAGGCAAGAGGCAAGCCAGGCCTGTCCGAAATGCACGAGGTTTGGTACTAACTCCAAGAGCGGCGAGCTCTTCTTCTTTACGTATGATCACCAGCAGCTTGGCATTGCACCCGTGGCTGTTCCAACATGTGCACAAGTGCCACGTTAGATGTTGCATCTGTAGGATGGTACAGGGCCTGGAGTCCCGTGTGCCAGCAAACTCAGGAGGGTGCAGTCCCTCGGTGATTCTCCATTTGTGTAGCTAAGTAGATAACACACCGATGCAGAAGATAAGACATGATGACATGATACGCCTCCCACCGATGTGCTTTGCTGAGGTATTTGCTGAAGAGCACTTCGGAGCTCGAGGCTGGACACCGTTCGAATTAGTGGGATTCCTTGCAGCACCTACCTATCCTTGCTGTATGCAGCCTGACACATGCATTCAGAGAATCCCCTGCATGAGCTTTGTACCTTCTGTTGCTGCATATCGTTGGGAGTCTCAGGTCATGTCTGTTGGTGACGGGCCTTACCTGTCGTGCCCTTTGCATTCCTTTGACTTTCAGGGGCATACAAGCGTCAATAGGCCCTTGGACCTCAAAGGGATTTGTTCAGCTGAGCCCTCGCGGCCAAGACATTGGGGGGACCCTTTGTGGCAAAGGCCCACATGTGTGCAGACCTCAAAGCAGGCAAGCAGGCAAGCAAGCAGGCAGAGCGAGAGAGAGAGAGGGTTTGGACTTTTAGTCCAGGGCTCGTAGCTCTGATTCGCCTCGAGGCACAGACGCTGATTCGCATGCTGCCGCGGTACTTGCAAAGGTGGCCTGGCAGTCATTGGAACGAGGTCAACCTTCATGTCGGATGTTTAAGATCAACACAAAAGTTGTTGAAGGCGTCGTATGGGTTAAATGAGCTTTGTGTTCAGCAGAGGCTGGAGGAGGAGCCTCGGTCCATCCTGGGACGATACTTGGGCCTCTACCGTGCCCTTTGGACGAGTTTTGAATTGAGTTTGTCAATGTTACGTACAATCCGTTGCAACCAGTCATAGCCGCTGTGAGAAGCCGGAACGTGATGCTCCTGCACGATGGTGCAGTTCCTTCTTATCATAGCTAGAGCAGTAGCCACATTATTCGTCACTGATTGCTGCTAGACTGCTAGACCCTGAATGGTAACGCGTTTTTTAAATGTGAATTTCCCGGCAGTTACCCGCCGGCGCACCATCTTCTGTTCTTGTTTTGCCCCCCAGTGCTGCTGCTGCTGCTTTGCGTGGCTGCTGCTCCTCGTTCTCCTGCCTCTTCTCCGTTTGGTTGTCCGGGCATTCCTGAAGCACCCGCGAAGCTGCTCGTGGTTCAGCAGTAGGCCATGCCGTCGGCAAACGACCTGCCTGTTGCGTCCGGAATGCGAGGACGACGGAAGCCAAAGCAGCTTGGTGCCATGAAGAACTGTCTGGTGCATCTGCAGCGGCTTTCCGGGGAGACGACGGAGCACTCCTTCCACCCCAATACAAACATTGCAGAGGTGCTGGCCGTTTGTGTGCCCAGGGATGGACACGCAATGCAGGGCCTTCCTGGCATTCCTGGCACGTCACATCTGGCCAAGTGTTCGCTGCTTCTGGGAGGTCGCGTCTTGGGCTCTTGGGAGGTGCTTGGGGAGTTGGCGCATCGAAATCCCGGCCTGTCGCCCGGGCCCCTCTCGCTGCAGCTGATTTGCCAAACCCGACAGCTGGAGCGCGCAGATGTGCGAGGCAGCCCAGGTCCAGGGGACCCAGGCCAGACCTTTAAGGACCACAGAGCTTTGCAGATCGCAGTTGTTGGAGCCACTGGTGTCGGAAAGTCGGCCCTGGTTCGCTGTTGCAACGGTGATCCTTTGATGGAGTGGTTGGACTCCTGGGATCTGGCACGGCTTTGCTTTCTTGTCGATAAGGAGGCTGTTGTTCCTGCTTGGATGTCCGTGGTTCCCGTTGGTATCAGTTCGGCTGAAGTGCTCGCAGACATCGTGGTGGTTTTGTTCGATCTGACAGATGCAGACTCGTTCCAGCACGCCTGCTTGCAACTGTCTGCGCTTGGGAAGATTCGTCGTGTGAAAACCCGTATCCTTCTTGGAAACAAGATGGACCTAGACTCGCAACGACAGGTTTCTCACCAGAACGCACAGGTCGTCGCAGCCAGGGAGGGGCTGAGCTATTTTGAAATATCGGCCCAGCATGGCCTTGGTGTCGAGGACGCCCTTCGCTACGCAATCCTCGATGCTTGGGTCCAAATCGAGATGTGCAAGGTGGAAAAACCACTTTCGCACTGCTGCTCCCTGCAATGATGCCTGCAAGCATAGGATTGCTGACTCCTGGCTTGAGGCAGAAATTCACCCAAAGATCAGGTGGATTGCACAGCCATGTTGGAGCCTGCGCCAACTCGGTCGGCCAGATGTTGGCTTGCGCAGCCGATGAAAAACGATGGGTCCCTTGCACGTGCCGGCTGGCGCTTGGAGGAGGGTGGCTTCAGTTCGCTGCAGATTGCTGCAAGAAAAACTCATGTTGATCAACGCACGAGAGTCTAGACTCTAGACTAGAAGAGCGCCCGCCCAGGTCAGCATGGAGGGGCATCCGCCTCGTCTGTTTTTCGTTATGCGGTCCGTGACGACGCTACTTCACTGCATGACCCGGGCCACTTTTCAGCGGAGTAATTAAGAGTGCCACTTAGTGTAGCAGTGTAGCAGGTGGCTCATGCTTTCGGACTCTTCGGATTTCGTCGTGAAGGGCGATGTGGAGGTCTCAAGTTCGTCCCGTGAGAAAAGGTCCCGGAATAAAGATTGCTTAGATCCAGTAAAGTCCTACAAACTTTAAAGGCGTCGGTATATGGCCCGGTCTATTCCCCCTGAAAGGACAGACATGTCACGGGTTGCAAGCATATCCCCGTCAACGGCCTGACTCCAAGGCATACGCTTGGAATCTCGCACACGCAGCCTGCTTGCAACGTGTCATGCTCCCAAGCTTGTCACGCCTGCCGCCGAGCCCTGCCACGCTGCTTCAGGACAGTGTTGAGACCAAGCTGCGAAAGTCTTGTACTGTAGCAGAAATCGGCAACAGCCTTGCGCGACTGCAGTAATCCTTTGACTGCTCCGTCCATGTGTTCCTTTTGCAAAGCCTCTCTGTGTGTATGTGTGTCCTTGTGCATGTGATCGCGGGCATCAAAAGGTACGACATCAAGGGGAGCACCCGAAATCGCATCTCAGATCCTGAAGACAACGTCGGCAAGGACGTGAACTTCGATGAGGACCCGGCCCGGCACTGCCCATCCAATGCCATGCCCTGCATGGCTTTTCGTCAACAGAAATCGTGCGGCTCGAAACTTAAATGACCAAGTTGAACGCAAGCCGTCCTTGAAGGAAATGGGAACTTCGCTGGACCTTCCACAAGCTATTGCGGCGGAGGCCACCTCGTTAAGATGAAGCGGACGTGTGCAATTCGTGCACATTCAGGTTGCAGCCGTTCACCAGACTGACGTCGAGTTGCTCCAGGAGTCTGCCGGCATGTTGTGAAAGCGCCCTTCTTCCCAACATGCAGATGTGGCACGAGACAGCAGACATAGAGTGACATAGAGAGCATGGGAGCCACGAGAGGAATGGCCTTTGACAATTGCAAGACCAATGCATGGCCAGGGTATCGGCTAGTAGCATGAGTGCCGGGACTGCCGGGAATGAAGGCAAGTCGTCGTCATAGACTCCAGCTTGGAAGGACTTTCGCATCATGGATTTTTCCTTGCTTCTACAGCCGCTTGCATCAGTTTGGTTTGGCAAGGGTGCAGGCTGAGACTGCTTGTTTCATTCGTTTGATCAGCAGACGCTTCGTGTAAGCATGCTGCATACTGAGACTTCTCTCTGTCGAATGCCGGTGTTGTGCGACGTGCATTTTGAGGATCCATGACAGAACGGATGGAGTGTTCGAGCAGAGGCGTCACGAGTGCGCGGCAGCTTGGGCTAAACATGGATTCGGTCATCTCCGCTGCCCAACGCGGCTACTGTGGCCACTAGTTACGGGCGGAACAGTTTTGCCGGCAAGGTCAGGCTACGGGAGATCAAGCAAAAGCAGAGGTTTTCGTTTCGCCGCATCCCGTCACGACGAACTCGAGCTCTGCCCAGCCTGATCGGGACTGGGATGCAGGGTTTCAGAAACTTCAAGCCGTGCCCCGGTGCATGTCTTATCTGCAAGTGTGGGTGCAAGCGCATCTGTGAAAGGAGCACAGGCATGGCCAGGACAGAAGGGCTCAGCCATGGCCCAGAGGACCCTGGGACAAAGTAAGCTCACTTGCGATGTGATGTGCTTTGCTGATTTTCTGGTCTTTCAGACCAATTCAATTCATTCAACTCCGAGAGTCAGAAGCCAGACTAACCCGTGCCGGCCGAGCCGGTTTGCAGTGCGAAGGTCCATGTCCGAATGGGCGGACCCCGACGAACATGGACGTGGCAAGGCCTTGACGCATCTATAAGGCTCGCTCATGCTCATCTCATTCCATGTGCAGCCGGAGGCACTGTTTCGCAGCTTTTCAGAAACGACGCGGCGCCGTCAATCACGCCCGCTCCGAACAACTGGCTGCCGAGCGACGGCACCCTGGTGCGGCGAGATGGCTCCATGGTGCTGCCTGGCTACAGTTTCACCAGTGGCACGCTAGGTGGGCGGAGCGAATCATGGACCAGTTAGAGGCTTGAGACACGGCAAGTTTGGGCCATGAGAGTTAGGGGAGCTCCGAGTCTAACGCAGCAGTGGGGGTGCTGCGCTCGGTCCCGCCTCTGAATAAACAGGGGATCTTGCATCATTCTTGCCTAGTTTGAGGCTTCGCTCGTGTCCTTGGATGCGGCAGCTCAGCTCTCGTCAAGTTATAAGGTACACGATGGGCCTCATAGACATGCTCGTGCCATTCAGCGCGCCGCTCGACTCATGCTCACGTGCACCCAGTGGTACCTGTGCGGTATGGCGAGACCCCACAGACTGCGAAGATGCGTCTTCGGTTGAGAGCACTTTGAAGTCGCTGGGCAAGCCTCATCTTTGCAGTCCGATCGCAGGTATCCAAAGATGCAATACGTGGGCATGGAAGTCATAACGTGCGGAAATGGCTTTGCGAGCAGCCGTGTGCCTCCAGACTTCTACTGCGCCCTGGCATTGAATAAAGCCGTCGCCGCGCTAAGTGCGGAGGAGCGCGTCGAGACTAGCCGACTAGCGGACTAGCGGTTGGGTTTGTCTAGCTCTGTGTGGTCACGAGCTGGTTTGCGCGGAAGACATATGCCACTCAGGCGAGAGGCAAATTGAGAAGGTGCACGCCATGTGCGAGCAGGCGCATTGCCCGCAACTTGCGGGCTTGACGGTAATCATTCTTTGAGCTTGGGTCGGATGTTGCATCGTAAGTTGGAGCGGACATGTCTCGCTGTGGGTTGGCGGTGCTGGACAGCTGGGCAGGAGACGCCCTTTGCGGACTGACCGACGGTCTTGAAGCAAAGCAGGGGAGGATCTAAGCCAGTGGATTGAGGTTAGGTCGCCGATGTGGGAAATCCTCCCCTTGCTGGCAATCTGTTTAAGATACTGCCGTTTACTGAGTTTACTGCTCGGACAAGATTCCGGTACCCACCAGAGACGCTGGAGGTCTTGCTGTCGGCGATATGTCGTTTCTCACATGCTATCCGTTGAAGTCATCAGGCTTGGATCCTTCTTTGTGACTTCTGATAGCTGCGGATGCTTGGCTGTTTGTGCCGTTCTGGCTCGGCCACCAAGCGGACATACCTCGCCTCACAAGCGGGAGCCATGGCAGGCAGGGCCTATGACACTATGAACAAGGATGCTCACCTGACTTGCCTTCCCTCGACGCTGCTGATCACTGCCTCGAAGGTGAAGCCAAACCAGCTGGAAAGGCGGGATTGAGAGTAAGGTGAGAAGCCGCACCTGAACGGGGAAGTCAGGCCTCTCAGATAGCAATTTGCCAGGGAGTGCCGCAAAAAGAAGATATCGCCATACCGAGCTGATCCCCTGAACCTCCGTGCTGCAGGCCAAGAAGTTCGTCAAGAAGACGAAGCAGCCAGTGCGGCTGTATGCCAAGGGCCTGATCTTGGGTGTCTGGACTGCATAGATGCATCAGCATGGGAGACTGGCGAAGGAACGGTGCAAGCAAGCTTCTATTTGCCTGCCTGTGTGAGTGCCTATCTCTGTGCCTGTCTAGCCGTCATTAGCCGTCTGTTTGTCCACCGATGGGTCTGCCGATCTAGGCACTTATCCTTGCAACTATCGGTCTCTATCATCCATCCATCGATCCACCTCGCTATCGATCGATCTCTCTATCTAGCTGTCTGTCTCTCTGTCTATCTATAAATCCTAAACCGTGGTCATCGTGGTCAGCCTCGTCGTTGTGGTCATGGGTCGTGGTCGTAAACTGTGGTGGTGGTGGTGGTGGTGGTGGTGGTGGTGCTGGTCGTCATCGTCGTCGTGGTTCTGGTCGTAGTCGTCTTGGTCGTGCTGGTGGTCGTCGTGGCTAGCTTTACTACTATCAGTGCCAGTGCTGTCAGTACGGTTACCGCTCTTGTTCGTGGTCCTCGTCGGTACAGCCGCGACACTGTTGTCTCCGTTATCACACAGTCGATGCATAGCACCGTCGCAGTAGATAGAATTTCCATGTCGTGGAGGGATTTCTATGAGTTGTTGGATTGAAGTTCTACGAAACGGCATTGCTTGGTAAGACGCGGAATCCCTGGGCAATGTCACAGAATCCCTTTTGCCAGAACAGCACCTGCTTTGTTTGGAGTTGCAATGTAAAGGACTTGTTTCTGCAGCGGATACGTACTTACTCGCATATGTGCACGCACACACACAGATAAATAAAAAGACAAATAAATAGATAAATAAATAGATAAATGAATAAATAAATAAATAAATAAGTAAATAGATAAATAAATAAATAAATATAAATAAATAAATAAATATATATATATATATATACACACCCATATGTAAAGTATGTTTCGGAAGGACAGCTGGCTAGTCTTTACCTCGCGGCTTCGGCAGGGGGAGAGGGGGAAAAGAAACAAGATATGAATATACTATATGTATCCATATTTGCTTTGGGGAGCCTGCCGCCGGCCTACCGTCCGGTAGATTCACCAGCAAATCTGCCACCTAGTTTCTGCAACGGAGAGAAGTGGACATGGGGATTAGAGAACCTCCTGTCAATTTGACCCGCACGGCTGCGACCTTCGTTCCGGCAAAATCAAGGAGGCGAAGCGCCCTGCCGACTTAACTTTAATTTAGTATGCGCTTGCCTGCGTCCGACCTGGGGGCGATGATGTCGGAATTGATTCGTGGTTGGGTGCCCGCTTGTTCCATGCATGTGTAGCCTGGTAGTCTCGGTGCGGGGGTTGAGAAGGAAGCTGCAAGCAGGTTACAAGCGCAGCAAGTCCAACTGCTACGCCAACTGCACCCTTCTCAAGATCGATGGCGTTCGAACCAAGGCAGTCCAGACGATTGTGGCTTGCGCTTGTTATGCACAAAGCGGCGGCCGATTTGCCAGGAAGACACGCAGTTCTACATCGGCAAGCGGGTCGCTTATGTGTACAAGGCCCTATAGCTGTGAAAAGCCTGCTCAAGTTTGAACCAACAAAGGAAAATGTCAAAGCACATACGCTACACTGCTACACACGAGATGTTTGCTTGTGCCATCTCGCGCTAGGTGAAGAAGGAGGTGAAGCACAGCAAGTTTCGAGTGATGTGGGGCAAGGCACAGTTTAGCGACTGCCCATTTGCAGCTGTTGAGGTAGTTGACCATGGCCTGGCGATGGAGAGTATTCAAGCGAATTCTTGATCGTAGCGCCATGGGGTGGTTAGAACACCAGTTCCTGAATCTGATGGAACGCAGACAATAAAGTTTGGAGTTCGCTATCAGTCTTAGAAGTTACCCCAGCGTTTCATTCACCACTCGTTGCCCTTGAGCCCGGAAGAGCTTGGTCGAGCGGACTGCCGAGACTTATCGAACATGTCCCCAAGAACCCATGTAGCATTCGGACTTGGAGTTGGATTTCGAGGCTTTGGCCGCGCCCAGGACACCCATGGCGGTTTCGTTCGGATGGAGAGTCCGAGATCTAACAGCCATGCCTGGAATCAGGTTCGCCGCTCCCACGGCAACTCGGGCGTTGTGCGTGCCAAGTTTGTGAAGAACATCCCCCCAAAGGCCGGATCGAGCAGAGCCAGTGGGACTTAACAAATTAGAATAAGGTTTCTGTACAAAAGGGCGATAGAGTTCCAAGAGGGTGCTAAAAGTTTTGAATAGAGGGGTACCCTGTCCTTAGTAGCGGCCGGTGTCAATGGTTGCCGGCAGGCGTTTGGTGCTCCGTGCCGCGTGATGCTTTACCCGAGCAGCTGGACGGCAATCACGACCCGAAGTGCCAGATAGTTCTTGAAGCTTCAGCCTGTTGGGTACACGGGGGAGATTCCGCAGATTTGGAGTAGCCTGTCCTTGGGTGAGTGCGGCAGAAAGTCTAAGGCAGCATCTGAAGCTGGTCGGTTCTGGAAGCCGCCGATGTGACATCCTGCCACTGCGAGAGAAAGACGGGACGGACATTGCGCCCAGCCAACCTCTTTGTCACGGCTATGCTTTGCTGTGTCTGCTGTGCTCTATGACCAGGGAGGGAAAGGCCCCTGACTGAGCTTCGGTGCGCTTTGTCGCTCGTAGTCGTAGGACCCGTAGGAGAAGTGCAAGTGAGCACAGCGAGCCTGGGCGCGCATGTTCGGCCTTACTCGGCTCAAGCCGATTCGCGGCCCATCGCTGACGTACAGAGGTCCCCATCGTGCCGCGCTTGGCCATATCTTTAACGGCATTCATCACAGGCTGTGCTACTTGAGCATGTGTTCGAGGCAATGGCGGACGAGGCGAAGGTGGAAGAGAAGGACAACTTCGATGTTGGGCCTTTGTACTCGCCTCAGTCTAGACAATCGTCGGTGGCAAGAATGGCTGATGATGAGCCTCAATTATGCCAAAGTTCGGCTCAAGTTGGCTGTCACGCGCTTCGGCTTGATGAGGCCGTGGGCATCTTGTGTCTGCTGACAGTGCAAGCACGTCCTGAAAGCTCGTTACCAAGCAGTTACCAAGTTAGACTCGGCACGCAGAAATACCAACACCGCGTACGAGATGGTACTACTGTAAATTGCTCGGCGCTAATCTTGGAGACGGACAGCAAACAGTTGTCCGTACAGGCAAACAGAGCAGAAGGGCAACCTGAGCCATGTGGGCCGATGTTTGTTGTGCAGCAGCTGCAGCTTTGGAAGAGCGCGGTTCGTGGATGCATGATGATGCCGTGCGACCGGGCTTGTGACTTAAGAAGCGTACAGGCTCCAAAGAACTTACACGCCGAGAGTTAGACGATGCAGTTTGCTGCTGGGTTTATGGAGCTTGACGATGGTATTTGGTGAAATCCGAGCGACTGAGGACTCCGGGCGTCGCTGCAGAGGTTCGGCGAGAGATCCTGGAACCTTGAGCTGCCTTCAACGGTTCAAGTTATGCATAGTTCTGTCTGGGCACATGGGCGAGTATGAGTATGACCATCCATGATTATGGCAAAGGCTAATGACTTGTAAGATCAATGTAAATGATGGAAGAATTGCGCGAGACCTGGGCAGCTGTAGCAGTATTCGTCGTAGTAGTAGTAGTAGTAGTAGTAGTAGTAGTTGTTTCTGCGTAGACAATGTAGCTGCAGTCGATCAGTCAAGCTGTGATGCGAGGTCTTTTTCACTGCCACATCAGCCCTAGCTCCTAGTTGCCTGACTTAAGTGGATGGGTAGCCAGCAGCTCGAGCCTGTATTATATACCGCCTCGCATAGACTGTTGCTCATGTTTTTGTTCTCACAAGCACAGCTTTTGCGCATTCGCAGTCCTTGCTTATGGGGCCTTAGGGCCGGGGGACTCAGGATGCTGTTCGGAATCCTCAATCGAAGGATTGCACTATGTGCCGGGGAGACGTCCCTGCCGAAACACGGGAGCTAAGCAAGGACACACTTTGCTGCGTGCGGAAGAAGAAGTAGTAGTAGTAGTAGTAGTAGTAGAAGCAGTAGCGGCAGTACTGCAGTAGCAGCAGCAGTAGTAGTAGCAGTAGCAGTAGCAGTAGCAGTAGCAGTAGCAGTAGCAGCAGCGGCAGCAGTAGTAGCAGCAGCAGTAGCAGTAGCAGTAGTCGTAGCCGTAGCAGTCGGTAGCAGTAGAAGTCGTCGTTGTTGCCGCCGTCGTTGTCATAGTCGTAGCAGCAGTAGTAGTAGTGGTGGTGGTGGTGGTGGTAGTAGTAGTAGTAGTAATAGTAGCAGCAGCAGAAGTAGAAGTCGTAGGCCCAGTCGTAGTCATAGTCGTAGTAGTAGTAGTAGTAGTAGTAGTAGTAGTAGTAGTAGTAGTAGTAGTAGTAGTAGTAGTAGTAGTAGAAGCAGCCGCCCGTGGCTAGGATTGCTTCGAAGACGGCTTGCTCACACAGAGTGGAAACAAGTTGGCCGTCAGATGCCTGGCAATCCCCCTTGCTTTTTTGTGTGAATGAGAGAGGTGAAGCAAAGCAGCACAAATTAATTCAACCGCAGATGCAGGTTTCCTCACATGTTCGGAGCAGTGTTTGAACAAATCTTTGAAGCGGGTTCTCGCAACTTAGAAACTGCTGATGGCCATCGTGGGGGCATCGTGCAGAAGAAGCTTGATGACAAAGTCGGTTTTTCGTTTCTGCAGGACTAGACCGCGAGCAGAGCATGAGTGCTTGGTCGCCAGAGCTCAGGAAGCCCAATGTTTACGAGGCGGACGTTATCGTGGATGGACGTGTGGAGTGCCCGAAGGTGTTGGAAAGATGCCCGGTGCTCTCAGCTCTGTTTGCACAGGACCCGCCTACCAAATGGAAGTGAGCTCTGTTTTGGCAAGGCTAAGACAAGAATTGGGTAAAGCTCATGGCTGCGAGATACGATGACGTGATTAAACGGGGCAACACGACTTGAGTCGGCAATGCCACTGTAACTGCTAGGCACCGTTGAGTGCACTGCCGCGCTCAGTTGTTATCTAGGAGGCTCAACCTCAAAAAACAATTCTCTAGACATGGCTGCCTCTCCTTTAAAACTAGACTTGCGACTAATGCACCAACAAGTGGACACGCGGGACCATCGGAGTCTGTGGGGAGTTTGCTTTTCGAGGAGTCGCATCTGCGCAAGATGCTCAGCTCGGCGAGCTCCTGGTTACAGCTTGACAGGCTTGAGCAAGCCAAGGTGCAGGTGAACACCGGTTCTGGCGGGGCGTTTCCCTGCCACTTCGATCTGCCTGCAGCCTCTGATGCGCGACGCATTTTGACCGCTTTGTTGTATCTCAACCCGGATTGGGCTGAGGGCGACGGCGGGGAAGTGGAAATACTCCCTTTCCCCTTTGCAGATTCTCCCTTGCCACCCTTGGACAGACGCCTCGTGGTGTTTTCATCGTGCACGACTTTGCATCGTGTGCGACCTTTCCGCGGAGCTTCGAGCCGCGTGTGTCCGAAGCTCAGTGTTGGAACGTAGAAGGGCTGGGCTGGGCTGGCTCGACTATCGCACTTGCCGCTGCAGGCATCAATCTTTGGTTTGAGGGTGAGGCGCAGATCCCGTTCCCGGCGCCACTGCGGGCTCCATCGGTCGACGAGCGGGTGCTGAAGGTGATTCGCATACTGCGGCAGCAGCCTGTGGAGCTTCGAGCCTTCTGCAAGGACGGAAAGCAAAAGCAGGACACGCCCAAAAACAACCCAGCGCCTCTTCCCTCCGCTCCGATGCTTCAGGTTTGGTACAGCGACCTCTTCGTGGAATCGCTGCGGGATGCCTTCGAGGCCTCCGAGGCGCTGGAGGCCGCCCTGCAACTCCACCAGACCGAGAGGCCGGCCGCCGGCCGCGGCCCCGCACTGCGCCGACTGCGCCTGCTTTTAAGCGGTTGGAGTGCCAGCGCCAGGCAGGCCGTGGAGTCTCGCATTGCCCCAGCCACGCTCCGGCTGCTGCGGGAGTTCTTGCCCCTAAGACCCGTGGCCGAACAGGTGGAGGACCCCGTGTGCAGCCCGGTGCATGCACCCCCCGTGTGCAGCGTTGCCTTCACTTTTCAGTTCTGCGGTCTTCGCGAGCCCTTAAGCCTCAAGATCATGTTGACAGGAGGCTGCCGAAATGACGGACCTGTTTGATGGGCTCTGAAAGAAAATCAGTGCGCAGATACACCCTGGCATGGGCAGCATGAATTCCAGCACTGTGTGATTCCGGGAGTGATCCCTAAAGTCGGTGCGGCAGAGTGGGTTGTAGCGGCTCCTACTCAGGTCTGTCTTGCAGAAGTGCGTCAAGGACAACTCGCAGGCCCGAGGACAGACCCATCCATATGTCTAGGAAGCAGTGTCGACTCGTCGAAAGACAAGAATCGTTTGGTTCTCCGGTAGCCTTAGGCCCAATGCCGTCATGCCCGCAGCACAGTAGCGGCAGTAGCGTTCAATACTTGTCTAGCATACGATGCCGGCTCTTTTACAGGCAGTGCATAGTTGGTGTGTGGTGTCGTTCCAGTGTCCAGTGTTGCAGTGGGAGCCGAGCTCAAAGGGCAGGTTCCCAGCCAGAATCCTCCGTCCGCCGAGGTGCTGATCAACTGCCGCAACAATCGGAAGATCTTGGCCCGAGTGAAGGCATTCGATCGGCATTCGAACATGGTCCTGGAGAACGTGAGGCACGGGCTGAGGGCTCCGAGAGTCAAGTGAGATATCCTTGGGTGATCTAGCTCGCGAAGCGGCGGAGAAGAGAGCAGCCTGTGGTTGGATTGCTGATTGAGAAACGCACCTCCAAGAAACCTCCAGAGAGACATGCCCAGAACAAAGCAAAGCAAAGAGTGTCTCTGTGTGTGTCGGGAGGAGCGCGAGCGAGAGAAAGAGCTTGGGGGAGCGGGTGTCTGTGCTGAAGAAGACTAAGAGAAAGGAGGGAGCGAGATCGGTGCTGCCTTCTTTGGGCCTCTCATTTTCGCTCGTGGTGAGGCCACTAACTGAGGGCGCCCGCGCGCGGAGGGGTGGTAAGTTCCGTCCCTCTTGGCTGTGTGGAAGGAGAGAGAGAGAGAGAGAGAGAGAGAGAGCTTCTCACACCCCTCCAAAGTCCCCACAAAATATGGGGGGGCCCTAGTGGCCGAGGGGTCTTAACAGCCCCTCATGCCCGGCGGAAGAAGAGCTTCTGCTTCTTTGTTCGCATGTCGAGCAATGAGACTTGCGGTATCGGGTATCGTTGCTGCGGATTCTGCTTAGGTTTGCCTCGAGCATGGGCAACAACTTTGGTCTTATGGGCCATAGTCATAGAAGGGTTCTCCCTGGTTCATCATCCATGAGCGCATATGAGTGCTCCTCCGTTTTCCCTGTCAGTACGGCAGCTGTTCACTTCCCCATAACAAAAGGGGGGGGCGGAGGGCGGAGGCGGGGGGAGGATTGCTCCCTCTCCCTCACAACCCTAGCGAAAGAAAGAGGGTGAAGCAAGGAAGAAAGAAAGAAGCCTTGCTCTCTCAGGGAGATGTGGACCGAGACGCCGTTGCTCAGCTTGCAGGAAGCGAAACGGGTTCAAGCTCTAGATCCAGAGAACTGTCCATGGACTTGGCAGGACTGGAATGCAAGTCCACAGCTCACGCATTCAGCCTGTAAGGCATGGGGGCAAGAAGAAGGCGAAACCGGTCAACAAGGATCGTCACTTGATGGCAAAAAGCCGCTGGCGGCGCAACTGGGTGTCTGCATGTATCGCGGACAGTAGCTGCTGATTTGAAACGATGATCCCCTTGCAGCTCTTCACGGCTAGCAGAGTCGGTAAGCAAAGTGGCATTGAGAAGCCAATCACTGGTCCTTGCTGCTACGCTCGGGATTGTTGCTTGCACAGTCCTGCAGCACGCACCTCTGGAGATGTTCGAGGTCATAGAAAGCATGTGAACGGTGCAGTCTAGCGCGGCCCAGAGTTCATCTAAGGCTTCATTAGTAAGATGTTCCTGCGTGGCGATTCGGACGCTCGGCAGATGTGGTGGTGCAAAATCCTTTTTAGGGGCAGTTGCCTGGTCTGTTGATGTCTGCTCATCGCAGTGTGCTGCGACCTCATAGACCTCTTGCACGCTCCGCAGGAGAGAGCCACAGCCCACGTTTTTCCTTTGCGCATCGCAGCGAGCTTCAAACCAGACCGAGTCCATGACGGCGGCAACGAGAATCGTACGGTAGCCGAAAACGCGATAGCAATCATGGCAATGGGCAGCGGTTCTATCTGGGGAACACAAAATCTTGAGGCGAGCGAACAGGCTAAGCACTAGACCCATTCGCCCACAAGGTCATTCTTGTGCTTCGAAATCCGAAGTGAGCCGCGGGGAAGTTTTGAGCCAGGCGACCAGAAGAACATATGCAGCAGCACGTAGAAGTAGCAGCAGCGCAGTCATCCTTAAGCAGAAGTTCGTATGGATGTGGGTATCCGGAACTAATGTACACGGCGAGACGTCGAGACCTAATTACATATTTGCATCATGCCAGGCTAGAGCGTATGAAGCAGTCCTCCGGCTGGCAAGTCTGGAGACCGACCTGAGTTTGCGGCCTTCGTGAGACACAGCATGGCATCAGAGGTCCTTATCCCAGCCTTCTGAAGAATAAGTCGGGTCTGCCATCTGTGTCAAGGAAAAGGGCAGGCCTCACATTCGACCAACTGCGCCGCGCACGCTTCTATGGCACTACCCGGGTGTAAAGAAAGCGAGGGCAGAGTTCGGCAGTAGCAGTTCAAGGCTTGACAGCTGGACTTGCCAAAGCTGCATCTCGGGAAGATTGCATGTGGTCTGTTCAGGCTGTGTTTGCGGGAAACATCACGTGGAGGTGGCCGATTTGGGCTCAACAGGGTGCCATTGTGGTCCCCATCTGGCTGAGAACCTTACCAGGCACGGCGAGGGGCATTGAGGGCAACGGCAGCTCGTCATTGCCAAGGCTTCTTCCCGCCTCGCCCCATGGATGCCGGGCGGCGGGGCCGCACAAAACGGAGCCTCCTCTGCGGGAAATGGATAAGATGGGGTAAGTGCCACCGAGGACCACAACCGCCTCTTCATGCCAGCCATGAGGATACTTACGATTCTTCATACTCTGGCATCGACCTTACTGAGTCTTATTAGTTTGAGTCGTGCATGAAGCTGTGCGTTGCGCTCCAGCAGTGAACTTATCCCACTGTTCGGATGAAAGGGCTCTCGCTTACACCTATGACGCAGTGCTCTCGGGTTGTGAAATCAGGCGATAGCAGCCGCAGTCCGGGAATCCGACGGGGTGATCGAGACCAGTTGCGAGAGCTTGTCAGCCGCGTTTAAAGCACAGATCGCCTTGCGAAGCCTTGCTGCCCTTCAATGTGGGCAAACCTTCCGACCGGCCGCTTGGAGAGGCAGCGAGGTCGCCAGTGCTCGAGGAGGAGTTCTACTGCAGCGAACTGTGTGATGACCTCAGGGATGTGAAAGCTTTCCACTGCCAGGGTAAGCGTCCAAGATCAATGGAAGAATGATAAGAATGGTATGAGGTGACTCGATACTGCTCAGGCGAACCTCAGGCCTAGCCAAGAGAGCAAGACCGACTCAGGGCTGCTATTTGCAAAGTGTGCTGCGAGTAGGGTGAGTAGGCAACAGCTTGTGAACGTCTTCCGCTGAGGCTGAACAGAGTCCGGGCAATTCTGGGATCAGCTTCCTGCCTGAAAGCATGCATGGGCAGGTCGCATGCAAGGTTTGTGTTTGTACTGCTTTCCGCCTGGGAGGGACAGTTTCTGGAGCACTTTGAGCCCAAGCAAAACTCGCGGCGCGGCCGCAGAGAAGCGCATGTCCTTTTGTGGCTTCGTGCCAGAAACAAGAGCTCGTTGGGGGGTGCAGCCTGCAGGAACAGCACGCCCGGAGAAGGCCAGGTGACTCAGTGATCCCAGCTGTTCATCCTGAGCCATTTTGCTTGGAGGCTCTATCCGCCATCTGCCTTGCGGCCAACTGATAAAGCTCAATGTGCCTTGCATGCAGTGCATCTTGGGTCGGTAGGATTGGCCTGGGCGGGGCTGCTGAAGATAGAATCAGCCCCCGAACAATCCCAAGAAGCGCTCTTGCCGTCTTTGTCCCTCAGCTGTTCTCGAGCTCGACTTCAGGCTTCATATGCCCTCGATGCCACATGTCCCTCCTCCTGTCCACTCCACGTCGATCCGACCAGCGATTCAGCGAAGGACGCCCTCAAATGCACTCCCCGACTCACATCAGCTAAAACTAAGAAGCCCAGTTTCTATCAGATGTGTGCCGCAGGACTTCTGCCAGTCCATGTGCGTGCCAGAGGGAGCGTGCAAGCGCCACAATCCAAAGGCAGGAAGGAGAGGAGAGAAGTTTGAGTCCTACAGCCACCAGCAGACCGAAAACCTATGCCTGCAGGCACCTGTTGGGGATCCGGCCATCGGCTCCTGCCGAGGAGCGGTAGTGGACGGGTGCGAGGCGCGGTGAGCGTCGCTGGAGCGTGGGGGTGTTTTGATGAGCAGTCTTGGCCTCTGAGCGTCACTACCGGGATCGGCGCTGGCGTGTATCCCTGCGGCAGGTGCCCAGCGAGGATGGCACAGTGCCTGGCTCAGGAAATTTGCTGGTGACGTCGTGCACCTTACGTCTGTTGGATCCGCCGAGGACTCGTGCGAGGAGTGCGACGGCTTCTTCTACCTCACGAAAGATCGGTGGCTGGATTCCCATTAGTTGCATTGCTCATGGGCTGACAGCTCTCGGTGAAAGTCGGGCACTTCCCTTGCAGGAAGTGCGCTCGCAAATATGCCTGGGCACTCTACGTCATTGCAGCGGTGCTGGTGGTGTCTAGGTTGCAGTGCAGCACGTTGCTGTCAAATCCCATGGCTATGCATGACTCGACTGTCTGAGCGAAGGTGGTGATTCTGCTCGCTCTTGCGAGACTTGGATGAAGCGCTGCATGTGTTTGTCTTGCAATACGTACAGGGCTACATGTTGCTGCCCCAGGATCTTGGTCGATTTGCTGATGCGGCCTGTGACGAATGAAGCCGGGCTTGAGGACTGGTGTCAGCCGGCGTGCTGCCATCCTCATGACTTGCACGTTTCTTGGAGGACGCCCTTGCTTACCGCTCCCGGCAGAAGTTAAGGATGCCGAACGTTGATGGCAGCGGTCGTCGCTCGGCAGGATGCTGATCGTTCGTAATCAACGCGTAAGTGCTGCAGCACTGTTCAGCTGGATTGGCCTGAGCCAGGCTCTGCAGAGAGCCTTCTGTTTCGTGCACAAGTGAACGACGTATACACCATACGGTGCAGATTCGCAGCTATGAAGGCCACCTGTACCCTTTGTCGACGAATCTTTGTACGGGCATCGTTGGCGGTCCGGGCCTGGCGCTGCACTTCCGCTTCCAGGCCAGGCTTCGACGAGGATTGTATTTTGGAGAACGCCTGTGTGTCTCTGATAGCAAGGGCAAACCAACCAAAACCAGAGCCAGGCTGCAAGGCCCTCGCACATCCTGGCACTCTCCCGAAACCAGTCCTGGATGAGCAGGCAGTCATCGTCATCTGGGCTGCCGTCATTGCCTCCAGCAGTTTGCCCAGAGTGGAGAGACAAAACTCCTGCCAGAAGAGTGACCGGGCAGTGCTCAGTTGAGCATCGTCGCTCTCAGCATCTGCCGTTACAAGAGCCAGTGCTGTCGTGGTTGCTTTTGCTGAACCTGTTGCGCACCCTCCCCGTACATGTATCAATCGGGTTTGGGGAAGTTTAGGGTTTCAGGAACTTTCGGGTTTCGGCTTGAGCACAGGCTGGTTGCTGCTAGCGCTGCTTGTGGACTATGACCTTCTAGTCCTCGGCACGAAAGAGTTCGGGACCGCAGCACGCCCGCAGAGCGAGATGCTCGCGAAGATTGAAGAACAACGAGTCGGATCTTCTCCTTAGGGACACCCAGCAGCTTAATCGACATGTGTGTGCCTGGTGCACCTGATGCGGCTAGTCTACTTGTTTGAAGTTTGAACCTTGCGCTGGCCGGCAGATCGCCGTGCAACAAATACAACAGGGATGGGGCATAGACAGAGGCTTGTTGCCAGATGCTTGTGATCCTGTTGTCCTTCAAGTAGCCATGTGGCTACAAGATGGGGCACGTCACATAGTTCGTGCTTTACTGAACCCCCTCTTCTAGACCTGACGAATCGGCCAATGGATGAGGCAGTTGGCTGCCGACAGAAAGGTGCCAGGCAAGCATTGTTCTCCATTGCGTTTGCAGGAGCTTTCCTGACGGCTTCTATTGCCGTCTTGAGTCCACTGAAGGCGCAAATCCAAACCGAGCTTGGTTGCACGGACGCGCAAACGGGACTTCCAGCATTCGCAACGCAATTCTCGCAAGTGGCAGCTGCAGCTTTCTCTGGCATTTTTGCGAGCCAAAAGGGCGTCAGCCGCCGTTTCGTTCTCTCTATGTCTTGCGCGGTTGTGTCTGTCTCGACATGCTTGATTGTCGTCAAGCCGAGCATTGGACTTCTCTGCGTATTGCGAGTCTTCGTGGGGGCGGGCTATGCGTGCGGCATGATCATCATCCCGTCTTTGCTAGTGGACTATTTTCCCATTCCAGATAGAAGCTATGTCTTCGCACTGTTCGAGGTAAGTTGCTTGTTGGGTGGAGCCTTCAGCTACGCAATTGGAGCGGTGATTGCAGAAGCCATGGGTTGGAAAGCAGCAGTGGTGACCGTTGGTGCACCTTGTCTGATTGCTAGCGCCGCCGTGAACTTCATCAGGGAACCCAAGCAAGGCATCAATGACGTCAATGTAGTTGAAGAGGGGACGTCAACGATTGCTAAATACCACAAAGTTCTCTCAAACCAACATTTCTTGGTGATCGTCGCGGTCAGCATTATGAACACCTTTGCGGAGAGTGCCCTCGCCGATTGGTTCCCGACGTTGCTGCAGAGATTCGATGGGCAGAGTGTGCGAACAGCTGGCCTGGAATGTGCCTTTGCAGGGATCTTGGGTGGCTTGTTTGGGAGCATCCTGGGTGCAAAAGCCATCAGGAACTTTCAGGAATCTGGTAAGAACATTGAGCTGTTGGCACCTGGAATGGCTACCATGGCAACGATTTGGCCATGTCTAGCGCTCCTGTCGTTTCAGATGCAGAACATCTTCTCTATCGTGGCTTTATCAGCTGCTTACATGTCTGCGTTCACGTTGAGCAGCGTGTGCTTGTCGGTGCTTCTCACGAAGGTTTTCCCTTCTTCTCAGATCAGCTTGGCCGTATCGGTTCGTCAGCTCTGCACAAGCGGCCTTGGGACTGCGGTTGCTCCAGTGATAACCGGATGGCTCTCTGACAGAACGCATTCACTCAGATCAGCACTACATCTGCCGCTAGGGGTGCAGCTCGCTTCCGGATTTCTACTTCTGACCAGCTCCCGGATCCTCACTGCAGTTGCAAGCTGCAGCAGCGGTGAGGCCTATAATAAGGCATCTCTGCAGTCGCTCTTCTCCACGGAGGATGAGCATGAACCCGGGGGACTCCTGGCTGAGAAGTCGAAGTCCTTGGCATATGGATCTCTTGCATCTCTTGAAGCTGACTAGCGGCTACCTAGCGGCTCGCGCTTTGCCCGAAAAAGGAGAGGCCACGAGTGGAGCTGCAAGTATGAGAAAGCGGCCATATAGTAGTGAACTGCTGCAAGACTTGATGTTCTGCTCTGTTAGCGAGAGGATGGTCGGCTTGATCTGATATGAGCCTTTCATTGTGGGGGTGAAGGGATCGGGTCGACGCTTACAAAAGGATCCTCAGCCGAGCCGAGGCATTTCGGAACTGCGTTCTGGTGGCATGGGGCCGTGCGACACAGCGGAGGCGAGGCTACTGATGGGATCTGACAGGAAGGAACGTGCAGAAATCCTGGGCCATGTCGGCAGTGTAACTGACACTCTACATAGAGTCAGAGCATAAGGAATTTCGCGAGATACGCACTCTTGGGCTGGAGTCATCACAGACAAGGCAGGAGTCAGCTAGAGAGAAGCCAGGAGACTTCCGGTGAAGCGCGGATTCGATTCAGCTGTACATGACATGGTCCGAACCTGCCTGAGCCTAGGCTCATGTGGCTGAAGACGTGGTTTCTGAGCTTTGTCTACATCTTTTCATTTCTGGGCCGGCCGAGCTGCAGTGAGGGGGGGGGTATCAGATAGTTTGTGGGCCATGGAGCTCATGGGTGAAGCTGCAGGAAGTGTCTTTTTCGGCGCGCGCCAACTGTACTTCTGGGAGCGCCTCGATGACAACAACGCAGCTGGGCACCGTGTGAGTTCGGAGTTCTGTTACAGAGTCTAACTTTTTTGATGTCCGTCTTGAACCGCAAGTACGTGTCCGTATGATCACCCGCATTCTCTCTCTCTCTCTCTCTCTCTCTCTCTCTCTCTCTCTCTCTCTCTCTCTCTCTCTCTCTCTCTCTCTTCGTCGTCATGGTTTCGCGGCCCGAGGACACCATGAAAGACTATGCACTTCGACTGTCTGGCCTGCCATGGCTGGACGGAACTGTGCGCATGGAGGAGGAACTTAAGGACACCCTTGTGCAAGGTCTTCCAGCAGTCCTTCGAAAGAGTCCAGGATAACATCGTACTAAGCACAAGGGCCAAAGCTATTCGGGACCTAGTTTCGGTAGTTACAATTCCAGAGCCTTTCTTGCTTGCTGCCGTGTTGGCTTCCTCGGTGCTGCGACGGAAACAATCCTTTCTTGAAAGCAAACGCAACCTTCACGTGGGTGTTCACAGGAGAGTTTGCAGCTCGCAACTGGACGCACAGTGGTTGGAGTCTCTGTCTGCTGGGACTACCATGAACATCAGGCGCGGCCGTAGGGCTTTGTCTCTGGCAGAGTCGTCTGGTTGTTGATTAAATCTTGGTTTGCTCAACACCCTCACGCGAATCTCTGGTGCATTTATATTGGGTGAGATGATGCCCGAGCAGACATGCCGCCCTGAACTGCCTGGCTCTCCACGGCAACCTACCTAGACCCTCCAACTACCCTCTATTAGACCCTAAATGCCCCTTATTTGGGACCATATACCCCTATTTGAGGGTACAAGGAGGGTCCTGGTATTTGTTTAGTGGTAATGCACGTGTGGACTCCGAAAGCGATTCTCCAAGGCTCGTTAGCCGTGGAGTGTGGTCGATGAGCCACTGAAATCCTCAAAGCAACTCAGCTCCAGTCCACGACTTGGCCCAGGGCCAGCACCGAAGCCGAAGGGCCAACAGCAAGATCAGCAAGCTGGAACTTCAGTAATTATAGTTCATTATGGGCTTCGGCAGCGCCTGGCTGAATGCCTGTGGCCGCCAGTCGACTTGACTGGAACCAAAAGCTTTCGATCAGAGGCCAGGGAGGTATAGGCAATCGGCCACATGCTGCGCAGGAAGCTGTTCGTGCCCGGCTCGAGAAGGGAGAGGATGTACATCAACAAGGCAGCGGAGCGCGCCTTGCGTGCATGAGCATGGTCGGAACGCGCCCGAAAGAGCTGCCTGAATGTGCGAGGCGTCGTCATTCGTCAGGACTGAAACCGTGCCCTGCGCCCTAATCTGTGTGCTTCGTGCATTGTGTGTAGCCTTGAACTCCAGCCGATGCCGCGCCGGTACAGGACATGGGCCCATTCAGAAGCACTCTGTTTCATTTCGAGCAGATGATCCTCGCTGAGGAGATCTGGTGTGCAACACCCGCTCATCACATTCATTACACGTGTTGGGTTGTCTTTTGAGCTCTTTGTGGAATGAGCTTGATGCTGAAGGCTGCAGAGTCCAGAGTGTCCAAGTCCAACTATTGCCAACTGGACGTAATGTGCTCGGGCATCGAGCAGGATAAGGAGCAGCTTTTGTCAGAAGATGCTGTGAGCTTGGATGCTAACCTCACCGCGACTTCCCCTGTAGCAGTCCGCTTGCTAAGGAGTTCCGTGATCTTCTGATGTCGATGAGGTCCAGAAGCATGGACAGAAAATCTCTGCAGCCTTCTTCCACCTCCAAACCGGCAGGTGCTGCTCCACAGCCTTCGCTGTCTTCGAGACAGAGCGGGCGAGAGATGAGGCATGGTGGTCTAGACCCTGACGCGTGCACAGGCTTCATGTCTGCAGCGCAGTGTTGGAGTATTCCGTTATAGGGCAAAACTATTCCCATGCTGGATTATTTGATGTCCGAGGCTCTTAGTCGGGGGTCACGGGCTTGCGATCATATACAGCAGGTTCTACGCGATTCTACACGACCGAGTATCGGTGTTGAAGCAATTACAGTCCCAATCGCCAGCATGAAGGCTGCCGTTCTGCTGTCCTCCGGCCTGGCCTTTCGTGGCACCTGCCTCGAAGCAAGCCCTGCCGTGCGGGAGCCTCACGGCGCCGGGACCCTAAGTGATAGAAACGGTGATGACACTTGGAAAGAAGGGAGCGGCGCCATAGTTGGAGCCCATAGTTTCTCTCGCTGTTGACCAGGGGTGGCAGCAGCAGGCGGGGATACTCGTGGTGGTGGTGCAGCAGCAAGGTTCAGCAGTAGTAGCAGCAGCAGCAAGTAGAAGCGGCAGCAGTATGTACTCTAGCAGTGGCAGTAGCAGCGACAGCAGCAGAAGTGACAGCAGCAGCAGGAGCTGCAGTAGTAGTAGAAGGGCCGGTCTCGTCGCAAGAGCACGACATGTCGACAGCAGTATCGCACTTCCTGCCGGTGCTGGAAGATGACTTGGCATAGACCGTAATTGTGGAGCGGGCGAATTTCAGGTTCGGCTTTGTAGTTCGAACGTTGACGTCATGCCTTGGAGATGTGGGATCTGCGGGTTGGGATGTTCTGCACTGCTCGTTTGAACCAAGGTGAATTGGAGGAACATGCGGACAACTGGTCTTGCCGGTAAACTGCAAAGGCCTCCCCCCTCCGATGCCAGAACCCAGACTCACGCGGAGGGTGAAGCCTGTGAGAGCCTGCTGGATGATGCACTGGGCCTTCCGGTTGAACGCACTGTGCCAAGCGAAAAATAGTCAGCCGCAAGGCTGGGAAGAGGCTTCGCCCTGATCCTTGTGGGCGTCGCTCTGTACCTCGGAATTTTCTATGCACCCTATGCTGCTTTGCTACACTTAGGTTTTTAGCTCGACAACACCAAAGTCTGCTTTGGCACGCATGTATCTGACTCACATCGGCAGCAACGAGTTCGGACGAGTCCAGGCGATATGTTGAAACCCACTGCAGAGCTTTCCTTGCTTTGAGGCTTGGTCCATCCTGAAGTTTAACTATGAGGGTGGTCAGCAGCCTGGCATAGCTGCATGGCAGCAGACAAAGCCTCGCATCAAGGATTCAACGCAGAATAGAATGGACACTGCAGCGCTTAAGTGGCACCTTCGTCATGCGTCAGGTGTACACCATCGCCTTCTCGCTGATCGTTTGTGTGGGCAACCTGATGATGGCAGAGATGTGCAGCCGTGTGGCAGACACCATCGGCTTCGAATCTCGGACATGCTTGCAACATCGTCGGGCTGGTCAGGCTTTCTTGCGATCGTCTCCTCGGTTTCACCCCACCTGTTGTTGGCATCAGCACCAACATGTGCAGCGACGAAGCGCGACGGCGGGGGTCGGGTTCGGTTCGGGCGGGCTACGTCAGGGTCTTCGATCGGTGCTTTGCGGACACGACTTCATCGCCCCCTTCCCTATCTCCGGAGCAACACGCAAGAGCAAGCGGTCCGGGGATGCCGTGGACCTACGCAGTATATAGGAAAGTGCAACTGCCACCTTTCAGTTTGCGCATGCCCCCGGCACCTTCCGGATTTCATTACGTTGTTTTGTTGGTCTGTTAATAGACTCGCTTTTCTTCTGTTGATTGTCGCGCTCTTCCCTGCCAGCCGTGTTCTGTGACGTGCCTGCGAGTGTGCCCGTGTCTATTTCTGGAAGACTGGGTGTTCTTGTGGTCTATGAAACGGGCCAAGGAGTACAAGGAGACCAGAGAAAATTGCTACATGGTCCTCTACTTGCTGGCCATTGTGACTTAGCATGACGTAGACATTCATCACGGTGCAATGTCCGCGCATCTTGTCCTGTGTCAAATGGAGTGCAGGTGATCAATGTGGGTCTGGACATATGGACCACTTACTACATGGCATCTCAGACCTTCAGCTGCCATGATTCCTTCTGTTCTGGGTATCACCGAGAGCGGTTCAATCAACCGCGAAAGTCCAGATATTTCTTGCTGCATGTTTCGATGTGCAAGACAGCATGTGTCTTCTCAAACACACATCTTCGGTGGCTCGAGGTAATGCATTACTGCACGTGTGCCACAATGAAGGTTTCAAGACTCTGACTCTCACATATGGCATCAGTACAGACGAAGATCAGCACTCCGGGCGCATGAGGCGCTGACATGCTCACACACTTTAGCCGAGCAGCCCAACCCTGAGCCTCGCGGTCCCGCAGGCAGACGCCTGCAGCCTTGAACCCCACGGTCAGCGCATCTCTCCATTGCCATGGACTCCGTTGCAAGCGCGGCGAGCGCTGTGGTGCGACAGTCGACGCTGGTGATCGGCGCAGCCGCCGACGAGCTAGCACGTCAGGCAACGGATGGCATCTGTAAGCCGTGACGAGGAACTGCAGAGTAAGCTCACTACCAAAATACGACAAGGCCAGTCAGCGAGAGGCATGCTGGTTCGAATCGGTTCACCGCCAGTGCATGCAAGATCGTGATCAGAGCCGAAAGCAGATTGTTTTGCTGGCTTCGCAGGCTAATGCTGTGGTGCAAGCGACCACGGAGTCAGATCCAATTTCTTGGATCGCAGGCCCGTGCGGCTCGCCAGATCTCGCCAGAGGTTTGGCATAGGACACGTTCCGACAGCCCAAAAAAGCAGATCGGAAAGCTCGGAGGTTTGCAGAGGGGACATCGCAGTAGACGGGATTTAAGGCGCTTCAGGAGTTGGAAGCAGTTCGGCACGAGCTGCAAAAGGCTTGGCTGGTGCAGGTAGTAACCGCCCTAACGACATCGCGACTTCAAAAGCATATGATGTATGAATCCGGTGCAGGGGATGACGACGACCTGCTGCCTGGTCCTTCCAGCCCTGGGCTCGTTCCACCGGCACCGATAGCCACGCCACTGGCAGCGCTTACATCCTGGGGTGCTTGGGGCCTCGATGATACGCCGCTGTGGCACAGTAGCTTGGCTCGGAAGTAGCGACAGCAGCTGTCAAGCATTCCCACTCGCATAGCTGTCCAGTCAAGGAGTTGGCGCCGGAATCAACGGGTCTGTGTCAGTGTGAGTAATCGTGCCAAGAGCGCTCGCGAGCCTTCCATACAGTTTCCCTCTTCGCCTTAATCGCCAAAGCTAGTGACATGTTGGTGCCTCGTGTCAATGTAAGCCTGTGACCCGCGGCTGGGGGCACAAGGGCAGTTATCGCAGTCCGTTGGCGGGAAGACGAAGACACTAAGACTCCCGCCAGGGCCCTTCGCTGTGGAGCCGGACATCAACTCGAAGCTTTTTCTTTGGCAGGGCGACATGTGCAGTCTTGAGGCCGGTACTATTGGGAGCTATTGGGAGTCTCATATGTACATATATATATATACATCCATATGTATTATCATATAACCTTTATATATCTATATATTCTTGGGAGCTTTGGGGAGCCCCCCCTGTAAGGTCGATGCGCTGCTGGCTCCGGTGGCTGCAGGCTACACGCCAGGCTGCAGCACCGTCTTCGGCCGCGTGCTACAGTACGGTGGCCCGGACACCGGGAGCAGGGAAAACAGGGAAATTACCGTGGGACGTCGTGGGACCAGAGATGAGGGGAGGGCACCGACAACGTGGAGGACAGGTTGACGAGTGCTTGCGCGGAGTTCGTTCCCTGGAGGACCTTCGCGAAGAGCTTCGCCACATGGAGGGCTGCCGGAGTGGGGAGGCCATCTCAGCCACAATGTGATTGTTGTTGGGATCGAAAGGGTTTCAAATTGAAGTGGCAGAATTTTGATGCACTGCACGAGGCTCGCAGCTGCAAGGCGTACAACTTACCCTGCCAGCGGCTTCTCCTGACGGTCGGGCCCAAGTACAAGGAGCTAGTTTGTGTAGGAGGTCTTGCAGCAGACAAACCGTGGAGGGAAGATCAGTTTTGTCGGGAGCCCGTGAGAGATACCTCCGATAGCACAACTACGGCAACCAATTGCGGATCGGAGTTTGGCTGGAAACTAAGATTCCGTGCTAGTGACTGTGCTAGATGGACATGATGATGTCAATCTCTATCCCGAGGGCAGGACGTCACCCATGTCGTAGTTGCGCTTTTCTAGACGGACGTTCCGAGGCTGCGTCCTTTGCGTCTTTGTGAGGCAGCTTCTCATTCCTTGCATGTTCTGGAAATCTGTGATTTTGACTGACTGTAGTCATGTGGAGCTTTTCAACTGATCATGTCATAGAGCATGGTTCAGCTTCAGGCGTAAGGTTTTCGATTTTGTTTATCCGAGTTCGTCCCATGTCTTTTGCAGGACAAGTACCAGGTGGCTGCACAGAACACGCTGAATGCTTGCTATCGCGAGTCAATGCAGCTCCTCGTGGAGTCTGGCCACAGAACTGTGGCGATTCCTTGCTATTGGTACAGCCAGGGCTACCCAATGGAGGAGCAAGCTCATGTTGGGCTTAGGACACTTCGAAGATGTCTGGAGAAGCTGCGTGCCTCCGTGGACAGTGCTGTTTTAGTGGCCGGGACGACCCTCGAGCTGGAGTTATACGAGAGCTTGTTACCTCTGTATTTTCCACGCAATGAGTTCGAGGCCAGGCATGCCGCAGCCGTGCTTCCAGACAGCTGCTGGAACGAGTGGGGCGAGGTCAGCATGGAAGAGCGGCGCATTCGGGTCTCGAACCATGTTGTTTCTGACCGTCATGATGAGGCCGAGGACAGCGATCTCGTCTTCGGCGACGAGGATCGATCTTTTCTCCATGCCCGCGATGATGCCGACTTTGCTGCGATGCAGCGCTTGGAGGGCACCATGATACATGCTGAAACGGTGGAGGAGGCTAGGCACATCTGCATCCGCTACCTGCGGCGAGCCAGAGAGATCCCGGCGGAGAATGAACCGAAACGCTTTGTTTACAACGGCGGACCGGACCACTTCGGTCGCGAAGTTGTGGTGCTGCTCGGCGCACGCCTCCCACCTCTCGGCGTTCAGGATGAGCGAACTTTGGCACTTTTCGTGAGAGAGCTCGAGGCTGTGCAAAGTGATCGCTTCCTGCTCCTCTATGTAAACAGCGAGGTGGATGGAATGGACACAACGGTCCTAGAGGTGTTGCAGGAGATGCTTGCCGTTGTCAACGCCAAGTACCGTAGTGCCATGGCGCAGCTCTTGGTGTTGCATCCCGGGCTATGGTTCCGGGCTGCCTTTGCTCTTGGTCGTGCTGTAAGCGACGAAGCTGCAAGTGTTTGGCACGACAGCCTCTATTTGGAGTGTGTGGCGGATCTTGCCGCAGTGCTAAGCCTTGAGCGACTTTATTTGCCGGACTTTGTGCGATGGAGTGAGCAGCAGTAAACGTTGCCCTCCTCCACCTCTTTCCGGAAGAATACCGAAGACTTGGCGGCGCCATCCGTCGTCTGTTTGCTGCAGCATTCTGCTGTTTCACCCCTCGCAGCAGATCGTTGTGCACGCTCCATTCAAAGGGGCAAGGCGCAGTTAAAGCAGTTTGAGTTTTTGAGGGATTGAACCAAGCCATTGTGCTTTGCAGCATTCGGGACCTTTGCAACCGTAAGGATCATGATCGGTCTGCACTTCCGAACCGCACCATGGCTGCACAGCGTCGACTCCCATGTCGCCACGCGACAGCAGTCCTTGCCCCATGTCCTTTGCACATGCAGTCCTGGAGCATCCCAGGAAGACGGACGTCTACTGGCAGATGTGCACAACTTCTTGGAGCGTTTCGAGAGCTTTCCGGCTTCAATGGATGTCTTCCTGCTGATAGGGGCAGCCCTACATTATGGATCGTAGGGAATGCACTATATAATTCGCATTGTGTTCAAGGTGCCTCAGGCAACGCACGGCTTTGTCTGTCAACAGTGCTGCCAAGTCGTGCTCTTTTCTTGGCATCTCTTGCTCAGCTCTCCACGCGCAAGTGGGAGGGGAAATCAACCCTGGTACCGCCTCTTCGCTCTTAGCTTGTTCTGAGGCTACGCCCTGCAGCGGTCCATGGGCCAGCAGCTCTACGAATATGCGCAGCCTGGCAAAGCTAGCTCTCGAGGCGAAAATTCGTGCGCGCAGTGACCAAGTGACACGCGCTCTCAGGTTTCCCTGCACTTTCCTGGTTCCGTTCCTCGCTGAGCCTCTGGCCGTGATCTTTGCCTTTTCGCGGATCTTTATGTGCCTCGCCTAAAGAATGGGACTTGCCCCGAAGCCGTGAAGGCCGAAGCCTTTCACCGAGGCTTTTGATCCGCAGCCACCCGGAGGTAAAGCCTTGGGTGAGCCGCAGTTGGTTGGCGGCCCTGGACCTGGAGCTGGGCCGCTATGCAGATGCTCGGCCTTTGCAGTCTCTGTCCTGGCCTCATGCGCTCATGCGGCATTGGCACTGGCACTCTTCATGCTGCATTCTACCTTACGAAGAAGAGCCGTGACGCTCGGAGCGGTAGCCCAGGACTGCTTGGTGAACGTCTTTCTGGCCGTCCTGGTGCTGCGGCCCCAGCTGAGACCAATCTCGCCCGTCAATTCCCCAAATCCGAGAGATTTGGCAGAGAGGTTTTTCTTTCCCGGTGGCTACACCCACTGGGTCTTTGCATTGCTGGCCATATGCCATGCCTACATCTATGCCAGGACCTCGAGCTTGGATGGCTTGTTTTGGCTCTGAACATATCCCTCTGGAAACCTGTCGGAGTCAGGTCTACGACCATTATAGAGTCCTTCGTGTGGTACCTCGCGTTGTGATCCACTCTATGAGCGTCGACTTCTGCGCTCAGGCTCCCAGACAGACACACAAGAATGGCACTGCAACGAGCTGTCGCGAGCGAAGCCAGGTTCTTCTGGCACCGGCTTGTGGGATTTTGCAACCCGGCCCTGTGCAAGCTGAATGCCCAACTCTTACATAGCATGAAATCGTCGGAGAAGTACTGGTCCATTAGGCCAAGATAGCATTTTAATATACATGCAGAGCGCTCCCCACCTTCCAGCCCATAGATAGCGATCGTCATGTCGTGCACATCGAGAGCAGGCCACCGTGGCTCCAAGACCCTTTTTGTGTGCGGAAGGGCACGCGAAACCAAGGCTGGTTTGTCTGATCTTCAAAGGCAACTGCAGCAAGAACGCGCTGTATTGCGACTTGACATGCTTGGCGAATCCTTTTGTTGTTTTTGGATAGTCCATGTCTCGAAGAAGACGCCCTGGCGGTCCTAGTTCTAGCCGGTGGAGGCGTGGAGGCCGAGCCGCTCCTTTGGCTCTGCCTGGGAGCCTTCCTGTTGCACTGTGCCGGCTGCTCAGCTCTGGCTCGGGCTCGGATTTGTTGTGCAACTACGAAGTTCCAGGCCGTCCATGCTCTCATCATCTGCTTCGTGGTGCCGTGCTGGGTTGGGCGGACTCGCAGCAAAGAGAAGGTTTATCGAAAAGACGCCAAGCGCCTTGGTGGTCACAGCATGTGCTTCGACACTACAAGAATTCCTGGTCTCAGCGATAAGCTCCAAGGTCATTCAAGGATGTGGCGGCGGAAGAGCCCTGCAGCTGGCCTTTCGGCTGAAAACGGCTGGCCGTGATAGCGGCCCCCAAACGCACATTAATGTAGATGTACCAATTTGACACGTATTCCATCAGTCAGGTGCTCCGGAAAATGCCAGGGCCCTTACACCCCAAAGATACGTAGGCCCCTAGAGCTAGAGCATCGCTTGAATGACAGGCGTCTTTAGAGTTGAGCTGGAGCCAAGAGCCTCTGTCTAATTTCTCTCCAGTGCCAGGTTCACGGCAAATCCAATCCACTGCTTGCGGTCCAGTTTCGTCTTGACCTCAACACCTGCACACTGACCTTGTGCAATGGAAAGCTTGGGAGCGCTGAGGTCTACCACAACTCCCCTCCTTGCAGCTTCTACACCCCCGGGATGGAGCACACCATGCAGGAACACCGCATTCGTTGCTTGCTCTGACTCTGCTTGCTCTCGCCCCGCCCCCCTGGCACTGACAGGTGAACGAAAGCATCGGTTGCCACTTCACGGAGGTGGACGAGACGGTGGAAGACGACACTGGGCTAGCTCTTAGCCTTCCCTGTCTTATCGCGATTCAACGCCCGTTTGACCGGCAATTAACAGTCGGAACTTGACATTTGATGTAACGCTGGTCTGCTGAAGGTGCACAGCTATTTGCAGTTGCCACGCCTGCCAACTCTACGTGATTTGAAGTATCTTGGAATGCAGCGTCGAGGTCTTTCCCGGGTTGTGTTTCTGCGGAGCATAGTATCCATGTGCATGTATTCGTTATATGTCGTCACGGTACGTTGGAGGATGCTTAGGCTTAGACTTGAATGCAGGCATATCCTGGACAACGAAGAGGATGATGGCGCAACGGGGGACACAGGCTGCACAGCACACAGGGGCTGTTGCAGGTCGTTCAGAGGCGTTTGCTGGTTGCAACCGGAGTCACAGCACATGCAGGGAAGGGATATAGCTTGGCGATTCGCTTCCTTTGGGACGCGAGTTTCTGCAGGAGCTACAGCGTCAACGTGAAGAGCGAGAGATCCTTAGTAGCAATCCTGCCGAGCAAAACACAGCCTGCACAGCGGTGCTTGGGCTTGCTGGTTGAAGCTGGTAGACGTATATTGTATGTCCAGACCTTGGTGAAATGCCTACCGGTACAGTAGCGCGGTTTGCGACTTTTCTCCAGCGATTGCCCAGATGCCACCTTGCTTAGCGGCTACAGCACACCCCATGAGATGAAGAGCATGTGACGATCGTTTCGTTACAGTTGGTAGCCGTAGCCGTTAGGCTCAAGGCACGTGGCGGAGGCAAGCAGAGGGCAGGATCATTAAAGACATGATGCAGCCGAAAAGGGCGCAGCGAATGGCGGAGTTCTTGGGCGGCAAAGCAAGCATTGAGATGCGACGCAAAATGGTGCCTGGCCGCTTCCGCCTGTTTTCCAAGGTTTGATTTGCCATGCACCCGGCCGATGAATCAGATTCGTGGCTTCGAGAGCGAAACCAAGGCCCGGCGGCCATTCATTGCCCTAAAACTGTTGTTGGTACTAGAGAGATGAAAAATATAGCAGGAATACCAACTGCGTATGGTCAGTGTTCTGCTTGGTATTTATGTTATCTGTAATGGCATATTATTGGGCCGGACCATCTCCATTTGCTCACATTAGGAGACACAGCGAGCTGCGCGTACGCGTGACGCACTTCGTCAGCTGGGTGCCAAGAAGGAGCTATGGGCCTTTGCAAGAAACATGCGTGATATGGGCCTTCATGTTGTTCTCCCGTTTTGTCGTGCCTCATGCCCCACCAGGATCTCTTGAACTTGGATTCCTACTTGCTCGACAGGCAAGCTTTTCTGTGGCATTTGGCCAAAGTTTTTTGGAAAGTACTGCCATAAGCCGCTCACGCGCGGACACCACAGTGCAGAAGTATCGGGGGGCGGGGGTGGGAGGGATCTGCGCCAGGCCAGAAGCGGTGAACATGCCGGTCCTGTTCGACCAGGCCTTTGTGGCAGCAGTCAAACCTCACATAACATCAGCTTCCGATTGATGTTTGATGGTGGCGGGACCTTGCTGCTGCACTGGGCGCTGTGCTGACTGCTGTCGTGTCGAGTGTAACATGTTGCAATTGCATGCTAGGGCTCCCTCCTGCACGTTGCGGCCATGCGTGGTCACCAGGCAGCGGTCAAAGTTGCCATGAACTCTTGCTCGAAGTTTGATGCATCCATGTTAGCATAATCAGAGCTGTCAGCAGTTGCATCTGGGTGATCGGATTTTCCTTGGCAGGATATGGTTCAGATGTTGATCCATCAGCGGGGCGCAGATGTTGCTCCTGGCTTGCAAGTCCAAACTTCCTTTTTGCTCCGTACGCAGTGCTCCTTGTATCTGTGACCACTCGGCACTGGAGTTGCCCAAAGTATGTTCCCACCGAACGTCCCCAACGATTCTAGCTTTGCTGGCCATGTGGCTGCGGGCCAAACACAAAAACTTGGGGTGAATCAGGGTAACGCATGGCTGACGAAGCTTTTGCAATGATAACACCGACACGAGAGCTGGCTCCGAGGAAAGAACGAACTACGCCCAGCAGACCTCGCTACACGCTGCCTGTGATGGCAACCACGCGAACATCGTGGTGGATCTTCTCGCAGCCGGACTGGTGGCCCATGAGAGCTGAAGCATGCTGAAGCAAATGCCGCCATGCCAAAGCCCTGAGCGGGTCTCGGATACCCAAGAAGCTCTTACCGCTTCACTGCTTCCTTCCTTCTTTGGATCGATTTCTTGAGGAGCTGATGCAGACAAGCGCGATGCACTGCGGCAGACGCCGCTGCACCGTGCAGCGCACGTCGGTGCCGTGGACTGTCTCCTGGCGCTTCTGGACTGCAGTGTCTCTCAGCTGCTGCATGCGAGGTTTCTTTGGCTTGTCGTTCCGATGACACAAGAATCTGCAAGGAAGCATTACTTGCCGTCTCAACTTGCCAAACGACTGTAGCCTTACGTCCCGTGGATATGCCTCGGCAAAGACTTCTCTCTCAAAGTACCCTAGGCACTTATACGGCAAAGGCGAGACTGCTACTTACGGTTCAGGTGCACGGTTGCTTGGCAGGCGGTGGCAATGGCCGCAGTAGTTGAAGTTTGGATGGCCTAGACAAACACAGACTGCCTACTAACCGCTACAGCCGCTATGTTGGGGAATGGTGAGCTTTGTGCCCAAACCTGGTTGCCAGCGTGCCATCAGAAATAGGCAGACATGTGGTCCCGCGAGTGGCAGGAATATGGGGCCAACGCGAAGCTCAGAGACGATGGGGGGCTACTCCCGGTTCACACCGCCACTCGTTCATGCAACGCCACCAGCAGACCAGCCATATGCTACCCATACATCACCCTTAAAGAAAGATTGTCACACTTGCTGGTTGACTTCGGCGACTCTCGAGCTGTAGTGCTGGGCTGTCGAGTTCCGAGATCTTCCGAGGCGGCTTTCCGCGGCAGAGACGAAGTTTTGCGGGTGCTCATCTCCCAGGACATCCTCTGCATACTCTTGCCCTTTCTGGCTCTAGACGATGGTGACTTCATGGGAGTTCGGGATCTGCAAGAGATGCTACTACGGCACCTTGCGCCAGGAACCAACTTCTGCCAATGCCGAAGCTGCGGATGGATGGACCCCCCTGTGGCCCAACCTTGCACTTTAAAATTAGTTTGCTTGGCATGCCACTCACTTCTTGCACGATTCTCCCAACTATTTGCGGGATGTCTCCGGTGCTTCACACGAAAGGCGCACATTGTTCATTTGCTAGTTTTAAATTTTTAGTTGTTGCATTTGACACGTTGATTGACACAGCATGCTCAGGCATTTTGCCAGTCACGGGGGCCATGTTGCGGCCACGGAGGCGCGGCTGCCGATGCCTGCCTTGAAGCTTGCAGGAGTTTCCTCATTTTGCAGGCACTCCTGGAGTGCGGAGCCTATGCCCACTCTGTCGACAAGGTGCGAAGCATCGTGGAGCTCTGTGACGATTTGGGCCCACCCACCGCCAGCCAGTTCCTGTGAGGACAAGCGCACCGCTCTGCACTGCGCGGCCGCTTCTGGCTCTGAGGCCACCTGCCAGGCCTTGCTGCGCGCAGGCCGGGCTCACACGGCTCAGGGCCGAGGTCGCCAGAAACTCGACGAATTTCGGCCCGAGAGGTGCAGACCTCGAGTGCATGGACCAACACAAGAAATTGCCCATCCACGTTGCCTGCGAGGCGGAGATGGCCCGACACGATGCATGTGTTGTATCGCTGTTTGTTGAGCCAGGAAGGCTGTATCCAAGTCGTCCGCTTCCTCCTTGATGCTGGCAGCCCGTTCGACACGTTGGATTGCCAGCGAAGGACATCCGCAAGTCACGGCAAACAGGCTACAGCAAAATCAGCATGTAAATCCTCGCCCGGAAGCGAGGACGCCGCTTTTGATCGCCACACGGGCCGGCAACCTGGAGCTTTGCGAGGCCGTCAACTCCATGGCCCGTTTCGGTGCAATATTACTGTGGTAGTGACATCTGCTGGGGAGTGGGAAGGTTCTCCTCAGTGCCGGTGCCGACCCCAACACCGGCGACATGGCACGGGGAATCCCCAGTGCACTGGCGCTGGCTCGGAGAGGCAGGGCCATCTTCCGTCCCGTCTGTCGCTACCACGACGCCGATCTGATTGACATCTTCAGGTACGAACCCGGCCCTGCGCGGCCTCATTGAGGAGCACACGGCTGCCTTGAATCGAACCTGTGATGTTGCCAAGGACTGGGGTGACCCGAACAGTACATGGCCGTCGCACCTGTCAGGAGTACGCTCGTGCTGCTGCTGCTGCATCAGCTGCCATGCCTTTGGCTGATGCTGACAAGGCATGGCAGGGCACAGGGTAAACAGGGCTGCCCAACAGCCGAGGCATTAAGACCACAAAATCCTCGGCTAAACTGCTAAAATTCATGGACTTGCCAACTCACCGGGGTCGCCGACTTGCATGGATGCCTTCTGCCCGCTTCGGACATCTGGAAGCTTGGTGCACGCGGAAGTTTCCAGATTCTGTTAGAAAGTAGAGTATTACCATAGGCCAAAAAATCCCTCAGCCCAATTCCTTGCATTGCTGCTTGTGTCCAGTCACCGCCGGCGGGCAACGAGTCCAAGTCAACTCTGCCAGAGGCATGATGAAGACAGGCCCGTAGCTTCAACTCTGTCAGGGCTCTTATTGAACATGTATTCGGCAGTGCGTTGATGCCACTGCAAGCCAGGTGCTAAATGTGGTGATCCACATGAGCCGAAGACCCTCACATGAACATAGGATCTGTCGTAATTCAGCTTTGCTCATCGAGGGCCGAGCAATCGCACTTTGGCCTGTAGCCTGATGTCTTTGTGTTGGTGGGCCGCCCAAGAGCCTCAATCTCAGAAGGACATCTTCCCTGTAGTTGTGCCCGAATACCGGGGACCCCTTCAAGGGTTCAGACCATATGCTCTTGCAAATGACTCACGGAAGCTGGGCTTACAGTCTGATCCCTTCGGACGAAGGGACACTGAGGAGATCCTTCTTCATTGTCTCGTGATGACTGTAGTTCGAAAGCTGTGAAGCGAGACGCAGAGAAAAGGGGCTGCAGCTTCGAGAGAGGGAAGCCTTAAAGCCTTGTTGCTTCATTTCCGCATTTCTGTCTTTGGGTCGCTTTCTTCCGTGATTCCGCGTCTGCATGCTGGCGTGCCCGTGTTGCTGCTCGACTGGGTTGTTAGGGATAGGTGGCAGGCTAGAAGTGGGGCCGCTCCCTTTTGGCTCAAAGCGCCCCAGACGCCCTGACGTTCTCACAGTCTGGGCCCTGGCCTTCGGGCGGGGTCCCACGGGTTACTTGTGACACTTCAGCTTCTTTTGGCGCTTCTTGAGGTTCCGTGCCCCCTCATCCCCGAAGCAGAATGGAGGAGCCACGTTCCTAGAATATATGCTCTTGACGGGGCTGCTTCGGCAGCACTCCTCGCAACGGTGGGGAAAGCGCCGATAGGGTTGCACCCCAATGCCAAGTCAGGTGGAAGCTCGACAGGAAGAACATCCGCGCGGGCAGCTTCAAGTGGCATGCGGACGAGTTGGCAGCTCAAGCTTTTCATGGCCGGTGGCATTGGGAGCGAAAGCTCGCTGATGCATGCCGGCAGGCCTTTCGTTGCTGTGTTTGCTGAAAGGTACTATGCGCGAGGGGACAACAAGCCAAGAGCCCAGCCCAGGGTTCATGCGCCCTTTACAGCAAGAGGAGTTCGTTTCATGCGGTTGTTGTCCTGGCCCTGAGGCCAAAGCACATGTACTCTCCGGATTGGCTCGACGTCGAGATGAAAACTCACCATGAGAAAGCCCGCGGCGTGCTTATCTTTACATAAGTCAGGCTGAGGTCTGGGTAGGATCCTTCGATGTGAATCGGAGCTGGCACGAACTCGAGGTGGAGGGACGGCCACAATCAAGGTCAATCCTCTTGAAGGCTGGTCGAGGTTTGCTTCAAACGCATAACCTTTGTCCAGCAGGGCCGAACACATCCGTTCTATCCTCACTTCGACAGTAGCGCTGTTGCGCTGGGTACGTCTGAACGAAGCCGAGCTGATCGAAGACTGCGCCTACGCATTTCATCAGCCGCAGTCCCTACAGAGAGTCGCTGGGTTGGTGACCCGCACGCCTCGCTCTTAGCACGCCATCGGGAGGGCCTAGCTGCAAGCCCTGATGCTTGCATGATGTATTGCTGGACAGACCTCGGGGCATGCAGCAGCTGTACGAGCATAGGCATAGGTATCTCCCGGCCTTTTCTGCCTAAGAGCCTGAAAACTGGAGCATGCACGCCGTGCACCGGATGTGTCTCCATCGGGATGACAGCACACCTCCTCAGCTCTGTGAGAAGTGAGCAGATGGAGAGTGACCGGGCTTACCGGTTGGATGGAACATCTTTTTCAGTTTCAAACGGTATGGGTGTGTTCTGTCTAGCCCCCTGAATCACATCTTCTGGGAAGTGGGGAGGGGGAGGGTATTGCGGACGATCTGGAGAAGATGCAATGAAAAACTGCCAGAAAGGGGGAGCCTGTGTTCTGAAGTCAAGGTCAGGCTAGACAAGACGAAGTTCGAGGGCTTGCGATGCAGGTCCATCTTCTCCCAAGCCGAGCTACGGATTCTTCGAGCCCGATGCGTCCTTGCGGCCGAAGCTTGGCTCCCGGAGCCAGGGCAAGAGCCGTGAAAGCGATAGGAGGTTATGATCAAAAGTGTCATGCTGTAGACGGCTCGTTACGCAGCACTTGTACCATTTCCATTTGCTCTTCGAGGTCTCCGATCGCCATGGATTTGGGATGGCAAACATTGTGGAGAGCACAGTGTGATACGGCAGTCAGCGCAATATGGAGATCTGCTTGGGGCAGGCATAGCATGTGTGCCCTGACTCATAAGCAAGGTCTGGGACGCAGCCCTTGGCCAACACACTGAACAAGAGGAGGCTGCAAGTCCAGACCCAGATTCTGCCCGTCGGAGCACGCGAATACAGAGACCTGACACCGTATATTCGTGCACATAGACCTACTTCTACATATACATGCACCTACCCTCAGTTGCACATGTACACACGTGCTCACCTGCAAACACCCGTGCATATGTCCACACACATAAACTCACACACAGACTTTCCGATACGGCTACCTTTTACATGCGCATCATCCATATGCACAGACATAACATGTATATCTACTATCATCTGCCTCCTTGCGTATATGTAAAGTAAATACAGTAGGTATACATGCACATACACTTACATGCATGCACATGCCCCTACACACCTGCACCCACACCCACACCCACCCTTTTTACATACACCTGCGTACGCATACGCGTACACAGACAGAGACTTAAGACTTAAGACTTGTACTTATATGTGTACACATGTACGGACATTCATATGTACATGCATGACATACAGACGGACAAATAGAGACAGACAGACAGGCATGCATGATCATGCATGCATGCCTTCCTGCCTGCCTCCCTCCGCCTGTGCCTGTCTGCCCTTATCTGCCCATCACCTTTCTGGTCGCCAAGCCGTTTCCATATACTTCACGGCCGACCAACTGACCAACCTCAGCCCCGCCCCAGCCCCACATGCCAGCATTGCAACAGGCCCGCGTCCGCAATGACGCTGACATCTGGCCAGGCAGAGAACATCCCGCATGGGGAACATGTCAGTGTGATGGCAGCGGTACGAAAGCGGCATGGAATTCAGGACTTGGGTTCGACCTCTCCAACTGCCAGCCCGAAGGCAGCAAGTTGAGATCACGCGCTTCTAGAAGTAGGCATCTGAAACGAATCGGAAGCTCGTACAGCTGAGATCACTGATGTCAATCTATAAGAGATGCTGGCATTTGCCAGGGGCATCTGGTGAACGCCCTGCTCTCTCCATCCCGGGCGGGGCAAGTGCTTGGACTACCTCTCTGCTCCTGTAGGTTAGGATGTGACTTGTGGCAGGCAAGCGGAAGAGCGATGACGGCCATTCCAGGCTCAGTGTGAAAGAACCTTAACGGGTCGGCGCCTGGGGTTTCTTTTTTTCTACTGTTGGGGGACTTGGCCGCCAGGGCCACGAGGCATGGCGCGCAATGCCAGCAGCCCGGCTGAGACCTTTGGTCTCAGCTCACCCAACCGTTTGACACTCCCCTCGCCACACTCGCCAATGGGCCGGGGCCTCCAAGCCCAGGCCAAGCCGTAGCGTTGCGAGAGTTTGGAGCTGAGGACGTTCGGAGCAGGACTTCGACCGTCTGTGTGGCCTGGGACGCTCTCCTTCGCATCCGCTGCATGACCGCCGACCTGCTCTGCACCTGCCCGTCAGATTCAGCCGTTCTAGCAAGTTGCCCTTTCTTGCTTCTGTGGCATGGATTCCCCGACACTGCAGGAGACTGCCTACTGCCAACCATCCCGGCTGCGCAAGGCCTGCATTTGGGCTGTGTGCTGTTGCCGCTGCCACGCTACAAATATTGATTAAGAAAAGATCTACGACTCGCAAACCTGAGCTGCAGCTTCCCTAGTTTCCAAACTCGGAGGAACGCTCGCTTTCCGGAAACTGAGCTTTGGGGTTTGGCTGATTTGAACCATGCCACGGCCTCGGTCTGCAGGCAGGGGTACTGGTACTCGTAGTGACTTCAGTCTGTCTCTCTCTCTCTCTCTCTCTCTCTCTCTCTCTCTCTCTCTCTCTCCCTACACGATCTCGGGCCATCCTGTGCTGGAATTTAAGTTGCTGTGTAAGCTCTCGCGCGCATTGCTTGATGATGCCGGTGCCAGCAGGTTGGCTCAATCGGGTACGACACGTTTAGGCTTCATGCACCAATAGTCAACAGAAATTCTCGGAGTCATCACCCTGAATGCAATGATGAACCGCAGTCTGACATGTTCTGGAAGCCTGGCAGGGCAACCTGAACAGGTCACACCCCAAATTATCAGCCTGGCAAAACGGCCGGCCGGTTCCTGCTTGCCGCGCATCCTTCTCCGGGGCTTCCTGCAGCTCCAACATCTAAGTCGCTTGTCGCTTGTATTGCAGCTTGAGTCTTGAGCGGATTCCGGAAGCTTCGAGCGTATAGGCAGTCTGTTTTCTCAAGCATCACGCTGGGTCTGGGTGGCCTTTTAGTTTTTGGATTTGGTGCAGTCGCCCCGAGTGGAAGGTCTGGGCAAGGCCCTTGCCATTGATGCATTCCCTATTCGGAAGTTACGAAAAACCTGTAGGCTGCGGATTTGCCTTCAGCAGGTTGGTTCGGAATCTTTCTAGGCAAATTCTTGTTTTGGCGGTGACAAGCTTCTGTCGCGCCACAACTCCTCTGCCTGGAGGAACGGCAATCGAGTAGCGTTGCCAGCATGTGCCGAGGAGCCGAAGACCTTGTGTCGTGCATGCGCCTTTGTGTTCGCTTTTCCACACGAGGCATCGCGCACGGCATTTCCACATGCTGCTTAGGCATGGCCGCGGCAGGCGTTCAGCTACCGCAGACTTTGCAGGCTCCGTTGTCCGTAGATTGTCAGCTTCACTTCTGCTGCAGCGTGGGTTTCTGCGCCTGAGTGTGAGATGGCAGGGCGAGGCGCAGATGCAGCAGCTGGACACGGACTCGCCAGACTGAAGTGATACCCTAGAGACTAGTAGAATCACGAGAAAACCGAAGAGCTGACCAACAAAGGACTAAATGTAGGAAGTTGAGCAGCTTGAGCCTAGCCGCTGTATCTGCTCCGAAAGTCGGCCTGACCACGATCACTTTGCATGTCCGCAGGAGATCGGCCGCCTCAGCCAGGAGACGGTTCCGTCATGCACCATAGAGCGTTTTTGCTTGTTGACCAACTACTAGTATATACATCTATGAGTTCGCTGAAGACACATGCGAGCTGCAGGAGTGGCGGCAGCAGCGTGACTCCTTCCGTGCTCGCACCTCCATGGTCTCGCCGGATGAGCAGCTGTGCCTTGGCGAGAACAAAACTGCTTGCCGGTTTAGGATGTTCTCCTCAGGTTCCAAATGCTTCAGTATCGCCGATTGTTTTCTCAACCGACGCTCCTTGTGACAGGTGGTCTGACGGATCAGCGCTATGTGTAACTGTGCTTCCGGAATCAGTGAGAGATGTCAATGTCGGTGCGGTGAGTCACTGGTGATAGTCCCACCTCCTCCTTGAGACCTATCGATGACCCGGAAAGAGATCGTTTTGCCACAGGGTAGCTGCCGCTGCAAATGGGCGAATCCAGGACGGCTTCAAAGGGGCTGTGCTTAGGACTTGGTAAGATGTTCAACAATAAAATGGGGGCCGACTGAAGTCAGTTTTGTGGCGGCCGAAGGAGTGCCGCCAGCTACTCCAGCGAGGTGCGGCTGGCCCTGAAGCGACGTCGAAGGCAAGCTACATGTACCAAGTTCGTAGTGCTTTGAGCCAGTGCCTGTTGCTCTTGAGAAGGTGGGCCAGTCAGTTGCTCGGTGGCAGTGACCCAGTCCTTGGCAGCTTCGGATGTAGCAGCCTTGTCAAGTTGCAAGCTACGGCATCTGGGGGCGTCTTGCAAAAAGGCTCTGATGGCGGCAGCGCGGGCTGGAAGCGCAGAGGCCGTCTCGCTCTTGCTGGCCGCCCGTGCAGATCCCAGGCTGGTGAGCAGAAAAGGATAAAGGGCACAAGGCTACAAGACGCTTCCGCATCCAAAGATCTTGCACTTGTCGTGCCGGGAGTTCCGCTCGCGGCGAGCGCCGAACCACGGCGCTGCATTCTGCGACGGAGCTCGGCCATGGGAAGACACTCGACTGAGAAGAAGCGTGCAAGCAGAGCCATTGCAGCTGTTTCAGCTAGGGAAGTTTGGGATACTTTGCGTTGAAGATCCATCGGCTGAAGTTGCACTGTGCTCGCTCGTAGTTGCCGAGCTTCGCGGCTTGGCGTGGACAGTGGAACTCTAGGCCGAGAGCAGGATAGACGCAAACAGCACGAAGGGATGGACTGAGCCGGGAATCAAGAAGGCATCTGTGTGAGAACCACGAGACATCTCAGGATCTGCCTTGCTCTCCTTTCTGCCCGGGCGGACCCGGAACAGGCAGACGCCCGCGGGACGACACCAGCTTTGATGGCTTCCGACAAGGAGGTGCAGCTTAAAGGGCTCGAAATGTAAGTCTGCCTGTCGCAAGACTCTGCTCTTGTCGGTCTTCGTCTTGTCAGTCTGGGTCCTTTGGATGGGTCTACTGTGATTGCACACACGCGGCTGCACGCACACCTGCGAGCGAGGCCCTGTGGCCGCTGTTTGCAGCAGTCGGCTGCGAACGGGCTCCGCAACTTGCCACGCCAGTGAAGTAACAACTCCACGCTGCGTGGTACATGTCAAGTTTCTCGCACGAGAATTGTCTGTTTTGAGGCCTCAGTCTTCGCTGAGTTCAACAACTTCTCCGGAGCTGTTGGGGGGGGGGGGGTGTAGTGGATTGCTTTTGCAGTCGGCAGAACATCATGCAGGCGCATTGGTTTGAGACACGCACTTTGGCAGCCGTGCCAGGTTGCATGCCTTTACTGGGCGTCGCTGAAGAATTCACGGCTCAAACCTCATTCACAGTCCCCGGCATTACCCGGCCCTCGTAGTCGTGATGTCAAAGCCTTCAAGCTTCTCTCGTACACTTCTCCGAGAGCTGTTTCTGGAGCGAATACACTGCCTTCATCCAAACCGAGATGCAGGAGTCGACGCTGTGCTCGACGCGTGGTGCCCAGTACAACTGCCCCAGCCGACACGGCATGTAGATTTTGGTCTTGGGCAGCTTTGGAGTAATCTGATCACGTGTTTAATCGGGAGTGTGAAGCCAGTAGAGGTAAGTTCTGGTCCAGTTCAGTGGGCTCGAAGAATGAGGGAGGTTCAGCGTTCGCGCTGTGCCTCCTGATATTCTAGCCTGCGAGTTCGTGCCCTTGCATTGCGAGACTCTTGATGATGGCACGGCAGAGAGAGAGAGAGAGAGAGAGAGAGAGCCTGCGAGTTCGTGCCCTTGCATTGCGAGACTCTTGATGATGGCACGGCACAGAGAGAGAGAGAGAGAGAGAGAGAGAGAGAGAGAGAGAGAGAGACGCACGAAAGAAAGACAGTCGTACGTCAAACCGTGCCAACCTCCAACAGAACGGGCAGCTCTTGCGGGGGCTCGCCCTCAAGCCTGGGGAAAGAAAGAGAGAGAAGCCATGCGCCTGTTCCGATGTCTTGAGGAGCATTTTAACTGCGAATGGTTTGTCACGGTGAGGCGATGTTGCAGAAGTTAGTTGGTTTCCCACTGGCACTGCACACTTGAAACTTGAACAGAAGCTCTGAACTGTGGATTGACTCTTGGGTACTCGTTACTCGTTGCTTCCCCACTTCTTTCAGTGGCTCACGTCGCATATTTCACACATCTCGCGGCATCTCGCGTACGCTGGGCAGTGTTTCTGTTCAGGGGCACGTCGCAGAAGAAGAGTCCACAGAACGAGCGTTCACCTGACGCAGGATTGAAAGGTGCCTAAATAACTTCACTCCAGTCAGCCTGAGGCGACCAAGCTCGGGCCACAGCACCGTGCGGACTCTGGGCGGCAGTGGGAGCCACGACCTCGCGTCCGTCCGGGGATATATTTGCTTCTGCTGCGAAGGACTGCTCGTGCTTTGCCGGTGGCTCCCATCGACATCTTGGCCTCGGAGCTCCTTGGCTCGTCTTCGAAGCGGGGCCTGTTCCGTTCGGCTGTTGTGTCCCCTGAGGTCTGTCGGCCCTGGTCTTGAAGCCATTGCTTCAAATTCATCACGGCTCAGGTCCCTGGGCCTCTAGTTCGTGCTGTAGCGCCTGGAGCCAAAATGGCACCAGGAATGAGGAATAACGGAACGAGCTTCGTGGACGGAAGTCCCAACAATCTTCGCAGTCTTCATCTCTTCGAGACTGCACGACAATCGTTCTCTGTGGAAGCGGAGCTCGACCAAGTCCACCGAATGCAGCTGGTGCCCGAAGAGCGGGAAGCCTGAAATGCCATTCGCGGGCGACAAACTCAGCGCGTTTACCTTACCTCTTCAGTCTTATCTGTCTGCTCTGATCTAATTGAGCAACCTATGCTGTCAAATAAGATAGCAGTGTGAAGATTGCATGGCAGCACTGCTGACATGTGCGAACCTTTCTACCACTTCTTCCATCGATCCAGGATGGGCAGAAAGCGTCAGCCTCAATCTGCATCTGTTGTATCGTCCATGATGTGGTTGCCAGTTGGGTCTGCAGATCTTGCCCGCTGCAGGTGAACTGATTCGGCAGGCTTGGGCGGCAATAATGTAGAGCTTGCATAGCCAGATTTCCCAAGGTACGCAACTTTGTACGAGTACTGTCGTTTGCCGAAGTACTGCACGCTTCTCGGAGAACACCTGTTTTGCAAGTGAATCCTGGGAGATCCGGTGCAACTGTGTTCTTATCCATCCGCCTGACAAAATGTACTTAGCTTCGTTGAAGCATCTGTCAGAAGCAGGTCAGACAGGTTCCTGGATGTGTTGGGTTATCGGTTCTTCGGTCCTTTCAAGGAGGGCTTGAAGAATCATCATAATGATGACGTTCCGATCTCCACAGGCCTTTCCCCTCGCAAGGAAATCTCAGGTCGGGTAGCATGTATCCATTCAGCGTTTGGTGGTTGCCACTCTCTTGGGGGGACTGGCTCTGCCTTGAGTGGAGTTAGCTGTCAGATACGGAGTATCAAATGGAATGAGTATCACTCCTGGTCACCGGAACTGCGCGCCATGCGACGCTGTTCTGGAGACCGGACCGTTTAACATGGCATTCTGGGTGCAACGCTCGCCTTGGATGGATCTGCCCGGCGCATGTCGCGGGGTATCGCGCGCAGTTGCGCTATGCATGCTTGCATATGTATATACATTTTTATGTGTCTATATACATATGCACATATTGTATATATATATATATACACACACACAGAAAGAAACATGGATATAGCATATAGCCGATGCTTTTGCTTGCGCAGGCAGCCCGGTCATGTTCCGTAAAGAAGCGTGCATCTTCGGGCAGGTCAGAAGGTCATCAGGTCTTTACGCACCCGGACTAAGACTCCGAATCTCCGAGATTCGAGAAGTCCTCAGCTCCAGGACAGGCTTCTTGTTTCCACGGGGAGAGAGTTGCACGTGCTCTCTCTACACACAAACGCGGCCAGCGTCGTGGCAACTGTGCTTAGGCTCGATTCCATGCTCACTCGCACGTGCACGCGTAAGTGCTCGACTCTCTCCCTGCCCAGCCGTTCTGCAGGCCGTGGGCTTCACAGACTTTCCTGTGGCCATGGTCTGTTTCTGCACTTGTGACTGAGGAACCTTTAAACAACGAAGAGGCACGAACCAGTACGAACCTTGCCGGCTCCCTGATAGCAGCATCTTACCTTCCACCGCCACATGCCGCGACCAGAAGTCAGCACCGCTGGTTTGTAATTGGTACGTGTCTCAGGGTTGAGAGACTCAAATTTCGTAAGTAATGGTTGTATTTCTTGTCTGTCGAGCAGTCTTGTCGTGCTTGTTGACTGCCATGCTGCCGCCAACTCAATACTGCATTGCACGAGCAATCCTACTCTCAGGGTGTAGTGGGATTTGCTTGGCATCTTGCAGTGGCAATCACGTGCGCAACTCTCTGTAAGACTTGTGGCATGCGAGTGTTTTTCTGCTGTCGGCAGACTGGTCGTCACGAGCACTGCTCGCACGAGTGATGGAGACAGGGCCGGCCACAAGTGGCTGGCCAGAGTCATCATGACCGCGTGTGTGGCTAGGCTGTGAGATGATCTGAGCACCAAAGGCGACTCGGATCTCGGCGCCAGAAAAAGGAAGTGCTCCCCAGGTCCTCCATACCGCTACCATACAAAGCTCAACCGGCAGTAGCCGGTAGCAGCGAAAGACCGGAGCCGCGCCATCGCTTTGGTCTCAAGGCAAGGGCTGAGGTGCGGTGACCTCAGACGTGGCCATTAAACGGGCGGTTGCCCACTGAGTAGCTGCGCACATGGACTGCAGAAGTAGACGCGCTGCAATGGTCACTGTTCGGCATCGCTGGGAAACCGCCTGCGGCTTAGCCTGTTAGCATGGCATGAGTCATGGGCATGTATGTGTATGTCTCAGATTTCATTTACCTCCACAGCAAGTTCACTCACGATGTGCCTTTGCAGTGAGTCCCGGCGTAGTGGAACAGGTATGGGTGGGCAAGTTGACTAAGGCCTCCGGGTTGACGTCACGCGGTGCAGGCAAGGAGAACATCGTCCAGCCCTGCCCCCAGACTTACGAGCTGGAATTCTTCTGACAGATGAGGGGGTCTTGTTGGGATTTCGCATCTGAATAAGGGTTGAGTCCGTTGTGTGCTTGATGGAACACCCGTGCTCGCTTCACTTGCCGTCATCACAGGAGCTGCCAAAGATTTGCAGCTCCTGAGTTCAATATAGCACATATGATAACAGTGGATGGCCTGCTCGCGAGATTTGTGACTGTGTAGTTGTGCCAGACGTTCCAGCAGCTCTCATGTTTGAAGCTGCAGACAAGAGCCATCGCTTCGTAAATGCCCATCGCCCGCTCGAGAGTTCCGCTGCTGCTGGCCTTGAGCCTTGCGGCACCCAGCTGCCGGAACCCGCTCTTCCCGGTCCACTGGTCCAGGGCGGGGCGGCAGGGGTCAGAGCTGTCGACTGCACAGAGGCTTTTTGCGTCCTGCAGCAGGAATGCAGCCGCATGTGCCCAAGCCTTCTCAACGAGGACACAGCGGTATCGAACAACTTGACTGCTTGCCCCCACTGGAGTCTTACCTGAAGTTGGCACTGCAGCGAAATGAAGGCGACATCTTTTGAGATATTGTCCAGGAATGGTCTGGCAAGCTGTTGTAGCACGGCCGTGGAGCCTGCGCAACATCGTGCCTTTGATCCGTGGCTTGCAAAGATTAGGGTCGCGGAGGTTGTGATGCCGGTTGAAGTGGTGGTGGTGGTGGTGGTGGTGGTGGTGACGGTCCTGGTCTTGGCCGCCGTGGCAGACGTGCTGCTGCTGGTGATGCTGGATTCGTGCTGCTCCTGTTGTTGTTGGTTTGGCGAAAGCTTAATGGTGCAATTGTCGATGCTCCCGTTAGCATTGATTACTTTTTTGGCTGCTGTTGCTATTGAAAAGCAACAGCAGCAAAATTTTGGTCATTTTTGGTCGTTCCGATGATGGTGGCATGTTTTGCAAGTGTGTGCCCTTTGACCACGTGAGCACCCGTCGTGACAGTACTCGCCCAGGAGCACTGGAAATTGTCGCTGGGACAAATCATCGTGAGCTGGAGATGCTTCGCTGCAATCAAGCATGGCGCGGACTTGCATGCCAGGAAGGTAATCGGAGATTGTAGCGACTGTCACGGCATGTTACGGTGGACTCTGGCAACTCGCCTCGGGGCATGTTCTTCTTGATTGTCTGGGACTGCAGTTGTCAAAGGCCGGTGCCTGTCCGTCAAAAACCAAGCTTTTCGATCTGGTTTTGCCGTAAGTAAGCGGTCACTTTGTTCTTCCTCTGGAAGCTGTTCAGTCCTGCTTGGCCTTCATGACAATGAATCTATGCATTCTCCCGTAGGAACGATCGCGCGCTCGCAGTGAGCGCACCGCAAGGCGGCAAATGTGTGGTTGTATTCTTGCTCAAGTCGGGCTTTGTTGTGCCGTAACTGAAGCGTTGCCCAGGAAACTATGCGGCTGGAATGGCCATGCGACAGCTGACCAAACTCTATCAGTACTCAGGCACGCTGGCTGTCACAGTTTCTGCTGGATGTCTGCAGAAGTCTTTTGGAGCTGTGGAGACGTGGGATACCATGGCAAGCCATCGTGGGTTGCAGTACATGTGCCGGTTGCCGCATGTGAACACGAGCTGACACAGATCACGCTGGTCTTGAGCTTTGGTGGGATATTTATGTGTTGCAGAGCGCATTCGGGAGCGTGTGGGGCCTTCAATGACGAACCTGCCAGATGCTGAGATGCAGGCGCTGTTCGTTGGTGGCTTATTTTTTGAACATGCCCTCGTTCTTGCACCACAAGTGTTGCCATGGTACCGCGTAAGTTTACACGCGAGACGATGCAAGCAGAGAACCAAACTCTGTTCTGCAGCCATGCGGGCCATGCAGTAGCCTCGTGCTGGAGTGGCTTGAAGCCTTTGAGGATGAAGCACTGGCATCAGTGCGGCACAGCACAACCGCTCCTTGCCATGATTTGCAGCATTCGTTGTTGAGCTGCTCCCTCCGAGTTTCTTTGACGAAGGTTTTCGCCCCATGCCTTTCTGCCATGTTGCAGTATGCTGCCGGCATGCAGCTTGGAAGCAGGTTGACATTCACGAGAACACAGCTGTTTTATTCCTGACTTGGACACTTCCTGCAGGATTTGCTTCATGTGCGACCCTCAATGGGACTCTCGGAAAGCCATACGAATCTCAGACTTGCCCCGCCTTCAGTCTCTGCATCTGCCATGGACCATGATCTACATGCCTTCTACTCAGGAAACGTATTTGTACACGGCAGATCAGTCCGCAGAGGAGACTGCGGAGAAGGAGCAGTATTTGGAAGGTTGGACTACAGCGGGAGCGCTGTATAAGAAAATACTTTCTGGGACCAGGGTGGTCTGGTTTTCTTATTTTGATAGCGGCTGGTCTTATGGGTATATTTGATCTGGGATGGGTCAGGGTAGTCTGGTTTTCTTAAGGCTGTTTTCTTATATGGCTTTGTCCAGGGCCCGTTCCAGAACCCACCTAAATAAGAAAACGAGACTCTGGCATTTTCTTATTCTCCTTCGTTCCAGAACCCACCTAAATAAGAACACGAGACTCTGGCATTTTCTTATTCTCCTTCGTTCCAGAACCCACCTAAATAAGAAAACGAGACTCTGGCATTTTCTTATTCTCCTTCGTTCCAGAACCCACCTAAACAAGAAAACGAGACTCTGGCATTTTCTTATTCTCCTTCGTTCCAGAACCCACCTAAATAAGAAAACGAGACTCTGGCATTTTCTTATTCTCCTTCGTTCCAGAGCCCAGCTACAGACCACGAGGATGCCTACGATCCCTGAAAGCCGTGCTTGGAAGCCTTGGAGGGGAAACTTCAGCAGGGTCAAGGCACGAAGTGCTAGGACACCCCAAGTACTAGGGCTAGGATGTTAGGCAAAGGCCCCTGATGTATGGAACCCCTCATACAGCACAGGCCAAGTTTACGCGCACTAGTATGACAGAACGAAATAAGAAAATAAGACTCGCGGACGAGGGTACCCTGGTTTTCTTGTTTTAACAGTGCATGGTATTTCATGTAGAACCCTATCAATCCCAAAATCCAGAGTCTCATTTTCATAATCCAATGTTTTCTTAAGTAGTGCTGTTGCTGTAGGTTGCATGCCATTACGGCCAGTGGTTTTGCTAAATCGCACTGATTGAGACACTCATCTGCCGATGCAGCACAAGGAGTCCACGTTTCACGCATGTAGATCAGCCGATCAACCACTTTTGCACCTGCATGGCAAGATTAGATTAATTTGCTGGATAGATACCCAACTGCTATAGTATATTAACTATATGCTGGATTTGACCAGCACCTCGTAAATTACGAGGTTGCCGGTGCCTCGGCTGGATGCAGTAAAAGAAGGCGACACCAGCAAAAGGTAGGGACAGAAGATGACTGTAGTGCTTAGTAGAAGCATCGACTGGAGGTGCCGGCTACGATGCCGTGGCCGTGGGCTCCGGCGCCTGCACGAAGCTCTGGGCCGGCTGCGCGGTGCCTCGTCTCAGTCAGGACCCAGGGCCCACTGGGGCTCATGGCTTAGGGCCGCCAGGGTTAAGGAGGCTTGGGCGAGGGCTCCGAGGACCCGAGGACTCTATGTTCTTGATGCCTTCGGATGCCTCCAGGGAAGGTGTGCTTATCCTTCGGAAGAAATGCTCTGTTCTTCTCATGCCTTTCAGGTCATCACCTTATTGCCGCAAGGGTCACTCGATGTAGTTGCTGCCGTGTTAGCGAGGCTTTCTCAGCGGCTGCGCGCGACGCCTGGGCCGCTCGTCAAGATACTTTACGTGGTTCAAGCAGCCGTGGGGCGTAGCCCGCTGGCAGGTCTGCGAGAATCGCCGATATACAGTTCAAGCGTGACAAAGGCTAGGCTAGTTGCGCTTGTCTTTCAAGGAGAAGGTATTGCAGTGCCCGCTCGCCAAGCAGATCGAAGCTTGGCAGTCGTCTAGGTGTTAGACTCGGATATCTTCTCCTTCGCGAGTATGCTGTAAGTCAGGCGAGCCCGACGGCAGAGCAAGTCCAATAAAACATGTACTGTTCTGCTGACGTCTGAGTCGCCTTCCGAAGTTCCGAAGGAGCAACCTCTGCCGGATCTCCCGCCTTTCTTTTCCAAGCCAGAGCTCTGCGAGTGGACTCGGCACCTTGCCTGCAAGGAATCTGCTCCATAGCGCAACAGTGGCCACGACGAAATGTTCGTGCCCCGAGGGCTGCTATCGCACTGCAGCCTCTGGCTGAGACATCCCGCAGCTTACCCCAGCAGCGCTACTTTGATCAAGTTGAAACCTTCCAGGGATACTTTCGAAGATGGGCCGGTTCCTTGTAGCATGGACTGAAATGCCCCCGCTGCAGGACTTCCAGAATTACCTTCTGCTGCTCGGAGTGCATGGAAGCACACTTTCCTGAACTCCGCACTTTCTGCGAGTTGACGTGCAGGATGCTACCACCACTATTTCCTCCGATGAAGAGAGCCAGAACAAGGACAATGAGGCGGACGAGCGCATCCTGCAAGAGGCACCTGATTTTCAGAAACGCGTCCGGAGGGGGGCTCGCTATTGCCAGTGTAGCCCTCTTGACCCTCGTGGAGAGCGGCAATAGAATCAGCGGGGCTGGAGCAAGGCAGGACTGGTTCCAGCGGAGTGCTGGAGGAAGGTTGGTGGCGGGCTATGGGATGGGAGTTCGAGCAGTAAAGAAGGGCAAGGGGGTGAAGAGAGCCACCAACTGATCTGACCATTAGCACCCCCCACACCCGACACAGTCCTGGCACGGCACTAGGAGCCTGTTGCAGGACAACGTTGACAATCCGTCAAGCAGAACCAGCCGCTCGCAAGACTTGCGCGATGTTTAACTCTTTTGTCCACGTGAAGTCGGTCTCAGGCTCGCCCTACTCGTGGGGTCAGTGGTTTCTGGTGGCGGCCTTCCGGGAGCCTGACGAGGCCTACTTGGGGCTTTGGTTTGGGGCTTCAAGACTTGGCGAATCTTGGCGACACAAGGTTCTGGTTGCCAAAGCACCCGGTGAAGTCGGTGCCTGGCCCAGCCGAAGAGTATTCATTCAAGTGCATATCTGCGGTGCTGCTGACTGCAGTCCGACAAGGTGTGACAGTATGATGGTCGAGTCACATGATCACATGTCATGTCTGAAACATGGTCATGAGTGCTCCTGCAGCAAAAGGAGTCTCCCTCGTCTTCGACGAAAACTTGGGTAGAGCGGAGCTTGGCGGCTCGCTGAAACTCTTGTTGAAAAGTATTGAGGTTGTGATCATGTGGTATTTGCTGCTCTCGTTGTACGTACAAACTCAAAATGCCTTGCCATGAAGGTCGCGTAGTCTGTGTCGCCGCGACGAGTGTCGGTCATGGAACTCCTGCAGAGCTCTACACGGCTTCAGAGTCACAAGAAGACTTGACGTGTCCTGACAAAGACGTAGGTTTTAAGCCTTCCTTTTTGGAGCGCGAAGGGTCTATCATGTCGGGTGAGTCCCGGCTTGGCTTCCGGGAGCTTCAGGCTGGAGACTATCGTCCGCTACAAGTACAAGATGATGGAAGGCCCAGTTGAACGGGGCAGTCAAGCGCTTGGGTGAAGGCTCAAGCCATGGCTCTGTTTGTTTGCACTTCCGTAGGTAAGATCATCCTTTCGGCTGCGGTGGACGTCTGGCCGGCTCCAGAAGCTAAAAGGAGCTCTGAACTTGCATCGTGTCAACGTTGAATCTGAGACAGATGTGGCTGGTCAGGATAAAGTCCTACCACAAGTAACACAGCTCACGGCTTTCTTGCACGCTGTGTAGCCAATCGGCCAATCCTAGCAAGGAGGGTCGTGGGCATGGTGGCTTTTGGCGGATATTTGTTTGTGGCAGATGACGAGGGCCACATCTCCCGCTTGGTTGCAGCGACCATGGCGGAGGGAGAGAGGCACGAGGTACGGAGTCGTTACCGTTTACACTTTGCAGATTCGCCCACGGCTGTCGAGAACAGATCAACCTGAAGGTCAGATGGCAAGCAGCTCTACGCAACGTGGCTTGACGGCAAGCGATCCGCGTGTGTTTGCGTCAGGGATTTTCTGTCTAGCGACGCCTAGTGTGCCTTCCGCAAATAGTGCACTGTCACAGACATGACAAGAGCTGATCAGAGACAAGGCCGATTGGGAGTGACGAGAAACCCCAGAACATTACCGGCCTGGCTGTCTCCGAGGGCGGACGGACCCTCTACTGGCCAGGAGCTTGGTGTGTGTTGGCGGTGTTGGAGCGGCGGGCGTTCTTTCGCTCCGAGGTCCACGGCTACAGACATCTTCGTCGGTCAGAGCGATGGAAACGGCGGTCATCGCACGATCTTCGGACACGAGCAGCAGCTTCACCGCAAGAGACCTTTCTTGCCGCAGAGGATAAGATGTCTCTCGAAGCAAATCTTGTAAATATGCGATACGGCATTGGAGCTAACAAGTTGTGTGCTATCAGATTTGGAGTTTATGCCCATGTGCGGTGGCAGTGGCACGTGAGTGAGGGTGTGTCATTTGCCCCGCCCTTGGAGCTAAAAAAGGCCCCACTTCGCCATATGCCATAGGTCCATAGGTGTTGAAGGGGGCCTGCTGCAGCGTAAGCACATGGAAGTGGCTGGCCACCATGCAGCTGTCTCTTGTCGCACTATATCATAGACTATATCCCATCGCAAGGGTGCTGGGATGATGTTCCAAGGCTGCAGAAGTTGGGAGGTAGCACCTCTTCAATCGTCTACTTGGCAGCGGATCCTTTAGACGAGCTCCTCTTCTTCACTGTGCACCAAGGCAACCCCTCCGCCCTTGCAAAGCCACTCTTAGAGCACACGTGGACAATGTCTTGTGTCTCGGTTGTCGCGTCGGACTTCGACTGATTCCGATTGACCCCGCCGTTCTGGTATCTACATACATGATTATCTTTGGCGCATAGTCGTCTCTGACCCGCCCATTGCACATACCAAGCATTCGACCTTATCTGGCGAGTCCGAGTGTGAGAGTGTGGTTACTTGGCATCCCGCATGGGACCCGCCTCAACGCGGAGGTGCCACCTCTCAGAGTTGTCGGGTCAGCCGGCTGCTTTTGCCCCCGCACGGCGGCAGCAGCGCCAGTGTGGTCACGACCGTCTTCGCCGCTGTGGCTGACATGTGCGTTCGTGCAGCCGCACAGTTCATCGTGAGACCGCAAGCACGTAAGACATCTGGAAAATGCAGGAGTGAGAGAGAGAGAGAGAGAGAGAGAGAGAGAGAGAGAGAGAGATTTTGGCTCAAGGCCGTGAGTGGTTCAAGGCCTGAGCCCCCTTTAGCAGAAAGCCAGAGAAGGCCTCAACGAGGGTGCGCCAGAGTGAGGGGAGCGACTGTGCACTGCTCCCGCCGATAGCCCCGTGTGCGAGCACAGTTACCTCTTCGAAATACTACGCGTGTACACCATCACCGCCCAGCTCAGCGAGTTCGGGGGGTTCGAAGCACTAGGGCTTCCACACGCTGCTCCTTAGGGACAAGGCCACCCCTCTACCAGTCCGTGATCGGCGAACCTACAAGCCGGCGCCGCCAACTGCACGATCCGCCGCTTCCTGACGGTGGGTGGGGGACATTGCCACCTACCTGACCGTGATACTACTTGCGGGGGGACGACCTAGTGAACCTCGCGGGGGAGATTGTCGCCATGGCCACCGGTGCAGGTTTCGAAATGCAGGTCGACCACCAAGGTACCTCGCCAACCAAGCGACGGGCACCAGACAAATCAGAGGACCTAGCGCTCAACATTGACATTATTCGGGAGGCGATCAGGGCAGAGCTCAAGGACGCCCTCGGGGACGTCAAACACGACCTACGTGCCTTTGCCACCAGAGTCGACAACGTGGAGCACCAGGTGACACAGAAGATGCAACACACTATCAACCTGCTGGACGATATGACAAGCAAGTACTCGGCCCATGGGGATATGTTGCAGCAACTCCAGGAAGCGAACAAAGAAGTGAACCTTCGCCTTGAACGCTTGGAGAAAGGCGGGGGAGCTTCCTCGGTAGCGGGGAGCACCACAGCTTCCGACAACCCTCGGCGACCCGCACTGATAGTGGGGGGATGGGATCCAGACCAGGATGCCGCAACAACCAAGGAGGCAGTGACAGATGTGCTCAAGACAGTGGACGCGCCCATCGCTCTGGACTCACTGTTTGTTCCCGGCGTCCGCCGGGGATACGCCGCACTGATAGTGGGGGGATGGGATCCAGACCAGGATGCCGCAACAACCAAGGAGGCAGTGACAGATGTGCTCAAGACAGTGGACGCGCCCATCGCTCACTGTTTGTTCCCGGCGTCCGCCGGGGATACGCAATACTCCCAATCGACGACCGCCTGGGGGAGCACTTCGAACAGCGCAAACAGCGCATCCAGGAGGTCATCGCCAAAGTGAGGGAAGCCAATATACAGGTGGGGAGACGGCCTGACGGGGGAGCCAAGCGAGTTTGGATCGCCATGAGCCAACCTCCCGATCGACGCCGCAGAGCCCGCCTCGCCGCAAAAGTAAAGAGGTTGTACTTGAGTCTGGGGGGAAGCAAAGAGGTGCTACAGATGGAATTCAGCACCGGCACCGCCTGGGTCAACAGCGTCAAGGTGAGCTCAGCGACAGCCCCGAGACCCGGGGGGACAGAGGAAGCAGGCCCAGGCTGGGTCAATCTCGCAGAGATAGCCAGGGCCACCGGGACCACCAGAGAGGCGACCACCGCAGCCTGGTCTCCGCTTAAAGCGGAGATCAACTGAACCACAGACGAGCAAGATTTGTTTCACCCCCCGGCCGAGGGGGGAAAAAGACCCGGCCAACTCTGGGCAATGACGTGGAATGTCGGGGGGCTGACGGCAGACAACCTGCTCAAGCTCCTGGACACTTTCGACGACAGTCCGGACCTGAACTGTACTGCGATCACCTTGCTGCAGGAAATCATCTGCGAGCCGGGCCTTTTTCATGCAGAGTCAGACACATGGCATGTAGTTTTCGGCAAATGCGAAGGGGAATTCAGAGGAGAAGGGGTGGCCCACAAGGCGAAGCAACACACACACCACCACTGGGGGAGTCCTTACAACACTCAAATCCACAGCAGATAAAGGGGAGATCCGAGCCCTGGCGGGACACATGCCCCACCACGCCACCATCGAGCAAGCTCAGACCATACTAGCACAGTGGGGGGACGGCCTAGGCGACCACAGACGATGCCTCCCAGGCATCGATGCCAACGAGACCTTCACCCCCCCCCCCCCACCCATGTACCGGGCTGCCACGCCGCCACAGGCCGGGGGGAAGCCATCCTCGAATGGGCCAGCACGCACAACTTTTCCTTTCCTCCACAACAGCTCCACGTCCCCAGCTACCACCCTTACAACCCCAACATGCAACCACGACGGCTGGACTACGTTCTGGTCAAGGGACTTACAGCAGGAGAGGGCAAGGTCCAACCCTGCCGCGACAGGGCCCATCTCCGACGGGGTGGCCGCGCCAATTGGTGCGCACAAAGGGGGAGGACCAACCCGGTCCACATGGGGACCCAGACGACTGCGCCCCCCTCACCAAGTCGAGCGCCTCCTCGAAGTCCCCCCGCCCCGAGGAGAGGACCCGCACAAAGTCCTGGCAACACTTGCCAAAGCGATCACGGTCCCAGGTTGCGGCCACAACAAATTCCAGGAAAGCAAACAACTACGGGGGATGCGCAGAGCGGCACAGCACCTCCAACCTGGACCTGCCACCCGAACAGCCTGAAAGGCCATAGCCAAGCTCCACAAGCAGGAGCCCCGAGCGTGGTCCGCAAAGCAAGCAGAACAGGCCTCCAAACTCGATTGGAGGTCACTACGCACACTCTAGAAAGCACAATCACATCGCGGTTGGCAACTTTACCTACAAGACAATCCAGACTGGCAGCAGCAGCTCCATGCACACATGCGCTCGATCTTCGCCAAACCCCTCCCACCCGGGGGGAGCACACGGATTGCAACCCTCCGTGACCAACTCCGACGCAAGTGCAAGCACACTCCATGGCAACCCTTCCACATTGCAGAGCTACAGCTGGCAGCCAAGCGCTGGGGGAGCAACAAGAGCACCGGCCCCGATGGCATTTCCCACGAGGCCGCCAAAGCACTACTGGCACACACCAAATGGGGGGGAGCCATCCTGTACGTCATGAACGACATGCTGTACACGGCAAGAGTTCCTGAGAACATTGATCGGGGTATCACAGTGCTGCTACCCAAAGTCCCAGCACCACTAGCGTGGACCGATACACGCCCGATCACGCTTAGCAGCACCCTGCTCAAGCTTGCAGCACAACTCCTTCTCGCCAGGGCGGGGGTGGACATCAGGGGGGGAAGCACCCTACAGTGGGTGAGAGCTGGCAGACAGGGGGTGGAACTGATTGCAACAATCAGACGCGTCACACAGATGGCAAAGGACTGGGGCGTGCCTACATGGCTCGTGAAATTGGACATACGCAAAGCATTTGATAGTGTTTGGCAGCATAGTATGTCCGAGCTTGTAGCGGAGTGAGTTCCAGCCGATGCCCGGTCCCCGAGGAAGGGGGGGACAAGCCATGGGAAGCCCTCATGTGGCTCAGCATCCTCGAAACCCGCACCCTCAACGTATCGGTGGGGGATACCATCACACCAGTCCCCCAGACCAACGGCATCCGACAGGGCAGCCCCGACTCTCCCGACCTGTTCGGCGCCATTGTCGCAAGAGACCTGCAGACAGCAATTCAGGCCCCCCACCCAGAGGGCAGACGCACAAGGAGGACCCAGCCCACCGAGAGCGGGGGGAGTTTCCTCGACGACACCTACCTCTGGTCACAAGACAGGCACCACTTGCAACGCCTGCTTTCCAACCGAATCCGAGCTAGTCTCTGTCCCCTGCGCCCCCCACAAGACGGTCATTGCAACACTAGGCTCCCCTATCACCTTTGGGGAACAGACAGCAGCGCTAGTGGCGGAGATGTGCCGACGGGGGAGGCAAGCTTTCGCAAAACAGAAGAACATCCTCCTGGCGCGCACAGGCATGAAGGCAAGGATGGCAGCCTACACCACCCTGGTCCGATCGGCGGCGCTCTATGCGGCCGAAACGTGGCCCGTCAACCAGCGCCTCCTTAAAGCGGCCAACTCCGTTCAAGCACAACACCTTCGACGCATGCTCCACATCGACAGACGCCCGAGCAGTGGGCTGACTGGCATGTGCGCTCGCTCCGGCTCGCACGGCTCCAACTCCAGAGGGGGGGATGGCACCGATGGTCCGCCTACATCCTGCAGCAAATCTGGTCGCTCTGGGGGCACATGGCCAGGGGAGGGGACGAAGTTAACGCCATGGTGCAGTGGAAGAACCTCGACTTCTGGCGCAAGGAGCAGCGCAAGCCGCGCAGCAACAGAGTCAACCACGCAGCACGCTTCAACCCAGAAGCGGATGTTGAACGAGCCCTGGAGAGCGTAGGAACCACACATTGCCCAGGGCATCGATCGATTGAAAAATTTCGAGATCGATTGTAAATATCAATAGAGATTGGTTTGGGTTTATTTCGAGCGCATTCGATTGGTTTCAGACATAAAACCAATAGAAAATCGGGAACACAAAACCAAGCGTGGATGCTTAAAGAAACCAAGCGAAACCACTATAAGAACCAATAGAAAAGTAGCATAAAAACCAATAGAAAAGTAGCATCAAAACCAATAGAAAATTATATGAATTAAGCATATATATATATATATGCATGTTTTGAACCCTTCGTCTTGGATGGGGCTTATGCAGCCCCTGCTGTCGGTGGGCCTCTTCGGCCCAATCGCTTGGGGCTTCTGCAGCCCCTGCTGTCGGTGGGCCTCTTCGGCCCAATCGCATGGGGCTTCTGCAGCCCCTGTTGTCGGTGGGCCTCTTCGGCCCAATCGCATGGGGCTTCTGCAGCCCCTGTTATCGCCCAGATGCTTTAGGATGGTTGTGATGCGATCCGTCATCCAACCTGCCCAACGTTGATACATCTACTGCAGATCCACCAAAACACAAAAAGGCAACACGGTACGTGGCAGCGACACGACCTCTTCCAGCTGCAGCAGTGGCAACACTCTAGTCTTCATTGTCCTGTACCCGGCCAAATTGCCAGTGAAAGT